ACACGAGCGCTCGTAAAGCGTGAATCACGGCGCGCGCGCGCGAGAGCGAGCAAGGCTGTACGTAACAATGAGGTATGCGCGCGCGTGCGTAAAGCACGCGGGCAGGCCGATTTCCGCGTTCGTCCGAGCGCTCTCGCGGCCGCGCAAACGAACGCTATAAACTTGTCCGCTCGCCCCGGCCGATCGATCGCGCGACTCTAACTCTCTCTCTCTCTCTCTCTCTCTCTCTCTCTCTCTCTCTCTCTGTCTCGGGCGAGCGAGCACCTGCGCCTCCGCGAGTCAATGCCAGCGAAAATTCACGTGCCAGCGCGCTCGGCGATCTGCCGTTCGAGGCTCTGGGCACGAGGCTGTGGGCACGAAGCTGCGAGCGAGCGACGCAAGGGGCCGCGGGCTCGAAAACGGATCGGCGGCAGGTTCGTTATCGAGTGCGGGGCTGACGCAACCGGCTGCTTTAGCCGACGAAAATACACCGCGCGCGTTGCGCGACCAATCTGTTTGGCCGTTAATCACATTAAAAAAATATGCCGTTAAGGCGCGCACGCGCCCGCCTGTGTGCATATATATAAACACGGAGAGCCAATAATATTTACGCGGCTGGAGCTTTTTTTATACGTTGGAAACGAGGTCGGTGCGGATCGGGTTCCCCCTGCACACGCGCGCTCTCGAGTCGAGGCGCGGGTCCTCGAGAAACCGAAAAACTCCCATAAAAACGAAAACAAGAGAGCGGAGCGCGGGTCGTGGACTGCACCTCGAGACGAGTCGTAAAAATGCACTTCACGACGGTCGACGCGACAATGCGCTCTATCGAGAAAACTCATTAAAATGGGGGGGGGGGGGGGCTTATCAGCGCTCGACGCATTTATAGCTGGCGCGCGAGGTTACGGCGTCCCCGGAACACCCGAGATATCATCTGGCTTTGGCAGCGCTGCGCTTAATTAGGACAGCGGGAGGGCGACGGCATTACGTCATTATCGTATAATAAGCGCGGCACGCAGGCGCGCAGCTATATCTAATTTGCCGACGACGAAGCTGCAGCTCGTTAATCAGCTCTAAGCAGTCGCGTCTTGGCCGCGCGCGCTCTAATTGCCGAGGGCCGCGACCAATCATTATCAATACGCGGACGTCGGCGGCGATTATTGCGCGCGCGCTCGGGACAAATTATTCATCGCGAGGGCCCTGGCGGCTCGCTAATGAATATGCAGGCGCGACGGATCGAGCCGAGAGTGGCGGCGGACCGCGCGGGGGTAGGCAGCGCCGAGCTGCGCATCAATCTCTCTTTCTCTCTCTCTCACTGCGCGCGGCTATCGTCGCGGCCGTATCGTTGTCAATGGAGCGACGACGAGAGCTCGCGCAGTCGTTAGCCGGAGAGGGAGGAATTCCTATAGATTATCCGGCGCGAGCGGCCGGAGCGCGGCCGCAGCGCGCCTAGATTTATACGCGCGCGCGCGCGCGCGCGCGCGAGCCTCACGGAATTCGAGAGAAAAACCAGATTTTTCCAGCGCCATCGGGGCTTTCTCTCGGACGAGATCGGCTATCTGGACATTCTTCCAGGCGCGATCGTCCGAGATCGGCGGCCCGCACGGGATTCATATGCAAAATTTTGCCGAGGCTCGCGGATTCCCCGGTCGCGTCGTCCAAACCTCGCTTCTTCTCCGGGCGGCCCTGGCCAGTCCACTTTTATTCTTTATCGCGCCTCTCGAGTTTTCGATAAACGAGCCCGCCAAGGACGCCGCGCGCCGTCGCCGCCTGACACACGGTGGGAACGTTCGCGCGACAGGTGCTTATCCAGACACACAGCGAGCAACCGACACCAGCCGATCCCCGAACTATTCTAGTGTCGTTGGCGCAGGAAGTGAGAGAGCAAGAGAGAGAGAGAGAGAGAGAGAGAGAGAGGAGAGAGAGAGAGAGAGAGAGAGAGAGAGAGAGAGAGAGAGAGAGAGGAGAGAGAGAGAGGAGAGAGAGAGAGAGAGAGGAGAGAGAGAGAGAGAGAGAGAGAGAGAGAAAGAGAGGTTGGCGTCGAGGCCCTGCGGGATTCGGAGGAAAGGGGCTGTAGCTGAAAAAAGCGCTCCTGCTGGCGTCCCTTCCCTCGCCCCTAGCCCCGGCAAGTGGAGCCGCGGCGCCGCAGATGTGCTGCCCCGCAGGCAGCGATTTCCCGCGGCTGCTCCGCCGCGTTCAGTCGCCGCCCGTCTCTCGGCAGATGCGCGCTGCTGCCGCGCGCCCGAGCCCGTTCGCGCGTGTGCCCGCGCTCGTGCGTGCCAGTTCGGCTGAATGAACGCGAGGCGCTGCGACGATGCTGTGCCTACCCGGCGAGCCGGTGAAAATGTGCATCAAGAGCGTCGTCTGCGAGGTCGTTATTCCGGCGCTCTCGCGATTCCTATACAGACGCGCGCCAACTGGCCGAGCGCTCATTTCGCCTTGTTCTTTCTGTTGCAGGTAAGCGATGCCGCGGGCACGGAGTCAAAGACACCGGGCAGAGGCGAGGCCTTATCTGCGTCGCCTTATCTATCTCGGCGGAAAGCTCGAGCCCGAGGCGAGCAGCTCCGATTCCGCAAGCGCGAGGAAAAAGCCTTTCGCATCGAACCAGTTCCACCGCTGCCAGCCAGCGAGATCGCTTTTTCAATCATCTCGCGCTGCCGCTGCTGCTGCCGCTGCTCATCTGGTCGCGGTAGTCGTTCGCTACTCGTCGTCGCGCGCGCAAATAAAAGCGCACGACCGGCGTTGCGCGCCGCGAGCGGCGTTTTGCAATAACTTCCGCGCGCCGATTGATTGAGTCGCGCGCTTTATCATCGCGCCGACCCTTTCTATCGGCGCTGCACTCTTGAACTTTCTCTCCCTCTCTCTCCCTCCGCCTAGTCGACCGATTAAGCTGTAGAGGCTGGGTAAACGAACCATTGATTCCACTTGACGACGCTCGAGCGCATCGTCACCGTGGAATCTCGAGCACGCGACGTTGTAGCGCACAAAGGACACGCATAGACAGTCGGCGAGAGAGAGAGAGAGAGGGGGAGCAACGATAAATATCTTTGGCCACGGGCAGCAGCAGGAAATGCGATTATCGATGCCAGCGTTATTCACTTTTCGGTCCGATCCCGTTACGACGCCGACGCAACTAACCGATCGCGCCCGTTCCTCGACGCGCGCCATACTTTAATATCCGCGCGCGGCTCGATCGCCGTTAAAAGTGTAACGCCGTTGTTGCCTCTCCCTCGGCACCGCTCCTAACAATGGGAAGCTCGGATAACAATGAAGAGCCGCCGCTGCCGCCTTGACACCGATCCATGGCCTGTCTATTTTTCGCCGGTCGATCTCGATCGCAGATCTCGACCGATAGCATCCATCAAGATGTAGCGTGCCCTCGACCCACATTGATAGAAGCGCCTTTCTGGCAGCAAAGGTCGGAACGGAGAAAAGCCCGCTTTCCTCGATGGAATCCACGCACGCATATAGAAGCTCGCGTGCCGCGAGAGAGAAAGAGAGAGAGAGTGAGTGAGTGAGCGAGCGAGCGAGCGAGTGAGTGAGTGAGTGAGTGAGTCTATACTTGGCTGCAGCCGTAAGCATGCGCTCGCTCGAGGCGGGGGCTATCCGGGAAAATCGGCCTGAGCGCGCCGCCGCTGCGTCGTCGCCAGTTTCTTCCTCGGTTGCTCGCGCGGTTTAAGTGCAGTGATGGACGTGGTAGCCGGCAGCGTGGTCGTCTCCTCGTTGCCGCGGGTCAAAGCCCTGCGTCGTCGCCATCAGCAGGAGCTACGCCGACACTCGCTACTCGAGGACTTCCCCAGGTTCCGCTACCACTGCTACGACGTGCGCAAGCTCCAGAATGACTCGGTGAGCCGCCGCGTCACCCCCGCCAGCGCCGCGATTCGGAGCCGCGGACGACGCGTGGTCCGTGGGCTGTGGGTCAGCGGCGCGCATCGCGCATCCGCGACTTCGCGTACATTTCCGATCGTCCCGAGAGAGCGACAGCCACGACGCCCGATCTAAATTCGTCTCGTCTTTCCGCTTCTGCTTCTTCGTCTTCTTGTTTTGGTCCCTTTGCTCTGGTCGTCGTCGCCGCCACAGCCACCGCCACCGCCGTTCTGCAGCTTATCTTGTTTGTGCCTCGAGAATCCGAGCCAAGATAGCATTGTCGCGCGTCGTGTCACGGGGCACGTATAAAAGTGCACGCGGGGAGGAGCGCACGACGGCGATGAATCGGGTGGGGTTAAGGATTTTGTTTCTCGAATAAATCAAAATCACGTCATCATCCCGCGCGCTCGTGATTTACGGCGTCGCGCGCGATTTATGGCAGGGCAGTGCGCGCGCACAAAAAGCATCGATGATTCATGGGCGCAAGGAATAAAATATGAGCGGAGACGCGCCCTCGAGATTTCTCTTTCTTCGCGGCGGTGAATCGAGCGCGGAGCAACCCTTCTGTCGAGAGAGCGTCGAGAACGTGACTGCTGGCCGGCGTCCTGGCTCGCTCGGTACAGCCACGATTGAGACGCGCGATATTCGCGCGTGGCGACACTTCCACGCTTTACTCAGCGGCTTAAAGCGCCTCCGAGCTGTGCTCGTCGTCTCGATAAGCTTGACTCATCGAAACAATGACTGATGCTTTCGAAACGCATCGGCCGAGTGCTCAAGGCGAGAGACAACAACGCAACGCTTTTCCAGAAAGAGAAGAAGAAGAGGAAGAGGGGGAGGGAAAAAATGGCCGTTTAACGAGGTTTTAAGCGCGCTCGTGTCTGAGCGCTTCTTCTCTCTCTCTCTCTCTCATATCACAAATCGAAGGTCGGGTTTTTGAACGGTTTGGAAGCCCGCGTTGCAGCAAAGGGACGTTCACCTCCAATTATGTCATCTGGCGCGAGATCTAGGTGTATCCCGTAGCCGGCTAATCCCACGCTCTTGCCGCTTTCGTGGGCGTCGGTCGACACGGGTCTCTACTCGAAAACCGAGCGCCTGCTGGCTGTCGGCTCGCGAACCCGACCCGATTCGAGAGCCTAACCCGGTCAGATACAAGAGTTGGCGCTGGGCTGCACAAGCAAGCAAGCGCAGCGCCGACTGGTAGCCGAGGAATGAAGAGAGCTCATTAATTCGGAGGAGCGAAGGAATCGCTTTGGCCTTATCGAGAAGCACGGGAGAAAAAGCGCAGGGGCAAAGAGTGCCGCGCAGCGAGCGAAGCGCGAGGGTCGGCTGCGAGCCGTGGCTATCGCGATAAAAAGGTCAGTCGAGAAGTGGAGCCCGAGGTTTATCCGCACCGATAAGATGCCCAATCGGCCAGTCGCGAGCGAGGCCTTGCTCGCATCGAAAGCTTCGGGCGCGATGCCGCGGCCGCACTGGCGCAACAGTCTCGGCACGTTCCTCGCCACGCTGACCAAGAACAAGGCCGTCGGCAACAAGGCTGGCTCGCTCCAGAGAGGCCGCAGCTCGAGGAGGTCCGCGCGAAAGGTAGTAGCAGTGCGTCGAGTCGTCGTCGTCGTCGCCGTCGTCGTAGTTGCCGCGCTCGTCGCAGGTAGCGCGAAAATACATCCGAGACAGGCCGACGTGGACGCGTCTATTTCGAAAACTGGGCTGCGGTGCATTGACCGCTCGCGCGTGAATTTCGCAAGCTCGCACGCTGCACTGATGTAACGTCGACGCGCGTGTCCTTGGACTGTTCGCTGCCGCTGCACGCGCACGGGACAATTTGTCGTCGGAGAACCAGTCCGACCACTCGCGCGCAGGTGCAGCATAGAAGAACGCGTGTAATCTAATTTGCGATTTCGTCATTATCGAGAGCTGCTGTTGCTGCTGCTGCTGCTGCTGCTGCTGCTGCTGCGGCCGCGGCCGCGGCTGCGGCTGCCACTGCTCGACGCTTTCGACGCTGCTTTATTTTTCTCTGCACCCGTGCAACATTCCTGCGCCGCCGCTGTTACGTGGCTTCTTCTTCTTCTTCTTCTTCTTCTTGGCCGCTCTCGCTTCTAAAACGCGAGCTCGTTTCTTTGTCGAGCCCGCGGCGGCCAACCTGTTTTTTCGGCCACGCGCGCTACGTGTGTATCGTAATTGCCCCCGCCCCCTCCCCTCCCCGAATCTCGTGCGCAGCCCCTTTGAACCGCCATCCTCCTCCTCCTCCTCCCCCTCCTCCTCCTGTCCTTCCTTCCCGCTACCGGCTCGTCCTATTGTTGCCACAACGCGCCCGATTATTTCCGAGCCTCTCTCGCCCGACAGCGAAGAAAAAATGTACCGTCCGAGAGAGAGAAAGAGGAATTCTTCTTTCGGCCGAAGTGCATTTCGACGTAAAAACAACGCGGGCCTGCCTCCTGCCTGAAACGCTTATTATTCGTAGACATCGACGTCGCGCGAAGCGACGACAGCGCATCGTTGGCACCGGATCACTTGTTGCGCAACGCGCGCGATAACGAGCGGCGCGACAACGGCCGAACAACGAGGCCTGCGATGACTTTACGAAAAGTGGAATTTCGTCGGCGGAGAAAGAGGAACGAGAACGATGATTCGCGGCCCCAAAAGGAAGAAAGAAAGAGAGAAAAGAGAGCAAAAAGGAAAAGCTCGACTACAAAGGAACGTCGAGGCAGCGCGTGGTAGAGAGGAAGAGATTGCATGATAGGGTCGAATTTGTCTGCCGGGGAATTAACACGGCCGAATAACAAATGCAAATGCCGTCTCCCACTGCCTTGGGCGTTGCATTATGCATTTAGATTTTCGCGATTAGTTGGCAGCGCGCTGAGTGCCCCTCGAATGGATACGTCCGTCGAAGGCGAATTAAACGAAGCAGCAGCTTAAAAGCCTCGCTTGATGTATAATTCGGTGGCGAGCCGAGGGCCACCGGCCGCTACCTCGTCCCTCTCGCCGGAGCGAGGCTAACGAGTGTCGTGTGCGTGTGTTTTGGCGCCGTGTAAACAAGTCCGCAATCAAAGGCGCATCAGCGGCCGCCGTGCGCGATTATGATATAAAACGCATTCCGCGCGGCCTCCAACAATGCGAGCCGCGAAGGCGTGCGCGTACTGCTTCGCTCGCTCGCAGAGAGAGAGAGAGAGAGAGAGAGAGAGAGAGAGAGAGAGAGAGAGAGAGAGAGAGAGAGAGAGAGAGAGAGAGATAATCGTCGCTCCGTTAGCTCGCGGCTTGGCATTAAGTCCGTGATTTGCGAGCAGTCGTAAACGCGCGTTGCCGTTAAGAACGAGGCTCCTTGGTCGCGCGGGCTCGGTCCCTTGGTTCCTTCCGCGGTCCTGCTCGATTGCGCTTTCGGCCCGGCATCTCGCAGTCGCGACGTCGAATCGTCGGCTGGCCGCGGGTAAGCGCGTCGAAAGTCGCATCCCCTGGCGCTCCCGAGTGCCCTCTGGCGCGTCGTTCAACGGCGTCCCTAATGACGATCGAGCCGCTGCGAGATCGATGCTAATGCGGCGCGCAAGGCAATCACGTTCTAATGGCGGCGCTGCTCGCCGAGCAAAACGACCGCGGCGATGTCACTCGGCCAGGCATCGATTGTACATCAGCCCGGGCTATTACAGCTCGTATACAAGATAAGCCGTAAAAATCGCGCGCTGACGCTCTTCCTTTTGCTTGCGCTCGCTAGGCCTTTCATCCATATTCACACCAGCGGCAACCTGTCCCTCGCTCTCTCGCTCTCTCTCCCGCTCTCTCTCGCGCGCGCACTCGCGCGCGCACTCGCGCGCGCTCATGCATATGCTAAGGAGCCCTCAAGCCGCGGCAGCGCGCGCGCGCGCGCTCCGACGAATGTAAATAGCGTTGCTTCAATCATGCCTTCTCGGCGCGCGCGCAGGATCTGAGTCAAGGCGAGCGCGCATTGTCGTATCGAGCAAGCTGTCTCCGGCGAGCCGCTAAATCAGCGCCCGTTGCTTTATTAAAACTGACACACTCCTTCCCCTGTTTCTCTGCCGTCGGACGAGCGACGGCTTCGGCGGTCCAGTTCGCGCCTTCGTTGTCGTCGTCGTCGTCGTCGTTGTCGTCGTCGTCGTCGTCGTTTCGCCTCGACCATTGTGCCACTGATCAAAGAGCAGCGCGGCACCGTTAGCGCTTTCGATATCGCGGAATTCGACGATCCGTTACCGCATAGCGAGGGAGCGCGCGCGGGCACGTAACTCTCCGCGGCACTGCGAGCGTATCTCGATAGCGCGTGCAGCGGCGACGGCGGCGGCAGTAAGAGAGAGAGAGAGAGAGAGAGACAAATTGCAGTGACGCAAGAGTAGAAGCGAGAGGCACCTGTCGACTACTTACTACTCGTTACAAAACGCACGCGTATATCCAGGCGAGAGCGCGTACGTACGCGAGAAAGTTGTCCTTTCGGGGACGTATTATGCTAATGCCGCGCACCACGTCTGCGAGCAGCGCGCACACACACACACACACACACGACAGCGGGGTTTTGTTTGATCGCGAGGAATTGGAATTGCGAGCGACGTTGAGCAAGCACCGCGATCGCGCGCATTGTGTCGAAAACGCTCTATTAGCCGTTACGTGCCGCGAGAGATTCCCGAGCAGCAAGTGGAAAACGTACACGCGCACGCGCGAACGTGTGTGTGTGTGTGTGTGGAAAATGCCGGCGATGCTAGGAGCCGATAGTGCAGCTCCCTTTCACTGACGTAGATATTTTCCTTCGCCGAAGGTCTCGCGCTTCGCGCACAATCGCCGGTTAAGCACAGGATGCTCACCTTCGGTTTCATCTCGCGTGCGCTCCTCGGCTCGCGCGGATTCCGGCCTTTCATTAATATTTATCCAGCCGCCGAGCGAGCGAGCGATATAAATCGTACGTAGGCGCGCGTCGTCGCGGCCGCTTCTTGATCAATTACGTCGGCGCGGCACCTACGTTCGATCGGCTCCCTGCCCGCGGAGACGGATACCCATCTCCTGCGCAGCGGCTCCCTTCGTCCGTTAGTCGACGATTAATGCTGTTTACGCTCCGACGTTGCGGCTGGTGCTTCCCGAACATCGCCACTTCGATTCTCCTCCCTGGGCGCGCGCCTCGACTCGAACAGCCGGCCGCTCGCACGCGAAATAAGCCCCGGACGACACGGAGATCGGGCACTCTTGGCAGAGGTCCAGCGCTTCTTATATTCCTGTCGACGGACTGTTGGCGTGCGCTCGCGTCATCGATCGCATCACGCCGCGAGCGCCAGCCTCATCGGCGAGATTCTATCGAGTGAGTCAGAGCCGAAGAATGCATAAATTAAGCCGCCGCGAGTCGACAGTCGAGGCAGGAAGAAGCAACAGAGAAGTCAAAAAAGCGAACGCGCCGGTCGCGCGTCGCGGCTTTTCGACGGCGATAAGCGCCGAGATTGCGGCGAGCACGCAGGTGAAAGTGCGTGCGCGCGCGCGATAACCGGTAGCTGGCAGAAGACACGAGGTGATCGGCGGCAGTGGCGGCGGCGGCGCGGTAACGATAATGAGCGTGCCGAGAGCGGAGCCAATTACACGCGGCTCGCTCGCCGCTTCTTATCTATCGCAGGGAAAATCAGTCGTGGCGAGAGTCGCAGCGGCTCAGCCCTCGGCCAGCGGCCGATACGCGGGCAAATTAGCCGGCGGCTGACGCGCGCGACAGGTGCGGTTCACGGGAGCCGCCCGCTATTAGTCAGTCGCGACGCGCGAACCTCGACTCTCGAGCAAGGCGCGAGCTGGACTAACGGCGTTGCGTTGGCGTGCCCGCAGGTCCAGAGGCTCGCCGAGTACGAGAGGTACCTGGGCCAGGAGGCGCGCAGCCTCGCCCAGGAGAGCAGCGCGTCGAGTAGCGGCCAGGTCCTGCAGCGCGCGCAGCTCGAGGGCGACCTGCACCGCATCCAGGAGCTGTTCCCCAACGATAACCTCCGTCTGCACGAGCAGGACGTCCTTACCACGGTACGTACTTGGCAGCGCGAGCAGCCGCGCGATCCGGTTCACGAGCGGACGGTGCTCTTAATCGAGTCGTTGGTCCAGAAGCCAAAGAATGTGGCCCGCAAGAGGAACGGCGCGAACAACGCGGCCCGACTGCCCCGTGCCGCGTCGGCCAAGTCGCTCAACTGCGGCCCGTCGCAGCCGGCCGGCAAGCCGTCGCCCGCCAGGACCTTCCTGCTGGAGACCCCGGTGCAGTTCACGACGGTGAGTGAGGCTGGGGTTGTTGGGTTGGGGCGCGCGCCCCGTCTCCGAGACAGAGCCAGGCTGAGCGCGCCGTCTCGTGATTCGCAGGGAATGCAGTCCCAGGAGCGGCACCTCTTCCTCTTCTCCGACCTGCTGCTGATCGCCAAGGCGCGCAGCGGCGGCACCTTCAAGCTCAAGCAGTCCATCCGGATGAGCGAGCTCTGGCTGACGGCCAACCACATCGAGGACGTTGCCGAAAGCAACAAATCCCAGGAAACCAGCTTCGTCCTCGGTTGGCCCACCACCAACGTCGTGGCTACCTTCATGTAAGCCTTGCCACGTTCACTGCCCACTTGGCGAATTCTCCGGACTTTCCGTACGAGCCTCGGAGCCGTTTCTCTCTCTCTCTCTCTCTCGGCTGTAAATCAGAAGAGCCTGGATGCTCTCTCGTTAGGCGAAGCACTCGGCGGCGCGGCGGGCATAAATCGCGCTCAATTAACAAAAGCGCCACGGAAGAAACGGCGCTGACGATTGATTGGTTTGCAGGACTGCGGCGGCGCGAGATCTGTGGTGGGGCCGCCTGAGCGAGCTCGTACGCGAGGAGAGCCTGAAGGAGCCACCAGAGACCAACATCCAGGTCGTGTATCACGACAGCGAGACCAACACGGAATACGTAAGTGTTCTCCGCGCCTCCCTCCGTCTGCTCCTCGTCCCGCTTGCCCATTTCCCGGCACCGGCTGCCCGACCGGCTCTCGATGAGTCAATCTACCGCAAGAATCTCTGATCCTTCGCGTCCACCTCGAGTCCACCCGCCGGGACACTAACGGGCCGACCTGCGCCTCGGCAGTGCAAGAAGATCTTGGTGAGCTCGGAGATGACGGCGGCCGGCTGCGTCAACCTGGCCACTCGGCTGCTGGACCTGCAGGGGCCCTTTCAGCTGTGGGCACGAACCTGCTCCGAGGAGGCGCCCTACCCGCTCATCGGCCACGAGCGCCCCTTCGCCGTCAAGCTGTCCAATCTGCGGCACAAGCTCTCGCTGGAGGAGGGCTTCGACCTGGAGCACTGCAACAAGAGCGGCCACGACACCTGCCACTTCATCCTGCGGCCGATCCTCAAGTCGCCCGCCAAGAAGAACAAATCCAAGATCACGGGCCTGCTGCGCAGGTCGCTCTCGCTCAACCCCAGCGTCTTCGGCGTCAACCTGTCGCGGCTGGACGAGAACGGCCTACCCAAGCCGGTGCTCGTCATGCTGCAGCAGCTCTTCGCCAAAGGGCCCTTCACCCAGGGCATCTTCCGCAAGTCGGCCAACGTGCGCATCGTGCGCGAGCTCCGCGACCAAATCGAGTCGAGCGGCGAGTCCGGATGCCTCGAGGACGCCCCGATCATCGCCGTAGCCGCCCTGCTCAAGGACTTCCTGCGCTCGCTGCCGGACCCGCTGCTCACCTCCCACCTCTTCCCGCTGTGGATGGCTAGTCTCGAGTCGGCCGATCCGATCAAGACCATCAAAAGGTGCGAAAAGCGTTCGCGCGTCACGAACGGCCCGCTGCCGTGTCACCGTCGCGAACCAATCCAACGCCACCGTCTGATTGCAGCATCCTGGACCGGCTGCCGAAGGCCAACTACACGCTGCTGTCTCACCTGGTCTGCGTGCTGCACCACATAGCCCGGCGCTCCAAGCACAACCTCATGTGCGCCAGTAACCTCGGCGTGTGCTGCGGCCCGAGCCTGCTCTGGTCGCCCAGCCCCACCGTCAATCAGAGCCGCGCGATCCCGGCCCTCACCGAGATGCTCATTCGCCACTGCGAAGCGCTGTTCGGCGAGGCGGTCACCCAGTTGTTCGGCGAGGAGCGCAGCGACAGCGGCGCCGAGGAGAGCACCGACAGCCTGCACTGTGAGTAGCCAAGCGTCGCCGACGGTCGTCTGGCGCCCCCGCCCACCCAAGCGCTCATCGGTCGTTTTTCTCTCGTCGCTGTTGCAGCAGGTGGGCTTTCGCTGGACAGCCTCGACTTGACGGAGCCGCCGCGCAAGGACCACATGTCGCTGTCCCGCGACTCCGGGTTGACCTTATCCGACTGCCAGCTCTTCGTGCCGGAGTCGCCGGTGGGCTCGGAGGACTCGGCGGTCAACGCTTCGACCTCCAGCTTCGACAAGCCCATCGTCAAAGACGACAAGACGAGCAATGGCAAGTCGTACGTTCGCGCCTACAGCAATCAGCAGTGGGAGGTTAGATACAACTCGGCGACTCACCTGCAAAGCGGCCACGAGAACGGCTATCCGAATCCCAACTTCCAGAGGCAGGACTGGCTGCGGGCGCAACTGAAACGAACCCCGCGGACGAAGCTGGACGAGCACGACCAGCAGCAGCAGCAGCAGCAGCAGCAGCAGCAGCAGCTGCCACAGCAGTCACAGCAGCAGCGCAAGGAGCGCTTCGACGACAAGGACATTTACGCGCGCGAGTGCAGTCGTCAGCACACAATCAAGAAGAACGTCGTCGAGAATCGCAAGGATATCTACAGATCGCCGCAGATCACGCTGGCAACTTGCAACTTGCGCAACGATTACGCGCGCTCGTCGCAGCAGGACGTGAGGCTACACGAGGCCGAGCAGAAGTGCACCAGCGACTCGTCGCTGTCCAACGGCGACCACTACGAGTTCAAGAAGGAACGTTTCGGCGAGTTCAAAAAGGTCAAGTCGGAGCTGTACGTGAACCGCGAATCGCCGATCTCGCAGAACGGCAGCTACCACTCGACCGGCTCCGACTGCCACGAGTTCAAGAAGGTCCGAAGCGAGCTGTACATCAGCAAGGAGAATCGAGGCGAGCGTTACGACTTTGACAAATCCGAGGGCAACATCTACGGCAATCGCGACAGTCTGAACGACATCTACGGCTCGCGAGAGCGCAACGAAATCTATCAGTTCAAGCAGGCGCAAGCCGTCGACGAGTACGACGAGGAGGACGACGAATCGAGCGAGCGCACCTGGCCGGACACACCGCCGCCTCTACCGCCGCGGCTGCGACACTTGCCGCCCGTGCACATGAGCTCCGAGGAGAGACACAAGATCGCGTCTAGATCGAGATCGCTGCCGCCTCCACCGCCTTACAGACCGCCGCCGCAGCCTCGCGTACCTGCTGTTGCCAGCAGGCACTTGGGCTACGCGAGGTCGGTCGTCGACGACGAGAGCTACGTGTGAAGCTGCGCTCTCGTCGGCGCGGACCTCCCCGACACCGACAGTCTTTTGGTTTATCATCGTGAAGAATGCTCTTGAGCCGAGATAAACAAGAGACACGAGACTTGAAACACGATGCCGAGTATATCTGTGGAGTCTGCCGCTTATTTTTTAGATGACCCGTACCTAGTCGAAAATGAACGCTTGGACCGCTGCACCGCGAAAGAGAGAGAGAGTAAGAGAGAGATAGAGAAGGAAGGCATTGCACATAGATGATGCAAGAGATTGTGGTTGTATTTACATGTATTCTCTTCTCAGCACTGTAATCTCGTCGCTGGGAGTATTCAATCGAATGTGTTTTATTAAAAATCGAGAAACTGTCAAACGGCTTCTATTCAGCAACAGTCAACGTTTATTGTTGTATTCACACGCGTTTCGTAAACGAACAAAACAATTTAAGTATTCTTTACCTGTATAAATGAGACATAAATCAAACTGGAATTGAGATACATGATATTATTAATTTGTTGTAAACAGTGATTCATGGTGCTTCCATATCGTTGACACTGCGAACGATTTTACTTTTATATATTATTTAATATGTTGAAGAGCACCGGAAGAAAAATATAATGATCATGAGACAGACTGACAAAACTTGAAAAAAATGAAAAAGATACGATGCATATCGTAGTTATTTTATTACAATTTACAATTATCTTACGTAACGTTAGAGATATGTCTATGTAAAAAGTGTATATCTTTTTTTTTATCTGATAAGATTGAGAATTTCAAAGTATACAGGAAGAAAGTTTTTTTAACACTTTCAGATAGCATCAGCTTCCAGTAGCCAAATCAAATGTCACATAACAAATAATGCATCGACTTGTGCATTTCTATTCGTTTTGTTTTTGTAAAGTAAACATATGTGATCAGTTCTCTCGATCTTATATAGTTGATATATTTGTCTTTCTTTTCTAAGTTGATTAAAGCGCATATTACATTTATAAAATCCTATGAATGCGAGCAAAGCCAGATCAATTATCTTGTAGCGACTAAGATATGAAAAAAAAATATTATGTTTAATTAAAGAAAAAATTTGTATATATTATCTTTTATATCGTTGAAGTTTGTAAACTAAAATACACATCGTTATACAGCGCAAATAAATATCTATTACTTACTTAAATTATATGACATTGCTATCAAAAATATAAATATAAATATATTTCGTATTTTATATATGACTACTTCCGGCATTATTATTTGAACCTGTTTATTGATCATTAACATTTAATAGGCTCTTCATACGACCGTAAAACAAGATTCTGTTTGATATAGCCATTATCATAACCTAAGGACTTAACTGTTTATTCGGTATGAATATAGCAAAAACTGATGCGTTTGCGTGGACACGGAAATAATGAATTTGAGTAATAAACGTAAAAAGGTTATAAAATTTCAAATATTGTTAGGAAAATGATGTTTTATAAACAAGAGTTTGCTATTTTACAATTAGACAGGCCGTCCTATCGTCAACTGAAGGTAAATATTTGGACTGCGTTAAAGTAGTAATAAGAATAGACAAAGTTCGAATGAATGAAGATTGAGACATACAAAAGTTTTATTTAGACAGATGAAGAATTGAAAAGGCACACAATAGACCAGCACTTGGAGGGAAAGCCTATTGAAAGAGAGCTGCATATATTAGCGTAAGTGGAACCAAAACCTTTTTCACGCATGTTTGTGGGTGTGTGTGCATGTGTGCGGGCGTGTGCATGCGTGTGCAAAAAATCCAGAGTAAATAGATTCCACGAGCCAGCGTATAACTAAGAAAACAATAATTGACAAAATGAGTAGTTGCTTACGTGGCGTATAATGCCTTAGTCACGCAGGGCATTGAGTGCGGAACAATACCATAATTCGGATTGTCGATTCTCAAAAGTCATCTAAACATCGCTATAGCATCTGAAAAATGACGTAAGCCACTCGAGAGATAGAACACTCCGAGCGTCGTTGTTCGCCGTTCAACTCGCGCTACTGAAGCGCAACCAAGCGCGCCTCGAGCAGGCAAAGCCGCTAATTCAATGGGGAGAAGTTAATTATCGGCGCAGTCGATTAAAAATCCATTTCGTCGAAGAGCGCATGGTATATGGGAAGCTCGCGCGGGCTGTTGACACGCGCGCTCGTAAGCGGGGCTTAATCTCGTGGCGCTCTCGCTCGAGGCTTCTCTCGTTTACATAACAGAAAATTACCAGGCTATTGCCGCGGCAAGCTTGTTATCGGCCCATTGTCGCCGGCGCTTTTTTCTCCTTAGTCTATAGCCAATTCAAACGCGCCGACGGATACGAGAGCTTGCGCGACGTCGACAATGCTCGGCACTACTCGTTATGCCTCTTCTAATATGCGATTCACGGTGTGTGTGTGGGGGGGGGGGGGGCGCCGCAGCGATGTTGCCGGATCGCGATCGCACGTGCGTGGGCGTTAAGGCGCGCGAATCCGCTTGGTTCGAATTCGTTCGAAGATTTCATTTGTTCACGGTGGATCCTCCGCGCTACGATCGCAGATTCCATTTTCAAATCGGCCGTTGTCCGCGGTTCATTTCAAAGCTGCTTTCCTTTCGTTTCGAAACGAGGGGCAAAAATTGTCCATTAGTTTAACCGCGCTTACATTTGAAATTTCGCTCGACTCCTATCCTCGTAATCTCGCATCACACATCGTCAGCCCGTTAGTTCAGATCCTTTGAGAAATTCCAACGGTCCGTGCCCAAGGCCTCTCGAGAGTGCATTCTAAGATTCCGTATGAAGCGTCGCATAAGAAGCTCGGCTAACTAAGCAGCGAGACTCAAAGCATAACCCAAGCACGCCTGACCGATTCCGCCAAAAAGTAAGATGAAAAGAAAGCCGTGCGAGAGGGGGAGGGGGTGCGGGAGCGATCCGACAACCGGCTTATCTTTCGACGAAGACCAGGAGAGTACGTCGTTGAATTGAAAATATGGCTGGCAAAAATGCCGAAGCGAGTGGCCACGGGTGAGCGGGACAAGAGCGCCTGCGCACTGGCAACGTCGCTTGGAGCGCTGCTGCGCGGGCTGGCGGCGCTCGCGGGAGTCGACGCGGTGGCTCTGCCCGTGTGGCGGAGCGACATGCACACGCGACAAAGTAGCTCAGTCGTACGTGGTCGCGCATTAGGCAGGTACTGTGCGCCGCGCGCGTTTCCCGAAGGAGAGGGCCGCGCGGATCGATGAGCGATTGACTTAAGAGATGATGCAGCAGCAGCAGCAGCAGCAGCAAAGATGTGGCAGGCCCCGTCGACACTCGCCGAGCAGCAGCCCTTCGAGTCCGAGCTCAAGGCGTGAGTATGCCCGTGTGCCGTGCGCGCACGCTCTCGCGATCGATTCGTCACTCGACTCGCCACTCGCTCTCGCTATAAATAACGCAAGCGCGCATCTCCTTAGCTAATTCTGCGGCAGTGCAGAGTTCGGCTTCGACGGCTCGACCACCAGCCCGTCGCTTTGATCCTTCGGTGGCCAAGCGCGCCCAACCGACCTTCCTGCTTGCGATGCGCTACTGAACGAGGCCTGCTGATTCGTCGATAGGCACCGAGCTTTGCGTACGCGCATTCGTAGTATTCGCTAAGTGCTGCTGTAGCTGACTCACTTCTGGAAAAACGTCTCTCTCTCTCTCTCTCTCTCTCTCTCTCTCTCTCGCTCGCTCGCTCGCTCGCTCGTCGTGTTGTTTTGCTCTCGTGCGTCGGAGTAATAACGTAATGTACTGAAAGTGCGCGCGCGTTTAATCGAAATAATGAAACACTGAGCTTCCGTTCACTCAGCTTAATGGGATAGTAGAAGCAGCCTTCGGAAGAAGCGACGCGAATGTGGGAGAGAAAAAGTACAACCGCGCCTCCTGCCGACGCTTGCAAATTTAACGAGACAGCGCGCGTACCATCTCGCTACTAGGACAATGACATGCTGCCTCGGCTCGATGTTATCATCGAGCGATATTCGCTCCGAGAATAAAATCTGACCCCGATGAGTCAGAGTGGCTGCTGCTGCTGCTGCTGCTGCTGCTGGCCCGCTCGACGAAGCTCGCCTGGGTCGCGCGTCGGACGACTGCCTCCCGCCGTTCCGCGAGTCCCGACGAGGCGCGAGGCTCTCAATTAGTGACTTACATAAGCGCGAGCGGCGGCGGCGGCGGCGGCGGCGGCGACGCTAGTACAGCCCTTCGCGCGCCACAGCTCGGTCGGGCGGTGACGTAAGCGCGAGCTCGCGCGCGAAGCCGCGCTCAAGGTCAAGCGGCTCAATTAGCCAAAGCCCGCGTCTGCTCGTGGCGCCCGCATATGTAGCGCGCGTGTCTGCTCGCAGCAAGGGGGACGAGCTGCAGAAGTTGAACGTGATCGAGACGCTGCCGCAACTGCTGGCCGAGGATGCGCACGGCTGCATCACGCGGGTGCTGCCCAAGATCCAGCAGAGCCTGCCGACGGCCTCCACCGAGTTCCACATGGCCGCCGCCGTCATCTTCAAGCAGATCCTCGAGCAGCGGCTCGTCAGCGCCTTCACCTTCGCCGAGGTCTTTCTGCAGAGCATCCTCGGCTCGCTGGACAGCCGCGAGCCCGGTACCCTTCGAGTTCCGAAGCGCCGGCCGGCCGCCGTCGGCCCGACTCCGGTCCTGTCAACCAGGGCAGTAACGCGTCTTTCTTTGTTCTCGCAGTTGTCGCTCACGCGTGGCTGGAGACCGTGCTCGACGTAATCGAGTTACTGCCCGTGGACATCGTGAAGCGCGAGGTAGGCTATCGAGTTCGAGCTCCCCGCCTTCGCCCCGAGCACTCCGCGATCGATCTTGTCCGCTTGCAGATCTTGCCGATCGCCACGAGCGCGCGCCAACTGTCGCAGAGCGTCAACTCGAGGATCACTTGTTGCCGACTGCTGGGCAAGGTCGCCACTCGCCTCGACGCCGCTACGTAAGTCGCTTCTTTCCTTTTGCCGGGCGTCCGGCCGATAGCGATGTGCTCACGATCAAAGCTGTGCTTGCAAAAGCGCGAGCAAGGACGTCCTGCCGACGGCGCAGTCGCTCTGCCAGGACGTCAGCGATGACGTGCGCGCCTGCATTTGCCTGCAGCTGCGCTTCATCGGCGACAGCATGGCCGAGGACGTGGTCAAGCTGCTGCCTCTGCTCGTCCAGTTGGCCGGCGACGAGGAGAGCAACGTCAGGCAGGCGGCTATTCAGACGATAGGTCATCTATTGCCTCGGCTCAAATCAGGTAATTCGACTCTCCCGCGAGTCCACGGATACGAATCGATGCCAATTTCACCGTTCGCGCATATGCAGATTCGGTCAAAGACATCGTAGTGCCCCTCATCAAGGTAGCCGCGGAAAACGCGGTCAAAGCGGAAGAGGACGTCATATGCGTCATCTCACAGGAATTTGGCAAGATTGCACAAATTTCTAAAAGTCGGTAATCCACTGCGAATGATCGTCGTTCCGTTGATTAATCGACTGCCGTCGTGACAATTTCAGGTTACTTAACGGCGGCGGATAAGTCATGGTTTGTAGAGTATTTTATACAACTTGCGCAGATAGGCACTCCTTCCGCGGCAAACGCGGAGGAGAAGAAGCCAGACTTTACTTTCATCGTGAGTTTTTCTACCATTGGCGAATAACCCAAATTAATCGACTAATTGCATTTTTTCCCTTTTCCAGGGTAACAGCGTTCAAGTCAACGACAGATTTGTCGAATGCCGGCGAAGTTGCGCTTTCAACGCACCCGCCATGTTTCAATTTGCCTCGACTCTTCCTGAAAATGTGGACTCGTTAATTCCTACGTTTCGAAATCTAGCCAGCGATTCGTATTTCATGGTACGAAGAACAATAGCGTGTGGCTTGCACGAGGTACAATTGGTCGTTCTTTTTTTGTTGGATGACAATTGAATTACGCTTCCAACAACGATGATCGTGCTTTTTTTTCTGGCAGGTCGTCAAGGTGTTGGGATCAAAAAGCATACTGATAAAAGCTGAATTGATAAGACTTTTGAAGGATAGTAACGAGGAAGTATTACAAGGCTTAATTCCACACGTGTCGGAGATATTGGACGTGTTGCAGCAAAATCAAGTCATCGGAGCGGACCAAACGGACGCGTCGACAATAGATCTAGGTAGGGCATTAATAAAATGCGAATCAGAAGTCTCGTCGACGAACAATTGGCGATTATCGGCGCTCATGCTCAATCAACTGGAAATATTGCCAAAGTGTTTTAGTAGCGACTTTATCTATACATATGTGGTGCCTATCATTAGGAAAAGAGTTTTGTACTCGGTAAGTATTTTCGAGTTTTGACAACCTCCGATGCCGACTGCTCATTTTCACTTGCATTTTCAGAGACCATTACCAGTACGTTTAGCCGCTGGCAAAACTCTACTTATATTTCTGCGGTATAATTTGAAGTCACAGCAGAGAGTCGACATAAGGAACCAAATTTGCACAGACTTTGCTCACGCGAGCAGCTGCTACATGCGCATGATATTCATTAGGATGATGATCGATGCTACTATGATATTCTCGTCGATGTACTTTAAAGAGCACTTTTGCTCGACTTTGTTAAGTTTAATGGAAGATCCGGTTGCCAATGTGAGATTGAAAGTCGTTACGCTTGTTCCTACGATTAAGGCTTGTCTCCGGTTACCGGCCGATAAAAAGTTGTTGTCTACTCTAGAAACCAACGTGCGAAACTTAATGAGTAATGAGAAAGACAGAGATGTGTCAGCTGCTCTTACGGAGGCGGCGTGTCAAATGGATAGTATTGAAGTTCGAGTCGACAGTCAACCGGTATGCCCCTCGATTACTTTTCTATATTTCAATCGAATCACAGTCGGTCTTTCGCTGTTTCAGTCACCTACGAAACTTGGCAGGTACGATTCCGAAGATATGAAGAAGTACGAGGAAGAGAAAAAGATCGAATCAATGTTAGGAGGAGCGAACACGACAAACGTCAGTAATCTCATTAAAAAGCCAAATGCTTTGAAATTACGTGAGTAATATAGTTTAGTGGAGCGACAGATGCGAAGGGATTGTTTAATTGATTAATAACCATTCGCATTCATCAGCGCCAACAAGCCGTGCGCCAGCTCTCACTTCTGGCTCTGAGTCACCGGTAAGGCCGACGGTCAAACCCAAGGGTGGTGAATCTCCGAAATCATCTACTCCGCCTAGCAGGCCGTCGCTAGTCAGACGTGAGTCATCATCATCATCATCATCATCATCATCATCATCATCATCATCATCATCATCATCATCATCATCATCATCCTCATCGTCATTATTATTATCCGAGATTATTCGTGACGATTACATAAAATAACGCTCGAACGCATTTGCAGAAATGTCCACGACCACTCGACAAGTGCCAGATCTTCCTAAAGCTAGGTAAATGTTTGCTGATTTTTACGAATTTAAAAAAATTTTGAGTTGCGTTGGACTACATGAAACTGTATTAAAATGATTTTAGTTAAGGTCTCGTGCATGCTTTGAAAATAGTTTTCTAACCTTTTAATAAACGCCCTGTATAAAAGGCGAGATTAACGGTGATAACAACGTGTGCCGTGTGTGTTTATAGTACGTCTAGCGACATCTTGACCACCTCGAGTTGGTCAAGATTCACGTGTAACAGCTCTCAACTAGGTCAACAACAACAGCCATGGGAAAGGGCTATATCGTCCTGTCATAACATCACACTAACATTGACTAACCCAACATACATGATGGCTAGCGATTATTCGACGGGCCAGCAGCAGCAGCAGCACCATCACCACCACGGCGCGCACTGCAGCTGTTACGAACTGGCCGATCGAATCTTCCGAACGCAAGCTTTCTCACCCGAGCATCACAATAATTACTCGCGGTCCGACTCGATTCATTGCTCCTGCCTGAACGGCTCGAATTACCTTAAAACTACTAATCTTTTTCACACCAAGCACGACTACAAGTTTTCCGATTTCACCAAGAGCTCGCTAACCAGCATGAGGGACGACAAGAACGACATGATGCAAGACTCGATGTTCTCGCGCTCGAGTCTCGCTAACAAATACCGATCGCCGGATATCGGCGCCTTCCAATCCCAATATAATCCATACTGGACTTTTAGCTCGATGCCGGAGATACCGGTGACGCTGGTCGACGACGAGTTCATGGTCGACGCCGGCATCAGAATTCCGTCGCAGCTCGGTTCCAACCAGAGCACCTCCAAAATACCCAATCTGGAAGATATCATTTACAGAAATAAAAAGCTCACCAACACCGACAGGCTGAGAAGAAGCAACACCGCCTTCGACAAGAGCAAGCAGTTCAACTTCGCTCTGCGAAAGGGCTTCTCCCTCGACTACGAAGACCCGGTCAGTCAGCCAGCGTCGATGGCGAACAATCGCGACTCCTCCTCGTCGTACTCGTCTCAAACGAGCCCGGAGGACAGGCCGAAAAGCAGCGGCATCGGCTCGCAGAACAGAGCGCGCTTCGGCTTCGAGATGCAGGCCCAGAGGAAAGCCATGCAAGAGGACAAGGCCAAGCAGCGCAACTCGATCCTCGTCGAGAAGGACCGCATGAAGCCGCTGCAGCCGAGGAACAACATCGGCGAGAAGAGCAAGAGGCACTCGGCTGGTTACGCTGGCGTGAAGCTCCCGGAGAGCAAGGAGACGACCAACAAGCTCGTCAAGTTCAAGCGGCACAGCATCGAGGTGCCGGACTACCACCCCGACAGAAACACCAGCGCCTCGCGCAACATCCGCAGACTCAACACCCTCGACGTCAACCACAATCAAGGTCTCAGCAAAATTCCCGTGCGAAGCATTCACGTTTCTGGCAGTCGAACTGCGCCGGTCACCAGAACTTCCAGCCCCATACGGGTCGATCCCGAGCTCTTTCAGAGCGTCGCTTACAAGAGCTCCGAGGGCTTCTCGCAGGAAAGGCGCCTGAGGAGATTCAGATCCAGCGACGAGGAAGTGGACAAGCTATGCCAGAAATTCTGACAGAGTGGTCGACCTGACAGTCCGCTATGAGCTACAGACATATCCGAGTAGGCTTTTTCAAGCCGCATGTTTCGTATGTTACGTGAAGTCGGCGCGCGTTTTTTGCTAATCGTTATACTTGCCAATTGTTTCGTAAAAGGAAGAGGAAGAAGTCGACGAGCAATTTGTTGCGACGCAACAGCTACGAAAATCTTTCGTTTTCCAAGTAGTCATTTTTCCCGTGACAACTGCGTACGGTACTTGTACGTGCACTCGCGGCGAGCGCGCTTTTTTGTTCATTTCACGGCAACACACACGAACACATCAACGAACACGTGTCTGTATCTCAACAATAACATTCGATTTAACGAGCGATACGCGTGCGCGTGCGTAAACTCGACTGTGCCTAAATTAGCAATTGTTTATTCCAAGAATATTTTCCAAGTAAATATCGTTACGCGATTAAGCATTTTTCTATGTATAACTTCGTCTTGTCGAATTTTAGCCTTCCTCTATGTATTAGTCGTAGTTACCAGTTATGAACGTTATAACTGAAACTTATAGTACCTGGCAAAAAATGAGAGTTAATGCAGATTCTATCGTAGATTAACATAATCATTCTGTACTTATTATTAGTTATTTCAGGGCCACTCGACAGTGCTTAAACAATTTTTCGTTTTTAACGGATCGCATGCACTGACTTGTGATATATAATATTTATATATATTGAATTTTCAAATTCAAATTTCCAAAAATGTATACGAATCTCATACCTGAAGCGCATACAGGGTATTTCAAACATCAAAAGAAAAAAAAGAAAAATGTGTCAAGTCATTATTTTACACAAACAAGTATCGAGTTTCATCGAAGTTCACACACACAAACACACACACGACTGCGAAGAATTTGTGATTTGTTTGTAAACAACATTGCGAGATTCAAGATAACAAATTATGATAAATATCAACGATACGTAACGCAATTTTTTCGATAATCTTCTACATATCAAAATGATACTTTTCCATACACCAGTAATCTCACAATAGCCTCAATGTGTCTGACTTGTTTAAAATATTACGAACGGATCTACCTTCGAATGATGCTCGATATAAACGAACAACTTTGGATATATTTTGAAAAAAAATTATTTTCAATCTTGCCTAACTTTGAGAGAAAAATATGTGTCTGCGACATAAAAAAAGACTTTCTAGTGTTTTCAGAAGTAAAAAGTCCGGACGTAGAATTATTACAGTATAGTTTATACAATTTTTACATAACAGTAGTATTAATCCTTAGAGCATTTTAACGCATGTGTTTAACGTATGTGTACTTTTAGAGGAGCGCAAAGTACTTATTTTAAGAGTCTTTATTTTTAGCGTCTTAACTCGCTCCTACTTATATATACGTTGATTTTGCGTTTAAAGTTACAGCTAGATAAACAAAGGGCATTTCCTCGTGTTTTTTTAACGTTAGATCAAAAGGATTATTCGCATTAATGCTTTTTATGACGTCCACGAGGTACTTGAGCATATTTGACAAATATTAAAAAAAATATAAGTAACGTTATTCATTATGAATGATTCAAGTGAAAGACTGTCAAAACAAGATTAATATTTACATTTTATTAAACAAAATGAATATTTAGTGCATTCATCGTGCATTACAAACCTTCCTTCCAGTTACTCACACCAATTATTATAATGTATTGGCCAGTTTATATCTCAGTTCTTTTGTGAAAGTGAGAGCCGCGTGAAAGTTAAAAAACTAAATCAATAATCCTCTACTCGTACGTGCAGGTTACAACTTTTTGACATTTTCATTGATGAACAAGTTGTAGTTTTCATTTTTTCACGGTTTTTCAAATTCCTGTAAAAAAGAACTTTCCAACTTCGTAACCAAAATCCGAAGAATTACTTTTGATTTCAATAGGTAGATGGGCGACTCTGCGTAGAGCATAGATTTTTATAAAATTTAAAAAAAATGCATTTCGTGAATTCTATTTACAGTATGCGAAGTGGAATGTCTAATATTTTGAAGAAATTTTTATACATTGTTGTAACAATGTCTGTTGAGAGAAAAAACGAACCATATATATACACATAACATACCGTCAGAAATAGCCAGTCTGATGCGTTTATTAAAATTAGTTAGATGAATGTTTAAAAGAGAGATTTTTAAATCTGTTTAGAGACAAAACATGATATGATGTACACCAAAAGAAAAACACTACTTAGAATGACTAGTATGTACGAAGTTTTGCTGATCCGCTGAGATTTATATATATTTTAGCTAATAAGTCTCTTCAAATAATACAAGTAAAACAAAGAAATAATCTAACCGACGGTTATTCATTGTACGTTTTATGTAGACAAAGCTCGGAGGTACGTCGGCCAAGAAACCGCGACAGTCACAGACCCACGTGACAAAGACACAAAACTCGACCAAAACTGGAAAATCGGAGAAGCCGATGAGCGCGCGCAAGATCTGAAAAGTCCCTCCGATTAGCGCTAGATAAGTATATATAGATACGTAGCAACTTACTTACCGTGCGCATTGTACGATATATATATATACACATACATACATAGGGGGTAACTAGAGATTCTCTCTTTCTCTCCGACGCCTCGTCTCAGACTTTCCGTAGCTTTAGACCGCAATTATAGAAATATTCGGATCTAAGCGCGTACGCACATTTAACAACATATTTAACGTAGCAGTTTCCGCAGCCTTCCGATTCTCTCCGTAATTTATTGTTGTAAGCTCGCGCTGACTGTGAGATGAGAAATGTTAAAGGTTGATTTTATTTATCGCTTGTTCAACTATATGAAATTTATATTTTGTAGACTGTAAAGATTATGTATAGTACAGTTTGTTGTAATGAAAGAGCATACATCATTTTTACTCGAGAAGGAAATAATATTGCTATTTTCTCTGCTCAAGTATATTAAAAATGTTATTGTCCGTTTCGCTTGTAGATTTTAACGCCGTTTCATTGGCTACCTGAAATTGTCGAAAAAAAAAACGCGAGAAATGTATGCCTTTCGAAAAAGCAATGTTTTTGCTGGAGCAAAATGATTTCAACGTTGAGTTATTTAATTAATATTTGTTATTTTTATACGCTGCGTGCGTTAAATTGCATCGCAGAGATGTACCTTCGATGGTAATACAATCATCACGCTTCGTTATGCGAATCTATGCTTCCTTTTGAAAGTCTTAGCCAACTTATCGCATTAGAGTAAAGTACTAACTTATTGTTGGCTACGCTTTGTATAAAAGAACACAAGAAAGATCTATAAAAGAAATAATACACAAAATATGCATGCAATTTCATCATGAGTTATGCTTGATCTGCGGTTTATTTTTATATAGACATCTACAATGTACTTATCGCAAAATTTTGTGCCAGAAAACAAACAAATTAATGAACGCGACTAATGTACCAAGAAATATTCTAACGTATTAAAGAGATAATATATTTAAAAAGTTGTTTCCCTATAGAATTGGAGCTAAGTAAGCGACTCTATATCTCGAGGCGAAGATAAACATTTTAAAAGTTCAGTTAATCACTGAAAGGCCTGTTATCGATAATCGTAAGATTGCGTGTGAATGAGAAGATGCGTGCGATTATTTTATTCTTTGTTCTGAAAAATGATATTGAAATAAATTATTTTCACTCACTTACATTGAGTATTTCTTCTGACCATTCCATTGATTAACATTAATTTTGTTTCATATTGTAGGTAGAAAAAAAACGAGGGAGAAAGAATGAGAAATAACGAACTAAGCATTTATGTTTGTATAATTTTCAAAACTTTTATTTTCTCTACCTCTCTAGTGAGACTTCGACACTACAATTTGCGTATGATTCTTTAAATTACTTAGAATATATGTTACATGATATATATTATAATTTAATCACCCGCTCGCTCTTATTTCTTATAGAAAAACTTACAATAGTAAATCAGTTTTATTTGCATTAAAGCTTATCGCTTTTCTTTTAATCTTTTATTCACTTCAACTAAATAATACGTTATAATAAAATTACCAGCTCGTGTCTCTTTTCTATAAAATCTTGATTGATAGTAAGTACATCGTTTGGCTTCGGTTTCATTTTTTTTCGAATATTCTCATATGCTGCTTGTTTCTTGATAAGTCGCGCTGTGCCTCTCGGCCCGTTACAAGTAAGCTCCATTTTTCAAACAGACTTGTCAGGACTATCGATTTGTAAGAGATCGATAACGTTAGTTGTTTTTTTTTTTTGAGTTCTATGATTATCCAAAAGACATCGGTACGACATTTACGATGAAAAAGTTTAAAAAATTTAGAGTTACGCTACGTAAAACGAGAACGTAACGCGAAATACGAAACATTGGTGCAATTTTTTTCTCTTACAGTAATATTCTATTACCTACGTAATACTCTTTTCAAGTCCGTACGCTTTCTGGCTTACTTATTAATGACGAATACAGCCAATTCTAATAGTTTTTAGTGAGAAAAAAATACGATTTTCTCGATACAAAATACATACACAAAGTATCTACTATCGTTTAAATCAATGCCTCATTTCTAACCAAATAGACGACGCACGCACGTAACATACTCCATTTACATACAAGATTGTATAAGTTTTAAAATGATGGTAAGCGCAAATAAATGACACAACCCTAATCACATTTACACAATATCCCATCTCAGCATCCCTAAATATACTACTTTTTATTAAATGCCTACTTACGATTGATCAGTTGTTTGTCTTACAATTAAGAATCTTAATTTTAAGAACGCATTAATGTAGAATACTGCATTATGATTCTGATATTTGATTTGGACATGTTTTTGATTCGTTTAGTCTGATTCTAGCAACGCGCATCAATGAACGAGCTGCAAAATTATTAAACAAAAAAAGATATAATTTATTCGATTATATGAACAGAAATTAGCAGTGCTTTGTCTTATACGTCGGAATCAAATTGACGAAACCAATATGTCAGTTTTCTCACATTGAAAATAATTGATATAATAACGTTTGGTATGTATAGATCATTTACCACGCAAGGAAATAATCGATCGGTGCTATAACGACGTGATTGCTTTATAATTAGGCCTTCCACTTTCCAAGCATAACCTGGAATGTCTCTCTATCTTTACCGTAATCTCTCTTTTTGAAAAACTATAATTGACCCTGCTGCTGCTGCGTGCAACGAATGCTAAATATTCATCGACCTGCTTTGAGAAAATGATACGTATGTACAATGCATTTTTACGAATAGAAAAATTCAACGCAAAATTAAATCTATTGTCACGATTAGTCCGCATTTTGAACATATCTATTTCGATGCAAATACGACGAGGAAAGCGTATGTATAAAGTAAACCGTAGTCTAGATAAACGAAAAATCTGTATTTCGTAATTACAAGCAAAGAGTAATATAAAACAATGACGTCTCGCTGTAGTCGAACTACAAAAATGCCAAGCGCTAATCACAAAGAAAGTTTTATTCAAAGTGAGATGAATTCGTGGAATCTAGAGACTTTCTCAACTTACGAAGAGAGGTTCTTTGGCACCTTGCTCAGTTCTATCACGCTGCCTCTCTCGTTTCTCTCGTTTTTCTCTCTTTTTACTTGCTCTCTTCGCGCCAGAGAAGCACGAAAGTAAGGAGACTGTGCTGCTTTCAATAATAGAAGAAATGGTTCGTTAATTTTTCAAGAGATCAGCTACGAAAGCTCTCGTAATGAATTGCTACTGAAAAGGACCCGCTAAACGGAACGAACGAAAGGTCAATTAGAATTTTTTAGAAAACCATTCAGAAAAATAATTCATAAGCGTACCATTGCAAAAGTAAATGGTTTGCACTTTCTCTTTTACTTCGCTCTATGGAACTACGCAGTGAATAAAGCCTGTGTTACATTTGCAAATAATTGTACGTTGCAATATATTCATGCAGTTCAGGTACACTCATCTAACTTGTTGCATTGCAAAGACAACCTATTAAACTGAAACTGTAGATAGAAGAATAACTGTAGCCATTAGAATCTTCATTCTAACTGGGGTCACCCACAGGAATAAAGTATGTCAAATATATTGAAGAGATAATTGAAGTGAAATAAAGTACTAGTATATAGCCTTAGGCGTGAAATGATGCGCTAATATGATTAGCATAGTTTTACTTTCTCAAGAAAGTATTTGTATACATAAATAACGCGATAAAGGGGCTTTAGATCCGCTGTAATCGAAATCTAAATCTAAATAAACAAAAAGGGCAAAACAAAAAATTAAAGAAAACAACACTTGGCGATCTTGCTAACTAAATAAAGAAAATTAAGTACAAACATGCGCGGGTACGCTGTGTGAAAGAATAATGCCTGTCGTATTCACGTACAGGTACGTGGATTGTATAAAGTTTGCTCATTTGTAAGCTTGGCACAGCCGATGAATGTGATGTGTGATCAATGTAAAAATCATGAGTGATGCACGGTCGATAAACAAGAATGTAAAACGAGAAATCATTGGCAGTCGAAGCCTTCGGAGAATTGCATAGGAAGTACTATATAACTTGCGCTTTAAGTAACAAAGCCCCCAGAGGTCTTAAAATATTGCTGATGAGCTCGATCATTTTCGGACTATCCAAATGGTGATTGCTCCGAAACAACTGTGCACACGTAAGAAGCAAAATCAAAAGAAATCGATTACTCATTTCGACGAATTCAAACAGCCCAAAAATCACCGGACGTGACTCGAATGCGAAGCTCGAGCACGCGCAAGCTCGACATGTACGACTCTCCCGGGTTGAGCAAGTTGCGGATAACCGATCGAGTAGTCGCAACCCACTCGTGAACACTTTCTAGTTTCAATTACAAGGTACAGCTCACCGTCGTCCCTCTCAGTCTAGTTTCTTTTTGCCAGCGGCTGGCTGCGCGTAGATCGATGGCTTACGCGGGGCTACATTGGCAGGATGCTACAAACACAACACTCTTGCGCACGCATCATCAAGATTCGATACGCGAGTGTATCGGAAGTCACCCGCATACTCGTGGCAATAACAGACTGAAAGTGAGTCAGTCAGAAATCGTGACAGATGATAGAGGAGGGGAAAGTCTTGCGTGGGTTCGCATCGATATATGTTAGGCCCATGTTATTCAACGGAAAAACGGAAGGTAAACAGCCAGGCATTCTTTTTTTCTTTACACGCAAACAGAACAATGTGTTTGCGCTCGTCGCTATAACCTTTCATCTGTCGCTCAAGAAACTTTATTACTCCCTGTACTTATATAGCTTTATTATCTTATACTTTGTGCTACTGTGTACGTGTACGCTAATTAAATTTGAATGCATCCTGTGTCTTTCAAGGTGCCCATTTACACTAGACCGTCGATGCACCGTAAGAAAATTCTTTATGCGTTTTAATAGATTGTTTCTTATGTTTCTTTTCAGTCAAAAAAATACAATTATTAAAAGATTTTTTGCTTCATTTATACTATTGATTGAATTCATTCAAGTCTTTTCTTTTCACTGGAAATGTAAGATAGTTTGTGCATTTGATAGCCAACGTAAGTTCAGCCTTTATAAAAAACTATGAATAGAGCTGTTACAGTAGTAGTTTGAATTTTGTACAAGTCTTTTTAAAACGTGCTTCGACATCACGCATGTAAGCGTTAATCGAGTAAAGTCTTATTGGCTCGTTTGATTTTCAAAGAAAGGCGTACGCGCGATTGAAGACGAAAATAGGAATTCATCAATTACTTTGTTTTGATTCGATGGCCTATGCGAAAGTCTTTTATTTCTCGGCACGTAAAAAAATCGTGCCTGGACATTGTATTGTATGCTTGAGAAATCGAAAATTTAAAACCCTCTTTCACAAAGATACGTAAATTCTTATGTTGTCTAAGCACTACAATCGTACGTAAACATAATTCTAAAATAGTCAATATCTCGAACTTGTACAACGACGTTGTTTGCAAGCTTTTAGGTAGAAACTTCGATGTCTTTAATCTATCAGATAAATCTCTTGGCCCTACCGCGTTGGCAGAGCTATGCAGCTAGCCAAAAATTCGGAGTCTCGAAGATCAAGTCGGGCTTGGGAAAACTCGTTAAATTTTTGTGCTTCAAGATAATAGAGCCTTTGAATTTAGTAGGAAATAGCAGAAGTGTATTCATACAGAGCGTTTAAAGGTGATTTAGTTGGAGAGAAAGAGATGGGGAGAGGGAAGGGGAGGGGCTGACTTTTCAGACAACCCTAATTAGCATTAGAATTGTCCGAAAATACTTGGAGTACTCGAAAAGTTTCGAGTAGCCCGAGTATTTCGTTCTGCCAAGCCCGACGATTCGAGTCGAACTTGCGATTTTGAGTACCTGCACAGCCTTGCCTCTCATGTCACTGGATGACGATGATTCTCTTTTCTTGTAAATGGAGTTACGTTGGCATAATTCGACGAGGTACTTACGCTTCTACCCTGTTCTACCAGAATACTTCGATCAATTTTGTAATACTCTTTACCGCTACGCGGTCGCAGAGTTGTCGCTACAGCTCTACCGCCGATTCTGCAAACATAAATATCACCGTATTATTCATAAGTTCAAGCACGATAGCGTAATTTGAATTGCTCATTGTTACCGAAGATTATCAGGAGCGTCCGAAGATGAGTGAGAAGAGAGAGACAGAGTTTCTATGTAGTCAGACATATCTGACGTTCCACTACTTGTACTTCGAGAATCGATACAGGGTACGCTTGGTACATCACTGGGACTGCTGAATTCCTTGGATCCCTTGTGAGGCAAACACGTGGGTATATCAGCCTCAGCGGACGACGACTTTGATGGCAGTTTGGCTTTGTGAAACTGGAAGGTTATTTCTTTCAGTGGATCACTGGACTTTGATTTTCTCGGTAGACTACTGTGAAAACACGCCGGTGGTTGACTCTTCTGGTACATCAGCGGTACGCTCTGCTTCTTCAGCAGCGTATTGGCAGGAGTCGTCGGGAACTCGAACTCGACGAACTCGGCAGTTTGGTGACTGAGCGATCCCGTTGAGACACCGGAGTCGTTACTGCTTGAGGAATCGCGATTGTGGCCAGTCTTGGATGGCACCGAAGAAGACCGTCGTATTTTGATAGCAGCCAGTGGCTGCGGCGATAGCGACACCGCGTCGGGACTGTAGTTCTCCGAGTCTACGGCGTCGTTGCTCGTCGAGGGCTTGTCCGTCTCGCTGGGACACTTATGTATCGCCGCACTGGTAGTGAAACTGTTGGCACTTTTCTCGTCGTCCAGGCAATGCGCTGACTCGGCCGAGTACGACCTCTTCTTAAGTAGCATGCCCAAACTGCCGCTGGCCTCAGAGTTGGACATCTCGAGAAGACGACGTCGAAAGTAGGGACTAGAGAGCATCGCCGAACCGGGAACGCGATACTCGGACTCCGACCTCTTTTTGTTGACCTCGAGCGGCGCCGAGAGCGCGGGATTGCTCGAGCTCTTGACTCCGCTGCAGAGCCTCGATAGCACCTCCTTAGAGCAGGTGTTGTGCAGCGGCTGCATGGGTATGTAGCCTGGCACGCTATTTTTCGGGGAGCCCGGCTTCTCATCGACGACCAGATAATCTTGGCAGTTAAGTCCCTTGAGGTGGCCACACTTGCGGCAGAGCTGTTCCTCGTTGATGGCGTCGGCGTCATCGACGCAGCTAGCGCGCGTTACCGCGGGATCGGGCACTTGATCCTTGGCGAATCGATCGGTCTCCTCTTGCGAGTTGAGTGCAACCTTGGCGAGCAGTTCCTTGCTGTTCTCGTAATTGCCCAGGGACTCGGTGAACTCGATGTTGGCGTAATTGGCAAGCTGTTGCTGCGCCTCCGGCTGAGTATCGATGATCGCAGGCTCGACGTTCTCGTAGTTGGCTTTGGCGTCGGTCTCGAGATTGCTCGCGTGCACGGGGCAGTCGTGACTAGTGGTGGCGGTGGTGGTGGCGGTGGCGGTGGTGGCAACGCCGGTGGTCGGCGAACCGTTGTAAATGGCCAGCTGCCCACTGGCATTGACCACCGGCATCTTGCCCTCGCCGCTCAGCCGCACGGGTTGAACGGCCAGGCCCGTGGGTTCGATGCCGGCACCCCTCCGACAGTAGGGTAACACGAAACCAGCCCAGCTCATGACGTTGCGACAGGGGCAGGCAATGCTCTTGGGAGCGTTGTTGGCTGCCTGGAGCGTCAGTTTAGCGGGGCAGCCGCACTGCTGCAGTACGACCGCTTGAGGGGCCTGCGGCATGTCGTAGTTGGGGTAGGCCTTGGGCTGCGTCGCCAGGCACTCCTTCAACTTGCGCGGGGTGTCGTAGTACTGATCGGCTTGGGGACTTGGCTGATCCGGCGCCGCCGCTAGCGTCGACGCAGCCGCCACCGGGATCGTCTTTGGCACGTCGTAGTTCTCGTACGGGCCTGCCGCTGCCGGCGCTGCTGCTACTGCTGCTGCTGCAGCTGCTGCCGCCGCCGCTGCTGCTGTGACTGCACCTGTTGACACGATCGATATGTACTGCTATAGGTTTGCTCAGCCATTGTGCAAACAGTATGAATTATTTGCCGGCTTGTTGACATATTAGGCGTATACATTATCTGCCGGCCGAGCGCCAAGCGCTCTCGGGCCCTGCGCGATCGATTTCCTCCGCCACGAGATGCCTATTTCGCTTGCCAGATGCCAAGTTAAGTATGATGGAGCGATGAAATTTATAGCGCGATGAGAAGTTAGCAAAAAAGAAACTTAGATTGAAGCTTGCCTCCCTTCCCGTCCAACAACTTTCTTTCCTTCCTTCCGACTCCTTTTTTTCCAATTTTACTTCTCGAGTAATCAAGTCACTGCGCTAGATTCCAAATTAAATCTCGCCTGATGCTTGAATAGCTTTACTCGATGGCGCAAACCACGCTGCTTCTCATTACTTCATTTTTTCAATTTGAACTTGGCGCCGAATCAGCGTAAAATGAACAACAAGCGACCGACAATCGTCGTTCCGGAGAGTGCAGCTCTCTGCATTTTCAATGCAAATACGAACGAGCGAGCGTGTTTTGCGCCCGCGAGAGCATCTATTTTTTTAATTTGAAAACGAAAATAGAAACGCGCAGCGAGAGACGAAACGCCAAGAATACGGAAAGAGCAAGTTTTTCACGGCGTTCCCAGATGAGAATTAATTTTTAATCTCGCAATTACTCATGCAAAACGCGTAAAATACTTTCTTTGCCAGACTGGTTTCTTTTTCTTTGCTGCAGCGCCTTCTGCCTCGTCTCGTGTCGTACATAGTTTCGCGGCGCTTCTTAAGGGGAAAAAAAAAATGCGTTTTGAAATATTACTGCAACGTTGCGCGAATGCACGCAGTGGCGAGCAGCGAGCAGCGAGCAGCGAGCAGCGACTCGCGAGGAACGGCGTAATCGGAAGAGAAAAGAAAGGTAGCCGGGTCGAAAGACGGGAGAAGAGGACGACGAGTCTCACCATGGCGAGCGGGAGCGGCGTGCTTCCAGGCGCACGAGCAGGCCTGCTCGGGCGGCAGGGGCATGGGCGGCTTCTTGGCCTTCTTGGGAGCGACGGACGGTTTGGGCGGTCTGAGCGGCAGCGCCAGCGGGCTCGGCGAGTGCCTGTGCACGCCCGGCGCCGTCTGCGGCTGGGGCGAGCAGCGGCACTCGCTCTGCTGGTAGTCGCTGTCGTGGCTGCTGCTGCTGTAGGACGAGAGCGACAGCCGGTCGAAGGCCCGGGGCTGCAGGTGGGCCAGGCCGGCGACGGCCGGCGCGGGGCTGGCCACGTTCGTGGCGCAGGTCGACGACTTGGAGATGGTGCCCAGCTTGCCGATGCAGCTGGCGCAGCGCTCCAGGCACGGGGCGGCCGAGTGCTGCCGGGAGCCGCGCCAGTCGGCGGCGCCGGCGGTGGCGACGCTCGCCTGGTCGGCCAGCTCGGAGGCGAGCGAGGCGCCGTAGTCGAGCTCGCACTCGGCGTCCTGGCGGCTCTCCGCCGAGGACCAGTAGGAGGAGGCGCCGTCGGTCTTGAAGCCGTCGCACTGGTCGTCGAACGACACGATGCTGCTGCTGGCGTAGGCGCTGCCGAGCGAGGCGCCCGGGAAGAAGTCGCTGGCGCGCGTCTCCGACCTGGAGAACTGCCGGCGCGGGCTGTCCTGGGCCGCCGCCTGCGCGCCCCGCTTGCGCGCGGACAGCCGGCCCTCGGCCGCCAGCTGGAGCGCGCGCGCGATCTCGTCGCCCTGGTCCGTGACGAGCACGTGCAGGCCCTCGCCGCGGCCGCACCTGGAGCCGCCCTCGAAGCAGAAGCGGCCCTCGACCACGCCGTAGCGCCGCAGCTGGCCGATCTCCCAGGTGCCCACCAGCCTGGGCGGCACGCCCACGGTCATGCAGAACCGGTGCTCCTGCACGTGCAGCTGGGCCGGTCCGCTGCTCAGCTTCGCCTTGGCGGGCGCGCTCGAGATGAGCACTAGGAACTGTTGATCTGCGGGCCCACGGACGCGCGCGCACGGCGCATTATTCCCCGGCTCGGCTGGCAGCACGTGGCGCGCATCCACGCGCTCGATCAATACTCGTCCCCCTCGATTCTCGCGCTCTCCTCCGCGCCGCAGTTGCGCCAGACACGCACGCGGAAAGCACCCCCCGGCGTCGTTCCCGAATCGCAGGCTCGCGCGACGTCGCGGCCGCGGTTACGCTCGCGGCTCGTCCGCGGATTACGCACCTTCGCCCAGGTTGTTGGATATTTTGACCTGCCACTGTATGAGCCGCTCGCGCGTGTCGAACGCCAGCACGACGGTCACGTCCTGGCAGACAATGGCGATGGTGTTGGACTCCTTGTCGAGGGTGAAGCCGCTCTGCACGCCGAGGAAGTGCTGCAGGCTCAGCGACGCCTTGGTCTGGCCCTGCTTGTAGCGCTCCTTGCTGTCCCCGTACAGCTGCAGATGCAGGCAATCTGGAACGAGCCGAACAAAGGGGCCTACAGTGCGGCCGCGTGCATTGCGCGTCCCGTCTCTCTATATCTGTTATTGATCTGTTGCTGCTTGCCCGCGTTGCGTTTCCTTGCTTTATTTCTCCGGGGCACGCAACGCGTGGCGGATTGACCGGCGCGCCGGAGAGAAACCAGTCGCCCGGGAGAGCGATCTATGGATTTGCCCGAGAGCACGATCGGCGTGGTCGTGGCAGTCGTGTCCTCGGCGCGCGCCTACATTTCCATAATTTATGGGCCGTCTTTCTTGCCCCGGCTCCCTCCCACTTTTCTCTTTTTCCCGTCCCGTGAGCGATGGGCGCGTAACGAAAATTTAAGGAGTCGGAACGCGAGGAAATCACTGCAGCCGGCGGGCAGACGGGGAAAACGAATTGCCGGCGAGCGTCCGCGTCGTGGCCGTTGGAGAGCGGCTATTTCGGGGCCGCGCGCGACGCGCGACACAGGAAGCCGCTGCTTAGCGGCGCGGCGGCTGCCTCCGCGCGCTATTAAATTGACGTAAGAGGCTGCCGCCGCGCCACTAGGCGTCACTCGATCCCGCCAATCCGTAACACATGTTCCGAGCGCGCACCCTTCGGCCCCGAGCCGGCAGCCCCGCGAGCGCTACTCGAGCGGCGTGGGCTCGGGGCTCAACGGGAAAGGCAAGAGCCGGGCCTGCGAGAGGAGCTCTCGAGAGCTTAACACCTACGCGCGTGCCGCCGCATGTTTTTCCTCGGGCCGTGACCGACGCTACGCGCGACTAATTGACGCAGCTGCCGTAATGTTTATCCTCCTCGTCGCGGCCGATAAGCGCGCGGATCATCGTAACGTAATAAGCAGGAGATAAGCGATGCGGCGGAGGGCGGGAGGAGAGGAGGTTCGGCCCGGGCGGGCCTATCGCTGGGATTTCAGCTGCTTGCAGCCGCTCGCGCGTCTTCCTCGCTGATCCTCGTGGGCGCGCGCTCGACGGAGACCCGTCGTCGGGAATTCTATTTTCGCGAAAAGCTCCATATCGAGGAGCGGCGCGATCGTCCACGGCTTTGCATACCATTAGCGGGGCGCTTTTGGCGTCTTTTCTTTCTCGCCGAAGCGAGCGCCAGCGTTGTATGCACTCCCGACCGCGGGCAGACCTTTGGAAGTCCGATCACAGCTGCGCCTGCTCTCCCGGGCACGGCCGTTTATGTTTTTCGAATGATCCGAGGATAATCGCCTCGAGGGCTCGAATCCATTTCTGTAATGACGCCATTAACGTGCAAATAAACTCCGACGCGAGAGCGCGGGCTGCTTTATTTTTTTATATTTAAATCTCCAGCTGGGCGACCGGCTGTCGGAAAATTACTTTTTCCACGATCGCGCGCCGCGACAGCGCGGCGGTATTTCAAGCTCGGCTGATTATTCAACGTCGCGCGCGCGTACAAAAGTGAAAAAGCCAAATAAATAATAAAACAGCAGCAGCGCTCTCGAGTGTAGCGGCCGTGCGCGCCTTCGCTCGAGAGACGCGGGAGAAAAAAAAAGGCGAACGCACGCGTGTCGCGATACGCTCCCAATTAAAGCTGACACTGACATAGACAAACAGACCGCGCGAACCGTTTCTCAGCTGGCGCGATAGAAATAATTTTCAATATCCAGGACAGCGCGCGTGCGCGCGAGGTCGTTATTCAGGATGAGCTGATATTTATCCGGCGAGATGCAGCGAGTGCCTCGGCAAAGAGGCAAGAGATGAAGGGGAGACCCGAGAGAAATGTCGGAGCACAATGCTTATCATTTCCAGCGAGTCGCGAAGAAAAATGAGAGATAGACGGCGCGGCCGAGGGCAGCTCGTTACTTATTATGCGCATGATGAGAACGGAAGCTCTTTATCTGGCGATTCAATATACTCTCTTTCTCTCTCCGCCTTTGCTGCGCGCAGCGAGGCTCAGGGGGATACAGAAGGAGCGATCGCCGGCACCTGATGCATCGCGCGCTCATTGTCGTCGTCGTCGTCGTCGTCGTCGTCGTCGTCGCCGCGCGCGATGACTAAGTCTTGGGGAGAGCGCGACGGATTATTATGCGAGCGCATCTATCTCCCGGCCCTGGCAGACTCTATCGAAAGAGACACACGCGTTGCCGGAAGTCCATCAAAGACGCCGGCGTTTCCTGCGCGCGTGTGCGTCGTTGCGCAATCCGCGGCGCTTTTTCTCTCGCACACGCGTATCGCCAGTCTAGTTTTCTTCTGCCCTTTGTCCATCGCCCGTCCGCGTCCTGCCGCCGCGGCCCGCGTGCCTATCGATCGCCGTCGACTGACTGCGCTTTTTCACGTCCTCCTGGGCAAATCGCGTCATCGCGAGTGAATGCTTACCTGCGACCGGGGACAGCTTCCGCATGACGCACCATCGCGACTTCCACTGAAACAGAAACAAAAGTGCATTCAACCTTTGGCCGCTTGATTGATACTCGCTGCCTCCACGCGTATCTATCAAACGTTTTCGGCCGTCTGGCAGAGGCGAGAAAAAAAAAACGAGTAAACAAAAAAGAGAGAAAAAAAAAAACACGAGTGCTCTAATGGCACGCCACTTCATCACACACAGGCGCGCAGTGCAGTGCCATTCGCATTGTCTCGCGCGTACGCGTCTTTCGGTAAAAGCGCTCGCGCAAAAGCCATTTGCTCTCGTCGTTGGTCGCGCGCGGGGCGCGGAGAGCGAGCCGAGTCGATGTTTGAACGCGCGCGCGCGCGGGGCACAAAGCTGCAACGCGAGGCAATAATAACAAAAAGCCCCGGCGAGCAGCTGCTAATTAGCAATTAGCGGGCCGAGGGCGAGACGGCGCGCGAGTGTGTTTTCATCGGGCGACAATTATGCGGAGAGCGCGTACGTGACGGCAGCCTATGTCGGCCAATCCGGCGCTGCTCCAGATCGTCGAGTCTCGGCCGAGTGTTTGATCGATCGACGTCGTTACGAGATTGCGTGCGCGAGGCGGATCATTAGTCGGCTGCTCTCCCTTGAACAATCAAGGCCGCGCGCTCGCGTAATCGGAGCCGGCGAGCGAACGGCGGGAGAGTGCCGTCGGGGAGTCGGCAGGGCGCGAGTTTCACGAGGAAAAATTGGCGCGCGCGGCGCTGCGCGTTGATCGGCTCCCGCTGCCGCCACCGCTGCCGCCTTGATCAACAAATCGTCGCCTCCGCGATTGACACGTTACAGAGGCGGCAGAGGGGAAAAAAAAAAAAAAAACACGCGCGCGCGGATTAGTAACAGCTTCGTGCTCAGTCCACAGTGGCTCGCGTGAAAAGGCGAGAATCGGCCAATTCATTGCACCCCTGTGCGTACGCGACACGTCCCCCCGCTCTGTACGCGCGCGCTCCGAAGAGAGAGACATTAATCGTTAATCGCGCGCCGTTTGATCGGCTACGCAGGCGGCAGCTTCACGGACGGTCCATACCACGGCAACAGCGGCGCCTTGCTCGCGATGTAGCTACGTGTTTGCGTGTTACGTTCCATCTCTATCTCTCTCTCTCTCTCTCTCCCGTTGTTAGGCTCTTTTATAGTCAGCAGCTGGCTCAAAGGCGCGACAAAGAGGCTCGCTCCGTCTCCTCTGCTGCACCTTGTCGAAATCGGAGATGCGAAAAGCGCCGGGACGCGCTCTGCCTCTCGACGCTGGCTGCTCTAGCCCCCCGCGCCAGTCAGCGAACTTGCGCGTGTGTTGGTGTGCGTGCGAGATTCCCCAGAGGAAGAAAGACGGATAGAGCGCGTGCCAGATAAAGGAGACGAGCCTGCGAGAGAGAGAGAGAGAGAGAGAGAGAGAGAGAGAGAGAGAGACGGAGAGTGTGTGCGCGCTGGCGCTATATCTCTCTCTCGCGCACTCGCTCGGTGTTTGCTTTGACACTTTGGCGCGTGCGAGCTTTTTTGTTGTTGTATATCGCACGCGCTGCTCGTTCTCAGTGCCCTCCTCATGCGGCTAATTCGGAGCACGACAGGCTGGTATTACGAAGCTGAGCACTCACCTTCTTGCCATCGCGAAACTTGACGTTCCCCTCGATAATGCAATTGTTATCGACCATCCTGGAGGCAGCCGGTGCGCTGGTGTTGCTCCTCGCGCATATCACCGACGATCAGCAGCTCTACACCTCGTCGACATGCCAGCGCGAGCAGCTCGCACTTAACGGCCGACTCGTCACACTCGTACGACTCCAGTGATTCTTTCGTTGTCTCGTACTCTATCGCCGGCCCATCGCACTCGTACACCTACGCGTAACGTGCACTAGACGCGAGAGAGCGCAAGCAAGCATCCATCTTGGCTTGGCCGCCACCGCGCCGCGAGTGTGTGCGGGACTCTAGCAGCAGAGCAGCTCTCGCGTTTCGCGCACACGCTTACCGTCTCCCCTCCCTTCGCTCTCTCTCTCTCCCTCTCCTCTCTCCCTCTCTTTCTCTCTCGCTCTCGCTCACCGTTCGCCTGGGGTTCGATGCCCCCCTCTGCCGCCTGCCTGCCCGTGCCTGTTTTTCCAGCACACGCCGTCGCGTGCTGCTGCCGTAGCCGCGAGCGCAGGGCTAGCTTGGCTATCCTAAAGTACCAGCCAGCTTTTCCTACACACGCAACGCGCTCGCAGGGGATGCGAGTGTGTCTGTGGGCAGTGCCGACTGCCGGCGTCCCGCTGCGATTATTCGGCAATCTACGTGCTCGCGCGCGCGCTAACTTAAGATACGATCTGGGAAAGTCCAACGCAACCTCTGTGTCTCTGTGTGCGTAGCGATGCCACCCTCCAGTCTCATCGCTTATGTAGCTTTTTTTGTTTGTTCTCCGACGTACACAGCCGTGCGCCAGAGATGGAAAAAGATTTTTATTTTTTATTCCCCCGTTTTTTTCTTTCCGTCTTTTTCCAAGCGGTTGGCTTTATCGGCGATTTCAGCAGTGGCTCTATCTATACGCCTTTTTTATCTTCTCTTTGCTATCGGGCTATAGGAGAATTGTTCCGGACTGATTGTTGGGTCGAATCGCGGTTTAAACGAGATTGAGAAGAATTTTACCCTCTTGTTGTTTTTTCTTCTGCTTTTTCAGTCAAATGATAATTGGGCCAATTAAGCCCGCATCGTGATTAACGTTATATAGGGGACAGAAGCATTATTGTTTCCTGAATTATGAAGCATGCATTATTCATTCGAATTATGCATACGCGCAATAGTATATCCAGAGTGATGACGACGATCATTTTCATTGATTAATCATTGTCTATTATACGCTTTTTCTTCCAATTGATGGTCCGCGTTCATCTGTATCTGTATAACGTTTGTCTCCTCGTATTGTTGCGCGAATATTTATGGAGTGCGAAGCCGTTTGCACGGCGATAATGACCTCATTTCTGCTTGCCATTCGTTTATAAATTCATAATACAGAATAATATACTGCGCGTACTTCGCTCAATTTCGTTATAACTGAGATCACTGGTGTGTAGCGCTTATTTTCTATTTGAAAATAAATTCGATGGTGGAAGTGATGTTATTTCTTGTGAAAATTAACTCATTAGATGATTTAAATTAAACACAAAAGGATAACACTAACATAAAAGAATCGCGGAACGTTTTAAAAATTTCATGATTTTTTAGTACTTTCGTAACTATTGGATGGTTTTTGCTTCTAAATATTTTGAATGACTCGTGAAATTTTTAAGATTTTTTCAAAGATTGCAAATAATTACATTTGTGAAAATGAGTTCTGGTCTCGTCACTTCTTACTGAAGACACATGCTATCTTGAGCAAAAGTATCGTATATTACAAATGTTATTAATGTTATTAAATTATTTAACACGGAAAGACAGTCTGCAACTTTGATATTCAATTATTGATTAATTGTAAGCATCAACGATCAATTAAATCATATTTTCCGATAGTAGCATCAGCTTGAAAGCGAATTATTTGTATAACGTCGTATAGTAATATTCTACATAAATTGTGCAAAGAAAGAGGCTCGACAATTTTAATATAATGATAGGGTAAGTATCTCTGCCCTCAGCAGTGTAAGGGTTATCTAACTTCTTTAGCTGAAATAAACTCAATAAATGCTTATTTCTGCTTAATTTTAATTTAATTGCTTCGCAGGTTGAATGATACAATAGTATAATTGCTTTTCAAGTGATTATATTTATTGAATAACATTTCAAAAATTAACAGAGAAATTCAATTTGCTATTTACCGGTCAGTTAAAGTATTACTTGGCTACTAACGTTTCAGTACTAAACCGTAATAATTTATGTACGATAATTTTTTACTACATTTTATTTTTTTTTTCTTATTAAGGGACGGTCGATATTGATTAAAACATTTAAAATTACTTATAATAAAAAAATATATTCCAATTTTAAAATAACGAAATCAATTTAAATAACGCAAGGGAATTTTTGTCGATCTGGCACATCGTTCTATCTGATATTCTATTTTTAATTTCTACCTAGGTTCGTAAGAGATTCTACGTATTTGACTATATCTTTTGATTTATTTTGTTCATTTCTTTCACAACCATCCGTCTGTTCTCCTTTAATTTTCTTTGATAAAGGTTCTTTTAGTTAGGCTTTCCTCTATTCGTTATACACTTACTTTTTTATCAATCGTTTCCATTTTCTTTTCACTCATCTTGATTCTTTCACATTTATTTAATAATAATACTAAGCACACGATTGTTGCTAAAAGCTATTGGAACCATCAATTTCATCATAGTGCCTGACTACGGAACATTTAAATTTATTTGATGGCTCTATTCCCCGGCCCTCCCGTCGGTAACTGGTTTTGATCATTGCGGTGTACCACTTACCGGCTTTGAAAATTACTCATTTTCATCTAAAAATGTAAAAATATCATTATTGTAAAATTACATAGAGTACATTTTTATATTTTAAATGAAACCATTTGCAGCTCATACAAATAAAAATAAATTAGTCTGCACTGTATTTTTTGCGCGAGATTCTTAAAAAAAAATTAAGAAAGTCGACAAATGTCATTGTGCGCGCAGAAAATAGAAAATTAGAATATTTAAATTAAACCGATAGATTATTTTTTATGGTATGAAATAATGTTTAGCCTACTAATATAATATAAAATAATTGTTTTTGTTACAATTACACAAAGCATAACTTATTTAATCAACGTAAAAATAAAAGTGACCGAGGATAGGGTGGTGGCCACGAGCATAGGGACACTCACCCTATACTTTTAAGATACATTACAGACTGTATTAAATAACTTAATCTAACTTCCTGTGACATAGTAATTAATGCACGTGATAATGAACAATTGCTAAAAGTAGTTATGTAAGTCAAATATTTTTGTGGCTGTTTCTTCAATAAAATTATAATTTATGTTTATTTGAATTTATAAGCGGAGCTTATTCTTGAAGTAAGTTTTATTGATTCAAACGTATAACATATATACTGGAAAAATATGGATCGAAATTGACTTAAAAAAATTTAAATTCTATAGAACAGTTTAAAGAATTTAAGGATATATAATATACTATAGTAATGACTACCGAGCTTTGCACGATCATCTTTTTTCGCATTAATTTTCATGCACGAATATAGATCTAAACTTTTATTGGCGAAATTGAAAATTTAATATACATTCAATATTCTCATTATTTCATTTGAAATGAAATCTCGCGCCACAGCTCACCCTATAGTGGTGAACGCGTCTCCCCGACTTATTTAACAGAGCACCAGACTGTTCCTTTTTATTTGATTCAATTCGATTTGATTCGCAATGTTTTCCCATGTTCCGGTCATTGAATCCGGTGAGATTTTATTCTATTGCAGAGTCAACTGTACCCGCATCTATAAGGTTTAACTCGCTTCTCGAAATATCGGCTTCATGCGCATTCAATCGCCTCCTTTTATTTCTTGTCGCTCTCTTACAATTAGTTTGTCTTGCTCGTTGTCGCATAGATGATATAAGCGACTCAAGATGGCCGCCACTACTCTAACGCGTGCACGTTGGGTCCTGCGGTACCGGTGTTCGTCGCGTTTCCTAGAGCACTCATCATCGCTGGTCGCGTGAGTGTAAAAGTGTGCACCCGTACAGTCCCGTATATTTAACAGATAGTGTTTGTATAGCGCTCATGGCGCCGTCAGTAGTGTGCAACAGCCTAGCACAGCTGATTGCCAGAATAGACTCCGCGTCACAACGCCAAGCCGTTACGAAGCACCATCTAACAACTTAATGCTGTACTACGAAACGTGTGGTGTGAGCTGCGCTACGTAATATTATTGTTGTTTCGTGAATTAAACGCTTATTTAATTTGTGTGGTAAATTTCTTAAAATCACTCTCTTATTTAACAATTGTTTCAGTGTGATAGCAGTGATTTAGTTATTTATTTACAGGAGAAACGGTAAAATTTACAAAACTTTTTTATAACCTTTTAACTAACCCTTTTGTTTGAAGTTAAACTTTGTACAATTGTTTTCGTTTACTTAATAGCAACAGAACAATAACATATGGACTTGGTTTTTCAAATTGTGGCAATGAAAATTAATTATGAATAATAAAGTTGCTAAAATGACACGAGCTGTGAAACGAAAAAGAATCATTGTTGAAAGTGACAGCGATAACGAAGATTCTAATAATCGTTTGGTGCGTAGAAGTTCACTGAAAGTCAATTTGAGTTTCACATCCAATGTGTCAGATTCAGGAGAATCAAATTCTGATCATGAATTATTAAAAAAAAAAAGTGAAGAAACTACTGATGAGGAAAATGAAGGCTTAACAAGAACTGTTAAATACAATACTAACAATGTAGTAAGTAATGACCCTGCAATACCAGTCAGTATTGCAGATGATACCATTATAAATGCAGTTTATCATAAAATTTGCAAGAAATGGTCATCGAGGAATCCTAGACTCTTAATGTCTGATATGGAAAAGAAAGAACAGCAGCTTAATAAAAGCTGTATAGAATTGCAAAATGCTATTATTAATAAAACAAAATCTTTATTAGATAATGAACTATCTAAAAGAACATCAGAAATTTTAACTGGTTGTTCTAATATGAGACAAATATATAATGATAACCATGAAAATAGATCACCAAGTGTTAGAGTTGATGTTGGAAAAAATGATCAAATTGTTATGGCTGGGTGTGGGGAAAAGCAGAATCCAGTTCGAGTAAACATTATGTCAAGTAATACTCATTCAGAAAAGAATGATAAGGTTTCTCAAAACAGTGATCCGAATGATTTAGATTGTAATCAAAGTATAATAAGCACACCAAAAAAATTCAATACAGAAATATTACATGATAAATCATTAGGTAAAACATCTATGAAAATGATAAAAATGCCAGTTATTAGGTTATTTGCAGATAATAATCCTGACAACTCAATGTCTGAGATAAATTATGTTTTAACTCCTAAGAATTCAAGATTAAATATCTCAAAAGACAATGAAGCAAATAATAGAACAAAACCTGTAGTATCTAATGAATTAAATATTACAGTTAGTCCTATACTAAGTCAAGGAACCAGAAGAACTAGAATCTCTCGTCATTCTTTAAGAAGAAAATTAATAACCAGTAATGACGCTGAAACTTCAAGATTTTCAATTAATATTACAAACGAGAATTCTATCAATAGATTACCACTTACATGCTCATCTTTTATTGAAAGGTCAGAAAAACCTTGCAACAAAAGTAATTCAAATCAATTGACTAAAACAATTATTCTTGAAGAACAAAGTGAATTAAACGAAAATCAAAAAACTATAAATTTAGATGAAAATGATACTAATACTATAAATATTGATCATTCTTCTAATCGATTGTCCATGGAAATCACAGCAATTTCAGCTCGTACACCAATTGTAAGAAAAACGTTTCAAGAGATTATTCAGAAATCATTAAAATTGAATGCAACTAATCTTCCATATCAGAAGAATAAAAAGTTATGTAAATTAAATCAAAGATCTATGAATGGAATTGATAGTTCAATAAATAAAACCAATGAATCATGTTCAGCAAATACTGGAAATGAAAATGGTGATCAAGATAATTGCAGTGTGAATACATTAAGGACCTCCTTAAGTGTTAATACATCATTAGATGATGTCAGTTTAGCAGAACGTATAACACAAAAAGAAATTAGAAGACTAGACAAAACAAATGAGTTGATAGAACAAACATCCAAAAATAATATTGCAAGAGAAAATCAACCATTAATTACTATGCGTAGCTCATTACATGTAAATACTTCTTTAGATTCAATTCGTAAGTCATCCGACAGTAGCAAAACAGATTGTGAGCAAGAAAAAATAAAAAATAAACAACTACCATTAACAAGCTCTAATAATAATAAGGAAATTAAAAAAAATACAGAAAAAATTATTCGGCTAAGTAATGGGACAGCCAGATCTTCAATGCAAATGAATACATCATTAGATTCAGTTCAAAAATCACCAAATACACAAGAACCTTTGAATTACAATAAAATTCTGTCAATGGTAGAGGAAATATCATGCCAATCATCTAATGATGACAGTGAAACAGAAAATATACCTTTGTTAGAAAGAATACAGATTAATGGCATTTCAAAACATAAGATAACGGCTAATAAACAAGATAATTTAAAAGAAACTACATCAAATACCAACAAAGGTATTCTTATACTTGATTCAGAAAGGAAATCAAATACATCTGAATCAGCTGACCCACTGGAAACACCTACAACTACTCAAAAGAATGAATCGAAGAGAATAAGAAAGTCATGTGTAATTCGAAAAAGTAATTTATTAGAAAATGACTCTAAAAACTCTGAGTTAAGTGTAAGAAGAAAATATTCTCGAAAATCAAAGAATAATTCTGTAAATAGAAGTTCAACTACAAGTGAATCCAGTGTAGTTGAAGCCACACCATTTCCCGCGAGTCGTTCTCTTTTGTTTAAAACAATCATAAAAAATAATATTGTAATGAACACTTTGAACCCTAAAAAACTAGTAGATAACTCAGACAATGACGACAATGATGGGCTACATCTTACTGTTTCGAAAACCAATTCTTCTCTAAAAAAGTAAGTTTATAATTTTAACGTTTTGACGTAAGAGTGCATTATTTAATAAGTTAATACGCATGTTTTAGACGCAATAACGTTCAAAACAATAAAACCATACTCCACAGTGACGATTCATTAGATACAGTTATTGTAAATTCATCGGATGAATCATCAAACGAATCAAATATGGAGAAAGAGAGGATCGTTATATGTGAATCAATGAATGATACAGGAAATCAAAATAAATCTAAAATTAACAAAAGCAAATCAAAAAAACAAATAATATCAAGAAATAGTGATAGTTCTGATGAGGACGAGAAAAATCGGAAAGTAGCGATTAAACGAAAATTGTATCCATTAAGAGAAAATTCGCAAATCTCATTCAGTCCAGTAGAAATATCAGAATCACCTCGGGAATCAGCGCCTAAAAAATCTAAAACAAAAAAAAGAAGAAAAATGACGCAAAAAACGCAAGATGTAAAAGCACTAAGCCCAGAAGTGACTGAAACAAGTGATCATACGGAAAATGAAATTTCACTTCAAAATCTAGAAAAGAAGAAAATGAAACGGAGGAAAATAAAGAGTAAGAAAATAATTGTAAAAAAAGTAAACAATATGACTCTGTTGGATAACATCTTGGAAAACAATGGAGAAATAAGCTTAACAACTGAGAGGAATTCTTTAAGAGAGTTTAATTTAAGAAAAGCTAGAGTCAATGCACACACAAAAAATCATAAAATAGTTATTGTCGTGACTGGTCTAGATGAGGAGTATGCACATTAATATATTGCCAACTTTTAATTTGACAAATCTATACTTATACTTTTCATTGTTATTTTAGGAGTAAAGATTTAGTGAAAAGCGTTGTCAAAAGTTTAGGGTCTGCAACATTGCAAGCCAATGTTACTCCGCGTACTACTCACGTGATAAGCTCAGGTGTTCGCACAATAAACCTTTTAAAGGGTATTATCAGAGGGTGCTGGCTTCTACAACTGGAATGGGTACTGAAGTCTCTTGAAAGTGGAAAATGGTTAGATCCTTTACCTTATGAGATGTCACATTTTGCTAAAGCTGTACAAGTATGTATGACTTAGTTCATCTATTTTCTACAATCATTAATTTAATGTATTTCTTATTTAACATACAATAATTCATCAATTCTAGATAAATCGTCGAGACCGAAAACTATGTGGTATAGCATATATACCAGAATTATTTGTTACGTGTGGACTCATATACATAGAAAATGGTACAACACCTCCCGCTGCAACTCTTAAAGAATTGGTAAAAACCGCAGGAGGAAGTATAACAGAGGATCCAAATAAAGCAAAAATTATTGTTGGTATGGAAGGTTTAAAGGAAAACTGGATATTAGATTCAATTACAACAGGTGAAATTCAACGTTTTGATCAATACAGGCAAAATTGAAGGAAGTATTATTAAAATAAAATGAAACAAGAATAAAAATTTAGGTTATTTAATAAGCCATTGTCTTTCCAATTTATAAGACACGTTTAAGAAATATTTAAGTTTATTTTTAATTGATTCGAAAAGAAAGATGTAAATACCGATTTTGTATAAAAAGATTATATGTTGTGAAGATTCAGACACTTTTAATGATTGCATTAAATATTCGTAATTTAAAATTACGAAAATTTTAGAGTATTGTTCAAGGATATAATTTAATGATAAATCTTTGCTATAAATAAAAACATTTACTTTTCATTAATCAATATTAATTGAATTACCATATTTCACCATTGACAATAAAATATAAGTTTAACAACTTTACAAAAAAAACTATAGTATTTTGAATTTTATGTATTTTGTAGAAGAATAATGCAAATAATACATTATAGATTGATCTGTTTATAAACACTGATTGTTGATACTTTATAGTTTATAAATTAAAAGATATTTATTTTCAACTTGTCACAAAGGAAAAGCCTGCAGTTAACTTACACATGTAAACTAAACTTCTGTGGAATGCTTACGTCCGAAGATATTATTTATTGACTATTGTTTTTATATATTTATGTAAAATATATATGTGGGTATATGTTATTTCAAAATAAAATATTTGTTGAAAAACACAAATCAAGTTTCTTTCTATGCATTTTTCTTAGCTATATATCAATTGGTTAAAAATCAATTAGATAACTTTCAAAAGAGTGAGATTTTTGATCAAACTATCTATCCACGTAATTAAATAAAGAAATATTCTTCGGTTGAATTGACATAAAAAGATAATTAGTAAAGCAGCCAAGCAACCATAAGTAAAAAGAGAATCTTGTATGAAAAAGTGAAAGCGTCCGCTTCGATGCGCTGTGAATATCGTCAAAGATCTTCATTCTTGAAATTACAACTCGTTTTATCGTTGCACAGAGTCGTTAAATGACGTTACGGTACTCACCATCAGTAAAGACGACATATATACGTAATGGTGTCACTTTCGAGTTTGACAATCGCATGTCGTTTAATGATATTTGTTTTTCACACGTTATCGAAATGTTCCATCGACACAATTAGGGATCGTCAATGACATCAAAAGTGGCAAGCTACGTTACTGCCATTTTAGGCAAGTGAATCTTTTGTGTATACCTAGAAATAGATTAGTTGAAAGGAGGCATTATAGCCAGTTTGAAACTTTGAAGCTTGCGTATATAAGTACAAGTTTTTCTGCGCACTGATATACTCTTCATTTATTATGCAGTTGTTAATCGGTCATTTATTATGCAGTTTGTTAATCGATAGTCGTACAGCAATGACAATTGCTTGTATATACCGTAAAATCTATGATTCATGCGATTTATACATTTTGAATTGTTATATTTGGCAACGATTTTCACGAATGAAAGCTCGCTATTACCCACGGATATGCATTTCCTCTGAACGCGACGTTGACGAATACAAAAAGTTACATTTTTTTTAAACAGACAAAGACGGTGCTCAGAGCTAATTGAGATTGATGCTATAGTTGTCAAGTGGAAAAATTGCATCTCATTTGATTACATACAGGACATCTGAATGCATGCATTCGTGAATGTGTGCGTACGTATTCGATGAGAACAAATTATAATTTCTCACGTGTATTATCTCTCATGAGCCAGATCGAAGAAAACATTCGTTTTAATTTTTACTTTACGCATCACGGGTCAGATAATTATAATATATTATTAGTGGTACACGATATTTTCTACATTTATAAAAAAAATTAACATAAAGAATGGCTTTGATACAGAAGTCAAATCAAATGAAATATGTAGATAAGAGCTGAAAATTTCCTGCTAGCTCTAAAACCTATTTTGGAGTGAAGTATTCGTTCGATGGTGCGTATGCACATATTGCACAATTCATCTAAATAATTCACACTATATTAGCTCTAGTAAATGAAATGACAATTAGATTACAATTGAAACTGAAATATTACGATTAAATTTTAATTTCGCGCCGAATTTTCCACACATCGAATCAGTTTCCATATTTATAAAATGCTTCTTCGTCATTCAACCAATTATAACAGCAATGACCTCTCCCCGCGAGAACCTACTTCCCCTTCATGTTACTCAATGTTAGTTAATTTAAAGACCCATTACAAGCTGCATGGAAAACGAGCGAGCGATCTGGCTCATTTAGTGAGTAGCCGCTACGCGAGCGAGGCAAGCACGAAGAAAGCGCAAGTAGCATTGTCATTGTCGGTGGGGTGGGGGAATGTAAGATAGCTTGTGGTAGTCGGTTCGTCTACGTTTACATACATAATATACGTCACACAAACACTACTGACAGTGCGCCACCATCGCACGACGATTGCCGACGACGGAGAAAAAGTAATAAGCGGGGGGTGGGCGAAAGGAGAGCAGAACGGAACGTCGAGTAACACACATCAGCACTAACAAGCTGATCAGTTGTTGTTTGGCAATGTACTATCGTTGTCTGGATATATGTTTGCTAACATGCCGTTTTGTCAAGATCGTTTAACCGCAGCCTCCTAACGTACAACTCAACAATGGAAGACGAGTTTTATCGCAAGTGAGTGCCGCCTGTAGGAATAAATATCAGCTGTTTTGACTCGCTGTCGGTTCGTCTTTCACACTAATGTGTTCTCTCTCTGCGTCTCCTATCGATGAGCTCACCTACTGTGACGTGTGTTTGTGCTCCAAAACGCTTGTATTTTATATACTTCGCAAAGGTTCATTGTTAAATTTGTGCTACTGTGCGTTTTCCCTATGGTAGTGTATTATGTCTCTGCTTTGTGCATGAATGGCAAGTAACATGTCTGTGCAAACGTCGTCTGTTACGACATAATCACATCGACGTTTGTTGCCGTCTCCCAACTACGGCGGCCCCGACCCTTCATGAAAATCCTGTTGTACTATATACAATACGAGTGTTTTCATATTTTTACGAACGTGCGCCAATTAGTCAGCTACAACTATATCTATCTTGTAAAGCGAACAAAGACCATAAGACTTTCAAAATCAAACGCCTCCAACTTTCACAGATTTGCTTTATTCTTGTTGACAACTGTTGCTGGACAAAAAAAATTATGACGTGATACTGATCTCACGTCACTTTGTTCGATTCGATTTTTCCCTGTAATTTTAGAATTGATAATGACCGTCTAATATTTGGTTTTGATATTCTTCTTATATTATGAACTAACAGCTGGGAATTATTAGTCACGAGTCGTTTTCACTAATCTCATTCAAATGCTAATATGATAAAGAAATAAAAAACTAGGAATTCAATCCTGCTGTAATCTAATTACGTTTAGAGTGAACGCTGATGTATGTTTAGTTTTTCGCTACTAATGAGATTTGTATTTTAACTTTAAATGATTGTTTTTTCAAGATTTATATAATCATTATTTGTTTTATTGATATTATAGCTCAAGTCACTTCTACATTGGACCAAAGGTTAGTGATTGTGTGATATTTAGAAGAAATACAACGTTAATATTACACCAGTACAATGGAATACCTGATAATCTTATAGTAAATAGCATTGCTTTTGTTGTGAGTAATAATTTTTGAAATTTCAAACTGAAATTTGTTTTCTTTTATAAATTGATGTTTTTCTTTTTTGTAGCTGTTGGTGATATTGTTCGGTTTACTCAGAAAAAAAGCATGGAATTATGGTCGATTAGCTTTATTACACAAAACTGAGAATCGATGGATGGAATTATTTTATGGTGAACATGACACAAGAGATGCTGAAGTTCATTGCATTGAAGCCTCCGTGAACTCTCATTTATCCAATACGGATAGAGGCTTTTTATCATGGATAGTTACAGCTTTCAAGTTACCGTAAGTTTTTTAAAGAAAGTGATTAATAATTGTAGTGGATGGTATGTGGGAGCTATTGCTTGAGGCTATGATTTACATTTGTTACAGAGATGACGAACTTCTCAAAAGAGCTGGGCCAGATGGATTGCTTTATGTCTCATTTCAACGACATTTAATGGCATTAATGGCAATCATGATGTTAGTTTCAATTTGTGTAATATTACCAATAAATTTTCATGGAGACAAAGATGGGGAGCCTAGTGCTTTTGGTCACACCACTATTTCAAATTTAGACTCAAATTCATCTTGGCTGTGGGTACATACATTGATACTTATATCTTATTTACCTATTGGAGCCTGTGTGATGCGTCGGTTTGTTAAAAAAGTAATTATCAGTCATAAATTGTTAATAATTTCAGAGATAACTTATAAATTCAGTCACTTTTAGATCAGAGACATGAAGCCTGCTGGAGAATTAGCTGCTAGAACTTTGTTAATTACTGAAATACCAAAACATCAGTGCAAGGTGGACCAACTGACAACATATTTCAAGTGTGGATTTGTAGATTTTACATCATTTTTACTTTATTTAGTTATGATTAATGAAAATATTTTTTCAGAGAGGCTTTTCCAACATTGACCGTTGAAGATGTTACGTTAGCATATGATATAAAACGTCTCACGATATTAGACGCAGAAAGAGATTGTGCTGAACAAGCAAGACTTTATTGTGAAAATTATAACAGACGAAAAGGCCCTTTAAAGTTGTATCCCCGTCCTTGTGGTCAAGTCATAGGATGCTGCTTCAAACAAGTAAAGCTTATATTGATATATCTTTTAAAATAAAAAATTATTATCCATCTTATATATTTAACCTAAATATTTATACATAACATCTTCAGAAACAAGTGGATGCACTGGAATTCTATATAGCAGAGGAAGCGCGGCTGACGGCACTTGTTGAGGAGGAGCGAAAGGTTGCCTTGAGTAAACCCATAGGCGTGGCATTTGTGACACTAGGTGCGATTTATTTTGATACGACTCTGCACGATTAGCATATGCTCGGTCTTTAATTTATTCACAAATCTTTGTGATGAATCATCATGTTCTATATATGCGTTTCATTATTTGATAGGTACACCAGGACATGCAAGAACCATGCGCCGAGAGTTGCGACAATCACTGTCAATAAAATGGATTGTGGATTACGCACCAGCACCTTCAGACATTTATTGGGAAAATCTTAGTATCGCTAGACCATGCTGGTACTTCAACGCGATCCTAATCAATTCAGCCTTATGCCTCGTTCTATTTTTTCTCACGACACCAGCTGTAAGTTCACTGTGCCAACTTTTATCTCTCGTATGGAAAAAAGAAATAATTTAAAAAGTTAATGTAAAACTCACAAGCGGTTTGTGATGACATTTAGTGATGGTATTGTGACACTGAGTTAACAATGCGCAATATATGCTACACAAAGTTCTATTGAATAAATGCATGTGATCTGTTCCAGGTCGTGGTGACTGCAGTAAAAAGTCTGTCGACAACCAATGAAATAACAAAATGGAGTCCTTTATTGTCAGCTTTTCTGCCAACCGTGCTACTGGTAACGGTAGCAGCGCTGATGCCGGCGCTAGTCGGCCGTAGTGAATTGCTGGTCAGGCATTGGACCAGAAGTGGTCTCAACGGATTAATTTTGAGGAAGACTTTGCTCCTGCTGCTGCTCATGGTTCTTATTTTGCCCAGTTTAGGTCTCACCAGTGCCTCAGCCTTTTTTGATTGGACCATCATGGCTAACGATACTACTAAGTGGGAGTGTGTCTTTTTACCCGATCAGGTATATTTTTATCGACATTTTCAAGCTACAGCGAACCGAACGAATTTGACGAGATAAATAATTATTTATGATTACTTCGTAGGGTGCGTTGTTCGTAAATTATGTGATAACAGCAGCCTTATTAGGAAGTGGTCTTGAACTTGTCAGATTCCCGGAATTGGCAGTCTATACTTTTAGACTATGCGTAGCGAGAAGTCGCGCTGAACGCATCTACGTTAGAAAAGCTGTACTGTGGGAATTCCCCTTAGGCGCACATTACGCCTGGTTACTTCTAGTATTTACTATGACCACGGTCTATAGTATAGCGTCTCCACTCATCACGCCCTTCGGGCTTCTTTATCTGTCAATTAAACACTTGGTGAGATTTTTTTTTAAAGCTCAAATAAAACATTCAAATGAGATATTTAAGTCTTTATCTTTGGAATATAGGTGGACCGGCACAATCTGTGCTTTGTGTACGGACCGGCTGCCGGCGGGGGTCAATTGGCCGGGACGGCGGCAAGTGCCGCGGGTGCGGCGCCCATTCTCGCCCAGATAGCATTTTTGGCGTTGGGCCTCGTCAGACAAGGACTGTCGCCTATGGCAGCGGTTCAACTTAGTGGCCTTGCCATTAACGTTCTTGGTTTTGTGACTGGAGTAACCTTGCCGGCATCAAAACCCAAGGTACGAATTATCGTACTTCTTTATTCAGTGAATCATTGAATCAGATAAGGCAGATAAATAACGTTTGATGAAAAATTTCAGTTTTTTTGAACAATCTTATCTGATCACGGCTTCTTTTTCTTATCTTATAATATCACAGCTGTTTTGTAATATTTGATGAGTCATTAATTAATTAATCTACACTGTCGAATAGATAGTTTATGAAATTAATTAAAATTTCTTCTCGTTGAAAAGTCTAATTATTCATAATTGCATAATGGCTTTGTAGCATCAAGCATCGAAACGAGATTTTTCGGCGGGTCAACACTTTGTTGCGCCTGTACTACGGAAAAAGTTGCCAGTAGGCAGTCCAGAAGAAACAATATCCGTATCAACTTCGGTTCCAAGCTCACCAAGTACGAGAGTATATTCAACTAATTCTTCCGCACAAGGAAGCCCAAAATTATATCAGGATTACGGTCGAACACCGACTAACGTGTAGTTAGTTTACGTTGACAGGCTGTTTTTTTTTGCTTTTTTTTCATCAATTATGATAGGAAAAGTGATGAATCGGTTGTATCAATCAGTGATTCAGTAAGAAAGTATAAGAATGGAGATAAATATCTCAGTTATTTAATGTTACGAATTGGTAAAAATTAAGTTCTTGGAGGTAGATATTTTTTACTAAAAAAGGTGCAGTATCGAGGTAAGTCATCCAATTTCTGATAAATTGTTTCAGTATTTGAATTATCGTGTTTTAATAATGGATATCTTACCTCGCGTAAAAAGAATACGTGATTTGAAAAGATATTTTAGAAATAGAATTTTAATTATGCTCATAGTCATCGAATGGAAAAAAGCAAGATGCTCCTAAATGACTACAATTATATTAGGAAATTAATTTTTTAATGAGATTCATTTTAGTTTAAAGATTTTTGTCAGTCTTTCAATCCGAAATGTACAAACTCGATTACTGTATTTATTAATTGTACAACTAATTTCTTTCTGCTTTGTGGAAATGTTAACGTATATAATTTGTACTTTTTACATCACATTTGTTGAAAGATTTGAGATACATAGGTTCAGGCAAATTTCGTGGCTTTTTTATATATTTTTATTGAGTTTACGCTATCACGCACATGTATTTTCTGAATATTTTGGTTAGGTTTCATAATTCATATGACTGTCAACAAAATTAATGCGTGAACTGTATTCAATTTATTCTGGCATAGTATTGTGTAAGTACTTAACTCAAAGTACAGAAATGAATCGATGTATTACATAAAAGGTTTCGTGAATCTCATTTTTTGTGATTTTACAATATTCAATGTCCATCAGTAAATGAATGTATATCGTTATTACAATTGCAAATAGCCATGTCTGGATTTGTAATATCTGTAAACAGCAAGGATAAAGAGAAATTATAGTACGGAGATTTCTGTATTGTGATGATATTTCAATGTGTATTTTTCTATAATATAATGTTACATAGATAAAATTACATTTATCTTTTTGACACTTACTCGGATTAGGCCTATTGATCACGCTTGCTTGTATACTGACTTACGTAAACAATTAAATAAAAATAGCTTTGCCTGGTAAATCATTGTTATCAGTCTTACATTGAAGGAAAATATTTAGTTGAACATCAAAAAAAATTGGTCTTCATGCAACTATATTTGATTCGCATTCATTAAAAAGCGACAAATATAATTTGAAGAATCTTTTTATAAATATAACTTAATTCAAAATATTTTCTACTTATCTACAGGGTCAAATGTGTATATTACATTTTCGACACTCCGTGCGCAAAGTGCGTCTTTCCCGCACGCTCGGCAGAAAACGTGCGTTGAAAATCGCACTTTCCACACGTCGTATCAAAAAATACGGTACGGCACATGTTCGGGAAAGAGTTTTTCGTCTCGTGTACCTTTCCACTCTCGCTTCGCTCGGGCGTAAACGCCACATGAGACCAGAATCTACTTTCCCGCACTTGTATCGTAATGTACTATTTCCCGCATTTGTATCGTAATGTACTAGAAAGCTTGTTTGTGCAAGATTGTTCTGTGTCGGAAAAATTCATATGCTCTTTACATCATAGAAAGATTTAATTCACTTAAAAAATCAACATTAGTTCATTTCACAAATCAACATTAAACATCTACATTGGGTAAAAATTCGCTCCTATTGATTCAGTAACATTAAGACCGCTCCCTTTGTGGTTAGCATATATCTGTCGATTCGATTGACTACTAAACAGTAATTAAATGATATAACGGCAACGAACAGAGCGTTAAGACTTGAACATATTTTCGAAAAATGTGTTAAAATTATTTTAAAAAATGGTCGTTTATCAAATATTCTGAAAAAATCAATAAGATTTACAGTAAAATTTGATCAATCTTTTGAAAGGCATCGTTAATAAAAAAGGTATCAAATGTAAACATTATTCTAATCAAAAATTGTTTTTAATACTTTCGTTTGTTAATATTCTACCGAAACATGGTATAATACTAATAACAACAATCTTTTAGAAATCTATATTTTAGTAAAATCGATGAGTTAATTCATGTGTCACAATAATCGTTTCGAATATAATTACAACTATGAAAGACAAACTAAAAAAACAAATATTTAAAAAATCCCAATCCTAGCAATATACGATCGATAAAAGAAAAACACAGAGTGAATATCGAAAAGGCCTAAAATTATGCGAGTCATTTGTCAGGAACATGATTCATCAACGCTACCGCTTCTTGCGCTTGTCACCGTAATCAGAAAGCAGGGAGTCGGTCAGTTGCCGGGCTCATTTAACGATACCGATGATCGCGGCAATCTGATCAATGGTGAAGTCGGTTTGCTGTTTCACAGGAACAGTAGTGTTCAGCTTGCGCTTCCTGCCCCGTCTCTTCTTGTCGATGATGATGGAGCTACTGTCGCTGATCTCTGCTGACTCGTCGCCTTCTTCACTGCTGGCCTGCACCTAATTGGGGAACACAGAAGATCCGTCGCTCAAGGATTATTGCTTTTTTACATAAACTATGGTTTCGCTTGTTGGGAGTTACGTGCTGCTGTTAGTCTCGTTTGTCGTGAAATGAGTCGTTATAAATTTTATTCAAGTTATCTTTCATCAAAATACCCTAGTTTTTCATTAGGAAAATAATCAGTTTAATCTGCCTGAGATTATGTTAGTTGAATATACAGTTGATTTAACAGAAATGACTTTCTGTGAGTTGTCTTTGACCTATGTTCTTTATTTTATGCTATACATATGCTAAACTGTTTTGCAAAATTTCTGTACATTGTTTCAAGCTTTTTTTATTTGTTTTATATTTCAATATTAAATAACTATTACCATTTGTATTCGTCAAAATTGAGGTATTTTTGTTTAAAAAAATTATTTATTTAACATTTTTGACGTAGAATGAAGTATAGTTCTTAAACGATACGCCTCGATGGCAGTTGATAAATCAACAAGTAATAGTAAAGAAACGTCCCACATTATACACAGGTTTCAATAAAAATAAACGATTTCTTTTTTCGAAAGATGATACCTAGCATTCTAAATAATAATAACCATCAACGAAAAAAAGCAAAATAAAATGATTGCTAAATAATACTTACTGCTGATAGGTGATTTTCAAACGAAAGTGCAGATAGATATAGATGTTACTTTTACACCACAACACAATTTTCATGCTTCACATAGAATTTTAATTAAATTTGAGCATAACAAATGAGTTAAACTTAATATTCAAATATGTACTTTGATTCACGTAACATATTAATAGCATATTATTTATATTTTTTACAGATTCTAGTACTAGTCTTCGGGATTGCAAGATACGCATGAATGAAAATAGAACCAAACAAAAACCAATTTATTTCAATCAATTTGATTTGGATAATGCTCAAGACTAGCAGAATTTCGTTTTTACATCGTATTATTAAGATTGGTATTTGATGTTCTTCCAACTTTCTAATCTATCAGCCATGAGGATACGTAACTTATACAGAAATTTGTACAGATAAAAATAAGTAGAGCGGTAAATTAAATTAGAAAAAAACTTTGAAAGCTCAAATATCGTAAGCACATTTGGAAGTAACAATTTTCCGTGAATGTTCTATAAGTGATCGCTACTTTTTTACTGAAATTTAAACGTGCAGAAGTTTTACAACATATAAGATTGCCCATTAAATAATGTATTGAAACAGAACCTGAATTTCAATAGATACATCTAATTAATGAAACAATGCTTTACGAGATAGTGCCATGAATATGCATTTTAATGGACAGTCGTTATGTTGGATGAAAGTTAAAGGACTATATAAAATAACTGAAAATAAAATATACAGTACTGCTTACGTTTGCTTCTTGAAACACATTATTTATAAAATAAAATACTTTTGAATTATTACATGATGCCTTATTACGCGGACATTTATTAGTGCAAACTATGCAATTTCTCATTATGTTACAATACCAACAATTCATCATAAGTAATTGACCTAAATATGTATATTATATATACATTCAACTGAATTGTATGTGAAAGATTAAGTGTAAATTTTCATTCATTATAATATAAAACAGCATTTGCTAGTTTTCTTGTACAATTATTCGTAGTGAAGCGTAAAATTAATTCAATAACAAGTGCACAAAAAAAATTAAACATAAAATTGTTTAGCAGTAAGCATATACGTAAAAAACACGCATATTATTCAAATTGTACATATCTAGTTTAAATAAAATTACTTTATATTTTAAAAAAGGATCTTCATTCTTAACCTTCGCAAACAGATTATTTAATATAACAAAAAAGAAAAGTACACGTAGGCGAACGGCTACGTTTAAGCAAAGAAAAACAATTGAACAGCGTGGCGCTGAGCAATTTGTGGCATTGCACGATTACTGACAATGATTCACTATTTGTCATTTTATAATTATTAATCACCACGAAAATGGGAATGGCAAAACAGATTCTGTGGAAAGACGACGACAATAGACAAAGAAAGTAATTTTTCTAAAACATTTAACTACATTAGATAACCCTTGCTACCCTGCGCCGTCTCATGCTTTGCCACCACCGTTGTACTATTCTCATAGCTTTTGATAAACCTATGAAAAATTCAAAGATGAATTGGATACGTAATGCGTTAAGCTTAATTTCTTTTTTGTAATATTTTAACAATATTGTGGGAATATAATATTTATCAAAAGCCAATAAATTAATTATATAATTCAACAAAAGTACTTGACTAATTTCGTCAATGAAATATAATTTTTCCGGAACTTTATTCATAGAATAAATTGAAATTTTTTAAATGAACTCATATTGTGCATCTTTTGTAGAAATTAGTATCAAATTTTCATGATTAGACATTTTTAAAAATACTATTGGAATAAGGATCCAGAAGGTAAATCAATAATAATAAGAATTAAAAACAAAAGAATGTTTAGGACACATTTGCTAACTATAAATTTCTTGATGAAATCAGTTGTTGATATTTGAGCGCCTAAGTCGATGCCTTACCTCGACGATGGTGCCTCTGGGTGAGGTTTCGTCGGGTTGCAAGGTTGATTTTGGTGACGACGCTCCGATTGGTTCGCCCACTTCCGTATGGCCATTAACAAGAATATGATTATCAGAACACGCGACATCTTCATCCATACCGTCCATTAGTCCCTCGCCCGCTTCATTGGGTTCATCCATCAGTGCTTCACCACCCATATCCATTTCTACGTAGTTGGGGCACTCAAGAGGATGTTTATAGCATATAAACCCACCATTTTCCGGATGCTCGTATACATTGCCTTGAGTGTGCACTAATATGATTGGAAATTATACATTGATGCAAACGATTTTTGTTTGCGGTACAAATAATAAATAAAAAAACGTACGCTGGCAAAATGCATTACAACAATACATGCAACGTAGCGAAGTCCGTTTGAAACACTCTGCACAAAAATGCCAAGGACAATGGAAAACTTGATCTTCTGATCCATCTTCAACAGCTATACATTTAGTGTGATAGACTTTTCCACAAGTTTTTTGGTCACATCGCATCACATCTTCATTATTATTAATTTTGCCATTACAACTCCAACAAAATAGAGTCTTTTTATTTCTGCAAAAATATTTTATTATTTAGCAAGCTCTCAAATTTGTTGATAAAAATACAAATTTACCTCTTGTACTTTCGAACTTTTTCTGCTTTTTCCATTTTCTTTTGTTGTACTAAACTCATTTGTTGTTTTGAAGCTTTCAAACCAATGAAACCACTACAATTCGGAGCTTTGCAAAGGCAGGGTTTTCTTGTTTCTCCGTCGCAGGATAGATTATAATTAAACGTTAATTCTTCACCGGCCTGTATATCTCTCAAAGCAAACAATCCTATTCGCGTATCACCATTTACAGTCCACTTCTGAGTTTCGGAGTTAGGAAGACAGGAATGGTCTGGTAAAAAATTATATAAGCATTTTAAGAAGTTAAAAAAAAGTGTCAAATCATGTTTACATACTCATAAAGCGACTCAAGTTTCCTTTTGGTTCGGCATCTATCATTCTATTATTATCTATCGTTAAAAAGTAGTAGTTATCGTTTTTTCTCTCTTGTTTCTGCTGCAGTCGCAGTCTATACTCTGCTTCGTCGATAATTTCACCTACATATTCTATAATGAATTGACCTTCTGATATGAATTCTAAAGTTTTGAGACCCCAGCCTCGGCCATCTGTGTGAACCGGTTCCATAGCTGGATATTTTCTTTGCACAAAAAATTGATTTTGACATTTAGAGCCTGCGGGACAAGCGTCTGGACTGCATTCTGTCATTAATATACGATTCAGACAATCAGAATCAGGTGCACATGGATTTGGCTTGCTTGGATCGCAATTACACGCAACCATACTGTCAGCTTCAGGTATTTTTACATTTCCAACCGGCTTATTGACCTGTAATAGTAAAAAAGTAGAATAAAATTTTTATTAGAAAGGAAATTATTTGATTTGAATACTAAATAGGGGAGTGACATATTTTACCTTTAGTTTAACATAGGGAGGAGGTTTGAGATTTCGGATATTACTGTCACGACTTTTTGCCAATTTTTTCTCCTCATTTAGCTGTTCATGAACGATCTTTGCTTCTTGCATAGCTTTTCTGTAAGATTCCTCCACTTGTTTAGAACCTTTGACTTTTCCAGTCGCATCTCCATCTTGAAAGAGGAAAGCTTTACCCCTGTAAAAAGTTATTTAGTTTTTAAATAAACATTCAAGTATTTTTTAGAATTATTATAATTTTGGAAAGAATCTTACCTATGTACCCAATAGTAATCTCTCGTACCAAAAAACATAACACAAAATTCACCGGTTTTATGCGGCCTTTGTGCAATATTCATCGGAATTTCTTGTGGATAACAAATTACAGAAGGCCACCATCGGTAAGTGCCAAGTTTCACCCAAACAACTTCGCCATATAGCGGCAATCTACCAGTTTCACAATCTTCACAAATGAAACCACCTTCAGGTGCATCGATACCTGAAAAAAAGTATTTCTATGATGAAGCAACAAAAATATAGTTAAATACCGATAATTGACTAAGGTGAATCAACGTACCTAAACATTCTAAATGAAAAGACGTGGGGCAAGTGTCGCAGCAGATAAGACTTCCACCTTCAGTGCACAAAAAACACCATGTGGCATTTACTGGTGGATGAGGTGACTTGTAGTGTTTAGGACAGACAATTTGACTGGCAGTTATTATATTCGAGCCAGCTGGTAAGCAAGAGAAGGAGGCGTGATACGTCGATGGACACCTAACGCAACGAATAAATCTCTCGTTGGCTGCTCTCGGATGGCCATTCTGAGGATCGTCAGACGAACACGTGTGGCATATGTGATACGGACAGTTTAGACGTTCACCTTGCCATTGGACTTGTGGCCAGTGTTTTAAACAGTCCGCGTGGTAGTGCTTACCGCAGGCTATTACTGAGCATTTTATACGCTCGGCGTCGCGTTCGTGACAAACAAAGCATGGAGGTGCTATACCGGAAAGACAATCGATGCACCTAAAATTCTCGTCGTCAAAGGCGTCCTCCTCTTTGTGATAATTTTTTTTCGTTTTGACTTTCGCCTCATTTAAATCGTCCAGATTCACTAGATGCTCTTCCGCATCTTCAGCCTCGCTGGGCTCAGGGCTTGAATCACCTGGTTTAACGCACTCCAGATGAAAGTAGGAGTAACATGGTCCTTTGCAACGTATGAGTTTGCCTGGTTGCTCGCAAATTTGACACACTCGCTCATTTTTCATCCCTTTGAACAATTTGTAAGCACGCCTCTTTGCTAAGTCCATTATCAGTAAGCTACTATCTTCTTTACCATTGGCATCATCTTTAGTGATCTTCGATTTTCTAATTTTGATAGATTTATCATCGGAATCGATAGATACGACTTCGTCTCTATCAGAAGATTCTCTCCTTGGTTTCGTGCGCCGTCTTCTGACACTTTTATCGAGATTTTCTGATTCGATGGAAGTGGTTTCCTCTTGATCAGAAGGCTCATCCTTCGACCTATTGAAGTCAGCTTTTGAACGTTGTTTGTGCGCTAACTTTTCCTCCGAGTCTGAATAGTTGTACTCATCATAGTCTTCTCCATCAAGCGCATACATCCTCATATCATCCTCATGAAGATAGTCAGCGCGATATTTGCTACGATCTTCTGGTTTCATATTATTCCACATATCATACAGATACTCTTTTATGTCCGCTTCTGTAGCTTCGGGATCTAATTCCTGAGCAAGATGTTTAGTGCGTTCACAAAATATTTCAAATACACCATCCTTGCCATCTCTATTAATTCCTCTTTTACTTTTAAATTTCGTAGGTGCTTCATCGCTGGAGTCTTTATGGCTTGAAGGAGGAGTTGGAGGAGCTTCAATATTTAAATTTGGAACTATTGGTTTACTCTCAAGTCTCTCTGCATCATCAATCTCACCATTCTGTAACAATCATCAAAAGTTATATTATTTCATATGTACAATCATGTAAGAGAACCTTTAAGAACATACATAGATAATTGAATTAACAATTGTAGGAAAAGTGATTATGGTTCAGTCTAAATTGTTAAATAAAGATGCTTGAAAAGGCAAATAGACAACACAAAAGTTTATCTATTTTTATACATGAAATGAAAAAATTTGCCTTTACAAAGTATTATTTGGAATTAAATTTGTTATATTTATTGTTAAATTTATAATAAAATTAATAAAATGAAGATATTAAGTTGAAGTAAAGGAGATTTGCAACTAATGCTGCATATTACATATAATACTTACTTGCAGTTTTGATTTCTTTGAGACAGCTTCTTCAGTAGATAAACTAAGTTTTCTTTTTTTTACATTTTCTTCTGTTTTTATGCTATTATTCGATGATTTATCTAGTGAATTTTTCTCTTTATTTTCAGGGTTGAAGAGTACAATTCTTTTTTCAATGCTTTTAGTCATCAGTCTAGTTGCTTCAGCAACAGCATCATCCCATTGTAGTTTTGTACTTGGCTTTATTACAAATGCAGCAGCATATTTAGGCTCTTTTTTCCTGATATCTGGCGTTACTTCTTTACTTCTCTTTTCAAAATCATCTAGTCCTAGGAATGGTATTACACTTGCAAAAGGCACCCAGCTATGTCTATCTTTATCTGCACAATATCTAACATGTAACATATAACTTCTACCTAAAAAAAGATTTAATATTGATGTCATAGTTGCACTATTTATATAAGAATCATTTTCTAAAATTGAATGAGTAACCTTTACGTTTAACTTTTTCTATCAATAATTATAAGAACTTGTGTTGTATTTGATATGTTAAATTGATATTTTGTTACTTTCGAAAACTAGCCCAAGTTATATAAATAACAATCTTATAAAACAGCTTAACTTTATGAACGTGATAAAGTGGTTCTATCACAAAAAAATCAATTATTCTAACTCAGATGGTAATTTACATTTCCAAACTCTCTTGGTATTAGAGATTTATCATGTGTAAATTTACTTTGCTCAAAAATAAACATTTGTTAAAAAATGAAGAACAATAAAAATAAATTAATTTAATCTGACATAATGAATGAATTGGCATATAATGTATAATGCAATAAAGAATTTTCTTTAGAATATCTATAAAGATATTCTCGTAATTATAACCAATTTTTTGCTCAATCTGTTGGAACAATATAAATTTTAAATACATAAATAAAAAATAAAAATACTGAAAAATAAACTATAAATGGAACTTAAAAAAAATCTATCTTATTATAATCAAAGAGTAGTTCAAATAAAATATGTTAGGTCATGTATTCTACTAACCTTTTACTGATACAAATGTCATTGTGTTTGGATCTAATGTTACAATACCAGGCCAGAATGGAAAATTACCAATTCTCGCCCACACTAACTGTCCTAATTTCCATGGACTTTTTGCCTGAAGATCTTCATAGTTGACTTTTTCATCTTCATTTTTTGTAGAACTATCAAATGTACTATTGGTTTCATCCATTATAAGTGATGTGTCTTCTTTGATGCTGTTATCTTCCATTGGAGTTTCTTGATTGTTCTTTGGCATTTTTGTGATCTGTAAATATTAAATTAGAAGTTGATAATAGAGAACATTTAGTTACAATATTTTATAATAGATTAAAGAATCAAATATTTTAATTGAAATTTTAAATTAATAACGATAAAAAAGAACATATATATTTCAAAAACCACGCTAATAATTGATATTAATTGCACGTTAATAGATGTAGATAGAAGTTGCTTACAAAATTGATTTCAAATGCTGATGAAATCAATTATACCTCGTTTAACTTCACAGAGTATCGTTATAAGTTCATTAATTAAACACTTTAAAAAATCGCTGACAGGACTTGATTGTTACAATGAATGGCTCCTAACCGATGAGGAATAGTTCTCAAACAATACATGCCTTTGGGAATTCACTCGGTATAATACTCGGAGATTTAGGTTTAATGGTTCTGCCATAACGGCTAAAGATGGGGAAGTACTTGATTGGCTGTAAAACAATCTTATCCTTTTCTTTGGCATCATTTTGTGCATCTTCCGTGGGTGTATGAGCCTGCTTTAAAGAATCTTCTTCACAGAATTCCATTGTTAACACAGAGCTTGTGATACTTTCTCATAATTCATCACTCCATAGTGTCTCTCAAATGTTTGTATTATCTCATTGGAGTTCCTTACAGATCAACAAAATAATCCCAAGGCAAAGACAAGCTCTAGAAGTATTTTAGAACAGTACTATGAGACAAAATACTCTTTAGAAGTAATTGACGCTTGTTGCGTGCTAACCTCGTTTTGCTTCCGAGCAAATAAAGTAGTTGCTTGCCACAAAATGTCTTGGCTCTTAACTTATCTTCTTTGTGGCACAGCGTGGATTTACTAGATCCAGGTGATGAGGTTTATTAGTTTATCGACGTGCACTAGTGGAAAATCAGCGAAACGCGTTTCCCGCGATTTCTTAGATACCATTCGTGTCACCGCGACTGATGCTGCAGACCTTATACCGTCAGCAACTCTACTACTCCAAATTTTCATTGTTTTCCTTTTCTTTTGCTCATCCGCTTAGCTTTCCGAGGTTCTTGGCTTGGAATGATCAATCGATTTGTGGTTAAATACTGTTTGGATTTTGAATACCCGATTTTTCGCGGTATTCCATTGAAATTTAAACTTGCCAGTTTTGCTAAAGATGTAAATCAAATGATAGGATCGTCTACTTTTTTCGAGATAAAGTATTTATAATTATAAGTGTCGTGTCAGCGGGGAATTCAGTTCTCCTATTGGCGGTTGACTGTAATGGACGAATAGTTCTACTGACATTTAACCAATCGAATCGCAGCGTTTGTTCTAAAGGTATATTTTTATTGGAATTTATTAATTTTTTTGTATTACATCATATATATAATTAACTTTGGTTCTGATTGTTATTTGATTTTAAAAACGGTTATTAGTGTTGTGGAATTATTGTTTAGAAGCAAGAATCATTGACTTGCTTACTCAAGCATTCAATCAATAACCATACAAGTGCACTATTCACATGAATTTTTGCGTCATTGAATATACATACTTTTATGCCAAGCTTATGCGTTGGTATATACAATCGTATATAATCTTCGAAATGATTTATATATGTATTTTACACTTTTCACGTTATCTCTTCTCGTTTCGTTACATGTTGTAAACTTCAACAACACAATGATTATTATTTAATACATATCTTTTAACATTTAAATATAATATAATCTACGATAGTGTCTTTTAAGCAAAATCTAGTCAATGCTTTAAATTGACACTATAAATTCTTGATTTTTTCATTAATTTTTCTTTTCATAAATTTAGAAGCATGATTATTCTTATTAAATGTAAAAGTTTTCTATGCTTTTAATAATTTAAAATGGATTTGAGACGAAGGTGTTTTATGACAAGAAAAAACGTCTGCGTTGAAAAGTCGTTGTCTCCATAAGGAATTTCGCCAACGTAGGCAAAACTGTAAGTGTGTCCCACTTTAGAAAATTAACACAAGAAAAAATATATATAGCATAAGCTCAGTGAGTCGGTTTGCGCATGCAATACTTGAATAGTCGCGCCCCACGCGGGAACAGCGCGCGCCAACCGGTTGTTTTGCTGCGTTACGAGCGAGCGTCATCACCACATCGCAATGCACTAGAAAAGGATGGCGCTCGTGTGTGAGTGAAAATATGTGTTGCGTGGTGGCTACGAGTTCCTTCATCCCATCGATCAGGCTACAGCTGCTCTGCTTACGCGGAGGTTTGCACACACTATTGCAGCACAACGCCAAACTATAGTACTGCTGCTGTTGCCGTTGTCTTCCTTGGAATTGACGTAATCTCTCGTGGAATTGACGACAGTTTGAAAACAGTTGTTTGCATGGGATTCAAGTGATTCTTTTATGTGAAATTATGGTGGTCGACGAGGACCATGAGCTCAACAAAGAGAGCTTGGCCAGAGTTAAGCTGATATCACACAAGAAGAGGCAGTTGGAGGAAACGGCTGATCATGTGAGGAGTAGATACATTATCTTCTATTGTAGTGCTGCATTGTTTCAAAACATTTTGAAAAAAGGAGAATGTTGCTCATTAACCGAGTAGCGTGCTTTTAAATATACATTTATTTTATACATTTATAAGTGATTTTGGTGCTCAGAGAAAATTGGATGAATTTTGTTTGAATTTTTCTTGTTCTTTTTCTACTCGTTTATTTATTTTTGTTAAAACCATTTGTAAAACAGCTTCTATTACTTTACAAGACTTTTCATATACTACTAAAACTTAAAATTAAAAATACAGCTCTAAAAATATATATTGAAAACTCGTTTTCTGTCTTGCATATTTGTAATCGATAATGCTTTAAGAGCGCGTTCATCTAGGTGATAATATCCTTGAGTTAAATTTAACCCTTTTACATATATTTTTTCTAAAGTATATTTGGAAATAATCAATGTTTCATCACAGTTCTCTGATTTCTTCAGAATATCATATGATTTCTTCTTCATATATATATATATATATATATATATATATATATATATATATAGCTGACGTTCTGCCGTTATTTATGCGAAACAATTTGTTTCCTTGTGTTGATCGAGATGTAAATAATTCGACGATAATTAAAATGGAACAATGGTTATCTTTAAATAGTATAGAAACCTTATGAGATAATATGAGACAATACATTGTAACCGTCATTTTCCATCAAGGATATGTGAATTAAAAATTCTACTTCACAGGTGCGAAATAACATAAAGGGTTGCTTTGAACGACTTGCTCAAGCCCTAAAAGGTCGCGAGAAGCAGCTGCTACGTCAAGTCGAGGCCATCCACAGACAGCAGCTGTCGTTAGTCCAATCAAATTTGGAACTACTTCCAGCCCTTAGCTCAGATCTCGAGGCGAAGCTCGATAATGAGCAAGAGTTGATCGAGCGTTTGTTAAATTTCGGCAAAATCGAGTTGGCGAACAGCATAGCCGTGAACGACTCGGAGCCGTACAAAGCCGAGGAGTATCTGGAGACTAGCGAGGATGTAGTTAGTTTTGACAAATCGCTCAAGACCGAGAAGTACAACGAAATTGACGTGACCAGCGTAATTCGTCGGAAACGCGATAGTTCCGGCAATCACACCAAAAATATCACTATTAATCTCAATTGCACATCCTGCGAGACCTGCAAATTAGAGACTGACGCTGTTCCTCCAGGTAGAGTTGATTTCAAACGGCATATCGCACACTCGACATGCTTCGTAAATATGTTCAACTTCCTTTAACATTTTTAGCGGTAGCAGGTCCGTCAAGATTAATCGTGGACAGGCCAGCGACACCGACGAGCGCCAGCAGTGGCACGAGCACCAGTAACTCCGTACAGCAGTCACCTTTGAAAGGAAACATGGTTTTCGTGGAAATCAAATCCCCAACATGCAGTGAGAATTCCGTTAATCCTCAGACTCCAAGTACAAGCGAGAAATACAGCGAAAACATATTTTTTGAGTTCGAGACTAAGAACGCTAACATCGAGCCATCGGTGCAACAAAATGGAAATACCGAAAGTAATGTTTCCAAGTCGAGCGAAGTTAAGAGCAACGATAATAATCTCGACAAAGCATTTGATAATAATAAAATTGAACACTCAATACAAATCCAGCAATGGCTGCAGAAAATTCTGACCGAGACCGAGACTGAGCCAATCATTCACGAGATCGGACAGTTCTCCAGCATACCAAATAGTCGGCTGTACCGCGAATTTCCCGTAGAAACGTAAAAGTCTGATGTACTTGTAGGAATTATTGCACGCAGAATTACACGTAATACAAAAGTGACAAAACAAACAAAAAAAGGCTAAGGACGTCGATAATTATTTATTAGAAAAAAAGAGAACGAAGCAGAGAGAGGAATTGCTCCTATACGCTTACTTATTATATATTAGCGAGGGAATTAAAATTTCTTTGGTTTACAATTTAATACCAAGTCCTTTCAGGGGCCAATAATATTCCATCGAAGAAATATGTATGGAATGTGAATCAAGAAGTCTGATTTACCATTTCTGCTACCTTGCTCTCTCACTATCTATATATTCCTCTTCTTCTTCTTTCACGGATGTTATTTATTTCTAATGTTTTAGGTTAACAAATTCATTTCGACAACGCATGTGCATTCATGATTTATACTTACAATATGATATATAGATACTGTATCGCCATTCGCACGCGTGCTTTTATAATAGTTGCCTTAATATAATCCATAAATGTGTACCTTTTATCGTGCTGCATCGATTGTAAAACGCATTTTTAAGCATGTAAAAGTTGTTGTGAATCATATAAATAAAGAGATACACGAATCTTCTCATCGATTGAAATATATCTTTTAATATTCTCTTTATCGATAATACATTGTATAGTTAAGCTCTCTAAAACTGCCCCCTTTACTGTTTATTTATGGTTAAATTTTTCAACGTACACACTTTGCACGTTTAGTACAAATATAATAAGTGTACGATAAGTTCTTTTTTTTTGTTATTCAAGGAAAAATAGGTATACGAATATTTTGTACTATAGAAAATAGCGTTTTATAAAAATAACAGCCTATTGGAGCAGTCTGAAATGGACAATTCACCGGTGTACGAAAATAATTGAAATATGGCACTGAACTATTTTAAATGTTTGATAGAAACATATTCGACAATAATGTGACGAAATCTCTTTGAGAAATAAGAAATATTGACTTATTTTCTTTTTGTTTTTTCCTATGAAAATATTATATAAAATTCATTGCAATTGGTAACCGTTCATTAAATACACATTTCTCTAACTTATAAGAGCAAAAGAAGAATTTAGAAGTTTTTAAAAGCTTTTTGAGGTGTATGCTGAATAATCTAGATGGTACATCGTAGTTTTAGCAGATCTAACTAAAACTGTTTTGTGGCACATCAATACTATTTCAATGCAGAGTACTATAATAATAAATGATACTAACAAGAGTAGACATCGTTTAACAGAATACATTTGTTATTTTAACTGATTGCATTGTTGCCAGCTTGACAAGCTACCTCTATTAAGCATTCTCAAGCGATTCAATGTTTGACAAAATTATCGCATATTTTGCAATCGCATCAGAGAATCAGGCTCTTCGTAACAAATCATTCATACCTGACATTATTCAATTAACAATCATACCTAACTTAGTTATTCAATTCCATTTTAGAATCGCTATATTTCGTTTTAACTATGTCTATCGACAATTGTATAAGACGAAAAAAGTATTTAGGCGAGTAAAATAGCAAGATCAATAATCCAATTTTAACGACACGTTCAATTATCTTGTACTTATACGCAAAGTTTTAATAATGACGTTAACGATGTAGCTTCAACAATAACAATGCTCTTTGGCATTAAGACGTCTATTTTATGGAACATAAGGGCTGATAAGTATAACTTTTCGGTCTAAGCTATTTAAGAAAATGATTTAATCATTTTATGAATATACTGATTTTCGCAATTAAGAATTACCAAGCAGTAAAGCTCCCCCTAGTCATGGTTATGTTTTTTCTATGATCGCAAGATATTTACAATCAGTTTTTGTAAATAAGCTTTAGAAACTAATCTGCCCTGAATGAAAATGCTATCTAATATCAGAAAAGGAACCAGAATATAGGTTTGATATTACATTGAACCGAAAGATTAGCTTGGGTCATAAGAAGGTTGGTGTAATGTGATTTCGGTCTGCCATAATTCTCATTGCGTCTAGCTTCTTTCTACTCCATCATTTAAGCGAGACTTGATAGAAAATCCAGTCTTCAAAGAAGGATGGAATGAACGCGCTGTCTTTGGTGAACTTTACCGGCATCGACAGATCTGATAGTACATCCTCATACATCTTTAGTGACTCAGGACAGGAAGCTCCGTTACCCTAGTTTTAAAAGCAGAAGATGAATTAATTTTTCAATCGATCGTCAGACTCAGCTGACGAGTCAATTGAAACATCATGAACTTACGTGAGTCATGTATTTGCCAGTAGGCTTCAAAACCTTCATGGATGAGTTCAAAATAAGCCTTATAAAATCCCAAGCATCTCCTTGGGGTGTTGTACTAATTGGAATGTCCGTAAGATCTCCGAAAACGTAATCGAACTGACGTCCTTCTTCGATCATGTGACTCAAGGCTTTGACGCAGTCTCCAACAATGATCTGAAAAAATTTAGAGTACATCTTTTTTTCTAGGAAACAGTGTTCACATGCCATTTACCTCATATTTGGGAGTTTTTCTCTTATCCAGGCAATCTCCACAAACGCTTCTCATGTACTGGCTGCAAGCTTTCATCACTACATCGTCGATCTGCAATGTGAAATATCCTTTAGAATAAAAGTCTAGTATGCAAATATTCAAAGAAAAAGAAAGAGAAAAGGCGTATCGACCTCCAACATGGTGACGTGTTTAGGATTCTCCTTGAGCAATTCCCAGAGAAGGCCGCCATCGCCACCGCCCAAAATCACGATTTCCTTACCCTCGTAGTTCTCTTTGCCCCTCTGCATAAGCGTCTCCGTATAGATAAGATCCGCTTCCGACATGTCTATGGTCGGGCGTGCCGTGCAAACACACGCGTGAAAGAAGGCCGATGAGTTGCGAAACCGCTCCCAAGCGGTTTTATTATTAAAGCAACACTTTATTTATACTCACTTTGCAGCTCGTCGAGAATAAGCATGTTGCCGAGCGACTTGGAGTGGACGATCTGCACTTTCTGATAAGGCGAGCGCGTCTCGAACACCAGCTTGTCGATGTCGTACTCGAGCAATCTTTCATCTTTTAAAACAATTCCATTTTTTCAATTGCATTCATTGCCGCTCTGCCGTTGCAGTTGCTCTTTGGATATTATATTGCCAAATTTTTCGCACGAAGTAAGCAGGTCATGCTCGTATGATTGGTATGCGCACGATCGACATTACGCCATATATTGCTTTTATATGTACAATGTACGTTAAACCAAAAATTTTACTCATCTTAGAGAACATGAGCACGACAGATAGTTTTTGGTAACAATTACGAACGATAAGTCATTCTGCGAGAGAAAAAGTATATCTTAGAGTGCAAAAATTTGAGAAATGTACGTGTATCATTAGAGACACGAATCTCATTAATACTTTATAAATAGCAGATATATTTCTTCTCAAAGCGCGTCAGAACGTACGAGCATGCGTCAAAATGTCTCAACAGTCTACAACATTTTCACCAAAGCGAGCTTCAAGAAGCACATGTGGAGATGTTAGGATGTGAAACAGAAGCGTCGAGTCCTACTGTTGGCCAAGCAATCGAGCATGCACAGAAAAAAGGATGCGGCTGTGTGAGTCTGCGTGTGTACGCGCGCGCAATAGGTAAAGCACAGGCACAAACACGTAGCATGCAAAGCGAGCGGCTGATGTAAAGGAAAGTGCCGCGGCTGGTAAAATAAACCACGCGAAGTCAACCGAAACGACCTCAACCGTTAAATGCACAAGGCAGCGACACAGTGCACCTTGTAATGTCCCAATCACGCATCATTCCGCATCATTCTCCGAGCTATACGATCAAGAGATAAGCAGCCATTGAAATCAATAATGCAAGTTTATGAGATAGGATCTTTCGCTGGCAATTAATCGCGAAGCGATACATTGTATTGTTAGGCCAAAGAAACCAAATGGACATTGGTAAGAAAGGAAAGGACAAAGTTACGGACGGAAAACCCAGTTGTGTAGGTATACAAGTGTTTTATAATCTGTTTTACAATCAAAGTATACAGTTAAATTGTTATATAATTAGTTGTCATGTATTTGAGTGTGTTATATACGTTATATATCATGTAATATATAATCTACGTGCTTGAGCTTGAGCTTAATTGTAAGTTACATAGTTGTGATGAGCACAGTCAATAAGTAATAGTATAATCGACAGATCGATAGACGTTTCCGTGTTCGACCGGCAACATAATATGAAACAAAAAAAACTCACCAGCGGTAGGAAAGTATCTGTCGTATGAGCCACCGCGTTTTATGGGAATAATCGAGTGCGATCGACTGGCAGATGTGGTTGCCTGTAATGCCGTCTCCAAGTCTCTGGCCGACTATATACCAGCAACAGCCAACCAATTTGAACAAAACAATCAAAATAAAAATGTATAACGGCTCACTGCTGTGAGGCGTTCTTCCCTCACTGTATCTCATTTCTTTTTTTTTCTTTTCTTCACTCTGTTTTACACACGTAAAGTTCGTCAAAAAATCACATTCCCCCGATCGCATGCTTGTTCTTTTTCATAATTAATTGTACATTGTTTGGGTGAGTGTGGTGGTGGCATTCAATTTAAAAAAATATTATTGATCAGACAAAATACCACTCAGAACGACAAATCAAGTTGTAAAAATCAACACCAATGTTTAATGTTCCACAGTAAAAAACGTCATTACTAGTAAGTTACTTTGATATGCATCGTCATTTAGATTAAACGTAAAAACATGGACAATGCTAGGTAAATAATATCACTCTGGAATTCCCGATGAGTTAATAGCATTATCTCAATGATAAGAGAAAGAATTGATGTACAGTGCACCTAATCGAATTCATTAAAAATTTTCACTGTAGATATACGTTTCGTTTAACGATATGACGGATAATAACTATACTTTCCTTTTTTTGTCTTATCGTTTATCAATAAATCATTTTTCTGGATGCGATAAACTGTATTCAAATTGGAAACCAAAAAAGCGCAAAATTAAACGAAAGATATTATTATAGGTTCGAACTGAATTTAATTATATAAAAATAAATCTATAAGTAAACAGAAAAGTATAATCGCAAAGTTTAGGATAAGTGCGGCGTGCACTATTATACCTTCTTTTATAATGCGTACAATATAGGGAAAAATCTAGTGCTAGAAATATTAAACGGTAAAATTTAAACTGTAAAACGTAAAAATGAAGTGCTATAATAAAAGAACTAACTTTGCATTCTTAAACAAGCGATTTACTTTAATGTAAATTAACATTAACCCTCAAAGGCTATATAGAACAATAGGAAATACCTCTAAACATCCTAATCCATTCAAGTTAGGGCTGGAGGATCATTTAAAAATGAAAGAATGAAGATTTGCTTATTTGTACTATTCATTTTGTACCAATCAAGTGCTTATTTAGTTGTACACTCATCATTCAAATTTTGATAGCATTGAATTAATATACATTCAATTGGCAGATATTCTTATAAGAATCTAAGCGAACCTTCTCATGCATATAAACAAAAATGCACACATTGAAAAAATAATGCATCTATAGAGGCATCTTTACCTTTCTAAAATTTGTAATTAACAGTATGCAAAATTCACAAGAGGATACTTTTGAGGGTTAATAATACATGAAAATGATAAAGATTAATGATGACAGTATTTCATGAAAATGATAAAGATTAATGATGACAGTATTTCATGAAAATGATCCTAGTATGTCTCAAGAAGCATTTCAATATTTATGATTGATCAAACGAGAATGAACATTCATTCGAGGCAAAACATTTTCTACCTGAGAGGGTCAGATAGAGATCATATATGGTTCCTCGCCTTACTGGTGGTAAACGTTTACTGCGTTGGCTGTTCAAAGCCTCGGCAACATCGACTTCCAAGTCACGCCATTGCTACAATATTCTTTTGATTATATTGGGCTCTTTCAAATTGTTTTTATATTACTTAATTAGATTTCATTGTAGAAAATAATGACATTATTATTCAGCAATTGGCTGATTTATACATTGAAAAATGAACTAAAAGTATAAAGAAACCACTACTTAAAAGTGTCAACTAAATCTTAAAAGTGATGTCCTTTTGAATTATACATGAATTCATTATTGAAGCTTCAGTAATTTGAACCACTTTTTCTTTGGAACAAAGTCTCAGTTGGTACTTCTTTTTCTTAAATTGTGTAAGTTAAGTGAAAATATCCTACACTAATGATATTTTGTGAAAAAGAGCCTTAAAAATTGATTGACGATTATTGAAACCATTTGTGCAATATATGAAAATAATACCTCAAAATTCAATAGAGCTTCCTCCTCATCCTGCTTGTAGTATTCAATATTGACAGTAACCAAGCCCTCTGGATAGCCACGCACAGTGATAATGCTGCTTTTTGGTCCCGTAAATAAAATCAATAGGCTACCATCAACATTTGACTCTGTCAAGTGCTTCAAACCAACAAAGTGCTCTTTGAGCACATTTGTAATGTTTGCCTTGAGATTGGCCCTTTTCTCCATGTCAATAACCTGACTGGATGGAACAGTAAAGTCCAGAAGTACAGTGTGCGCAACCATGTTTATTCTGTAAGTAAATAAAATACAAGGTCATTGACAGAAGAAAGATAGGCGCGCTATAGACAACTGGATACACTAATTATCAAATTAGTCAAGTAGCAAATTGGATTTAGTGATAGACGACTCATTCGCATCTATGAGAAAAGGATGCCCATTCTACATTATAAAATTCTCACGTGAGACTTGCCCGCATGAGAAGCAGAACAAATTTAATTTTTCACGAAAAATTGAATTCTCATTTTCGCGCGCAAGAAATTGAAATTAGCGAAAAGTGCATTATATAATTGAATTAATAAACCGGGTCGTGCGAGTGTATATGTGTCAAGGGTAAGTAGATACAATGTTTCACCTGTCGCGTGAATACAATTCGTGCCTAGTAGTTAAAGATAGATCGTCTCGTGTATGTATTTACACGGATATACTATACAGACATGTACATTTATGCCTTGACTAAGGGTCGGACAACGGTGGGTGCTGCCGCCGCAATTATTCAATACAATAGGAGTATTGAATCGTAGGACGATCTTATACTATTAGATATACTTGTTAATAAAATGACATTCGATTGTAAAGATACTAACCTCGAGTGGTGTCAACGCTGAACTCAAGGAAAAAATATAGTTCAAAGGCAATGCTGTTTGTATATTATAAGCACAGACAAGCGCACGAAATCTAAGCGACGACCGTCGACGCTACCGCAGCAGTCGCAGACTAACGCGAGTCTTAAAATTTTATGTACTGGCTGTCTCTGCTATATATAAACACGTGCGAGGTCCTGGGGAAATTTGCGCGATACAAGGGTCGCGTAACTCCCTAGATTGTCTGGAGAATTTTCGTATTAACCAGTTACGGTTATGATTACCCGTTATGAATTTCGTAACAATGTATATCATAAATAAAGGCGTTTACCATGTAGACATTAGAGATTTATTACATTTTTTAATCATTTTATTTATTTTTTATTATTAAAACCTACGCATGTCTGGTGTAGGACTAGAGTGATTACAAATCTGCAGAAGACTAAGAATACAATTTTTTACTGCATAGAATTGGTACACATATTAATAATAATTGGTGTACTAATTCTAATACACTATATTTAAATAACGTACTGAACCTAAAACTAAATATCAATAGTTGCATACCAAATTATATGTTCTTTTACAATAATTTCTTATTTTCTCTTCATACTACTTTTGATTATTTTCTTACATTACTGAGTTTCATCATAATGAATTGGAACGCTTTATTACTATTATATGACGAATTCCACGAAAAATGAATTGATTCGGCAATGTTTTTTTTTAATGTTTATTTAAACTACAAGCTTATTTTCAATTTATAATTTTAATATCGTACGATGTATTAGAGACCTTCTTAACCAAGGATTTATTAAAATTACATGAACACTCTCCGTCATTACAAAAAGGCAAAACGTGATGTCTTATGATTTCTGTAGTTGTTTGTAATTTTTAATAAAATTGAATAATTATTAAAAATAATTTAAATTAAGACTGAAACGACCGAATGCAAGATTATATGTTAATTACGGAGAATATAAATATTGGAAAACTTGTATCTTGTTAATAGAAAATTAATAAGATCTCTCGGAGACTATATATAACCTAAGACTATACTTTTTGTCATACGAAATTTTCCTATACTGATAGCACATATAGGTACGTAAGCATATTGTTTGCGTAGTCATAAATTTAGCAAATTTCATCACGTGAGCCTAATATTGCCTTATCTTTACATCGTTAGTTTATCTTCATTTTTCTTAACAAAAGCAAATGACGACATTAATTACTTTTTCTAAGATTGCGTATTGCATTATCTAATGTAAATAAAATTCAATGTTATTGAACGCTTGAGCCAACATCATGTACTGGAAACTTTATCTACCTCTGTATCAGTCATTATATTAAGTGTGCTAATGACTTTATCTCGCGCTTTTGACAGGTATAAGAACAAAACGAAAAGATATGTAAAAAGTTTCACACCTCAAACAAAAATATAAATTTATATTTTTCACAAAGAAATTTAAGGAAATGGTAAACGAAACCATTCGGCAAAATGAAAGTAACATTGAAAGATCTACTAAATCAATCGCGGATGTAGTCATCAAAGAAGACATTCAGATGATCGTAGATCGTGCCTTGGGGTCATCGTACACAATTATTAGCTATGCACTTCAACAATTCCCAGGCAAAAATCTTGGATTTATGGCAGCCCATCGAAATCTTATTGTCACTGTTTACAATGAAACTGTCGGTCAAGAAGAAGAGCACAGTTTCTTTGTAAAATCTATGCCTTATGGTGTTGATTCTCAAGTATCGTTAATTGAAGATGCCGGAGCATTTCGCAAAGAAACGACATATTACAATAAAATGGTTCCCGAGTTGGTGGCAAGTGTCGAAGACAGCGTCTGGGGCGCAGAGTGCTTCTTAGTGAAAAATGATGTGATGGTGTTTGAAAATTTGAAATCTAAAAACTTTAACATCAAAGAAAAATTTTTAGATATCCGTTTTGTGAAGGCTGCTTTACTAGCTTTAGCGAAATTGCACTCGGCTTCGATTTTAACTGAAGAACGCCTTGGAAAAAATCTACTTGAGCTTTATCCGGAAATACTAACTGACAGACTTTATTTGCGCGAAGGTAAAACTTACGATTGGTGTTTGGCAGGCGTTGAAGTGGCCATTGCAGTAGCTAAGCACCTGAAACTAGATTTTACTCTCATTCGGCAAGTATGTGACCGGGTTTACGAAGCAATACTTCCCTCGAAATCCATGAGGAATGGAATTTGTCACGGTGATATGTGGTCATATAATTTACTTTTTGATGATTCAAAACCTCTACCTAAATGTCTCATGGTGGATTATCAGATAATACGATATGCACCTATCATGACCGATGTGTCTTTGCTTTTTTATTTGACTACTAGAAGAATATTTCGAAAACAATATGAGACGGAATTATTGACTTATTATCACGAAGCACTATGCAAAAAGCTAAAGGAAAACCACTATCAAGCAGAACTTCCAACTTTAAACAGTATTTTTTATGAATTCGAGCAAATTAGAATCGTAGGTATTGTTACCGCTTTGCTATATTTTCCAATAATTCTATTAGAAGGTGAAGAAAGTAGTGATTCAACCAAAAGTTCTGATAATTATGTGAAACTTCAATTCAGAGATCGTGTGGGTGTGGTGTTAGATGTTATCCAGAAAGATATGATTTATAGGGAAAAAATTAAAGAAATTGTTGAAGAGATAGTTGAAAGAGCTGAAAATTTATTAGCTGCTTGATAAATAATTGATAATGTATGTTACTGTTAAAATAATTATAATAAAGTATATAATAATTTTGTTACATTCGTGTTTTTCACGTCTCTATATTCATATTTGAACCTCAAGTTTTTTGAAATTCATTGTAAGAATCAATATAAAATTATTGCCAATCAATAGTAAATTTTCTATACTCATCACGTCATATACTATATTTAAACTATCTTATTATATCTCGTCATGAAATTGACAAATCATTCTTAGTTATTAAGTTCAAGGCAAAGTAGGTTTTGACAAAGACATGCAGCAAAGTCAGCTTTATTTATGATCTTATATTTCTGATCCAGATTTACAGCTCTTACCGTCGTAATAGATAAAGAATTTTTTACAGATTTCATTGAGATCAAAATATATTTTTATAGCAGTTATAAAACAAAGAAGCTCGTAAGAATTTTGTATTTGGTTGTTTCAGTAATATCTCAGAGTTTGAGTATCAAGAAATTGTGTATTCCAAAATGTTGTGAAATACAATTGGTGTCAATAAAAAACCTGATAATAATAACGCTCACAAAGAAAGTCCAATAAATTCCGAAGATTATATTATAGAAAAAAATGTAAAAATTGTAGCAGAGAGATTCCTTGAATTGCACTTTCAAGTAATCGATTACTGTAAAAAAAAAAAAATTCGAACGAAAAAGTGGGGTTCTTTAGGAAGGATTCAGAAAGACGCGACTATTCAGAAAATAAATGTTATTTATACTTTTTAAAGGTTGTACCTTATCTCATTGAGTCATAGGTGTCTTACATAAACAAAGAAAAAGGATTTTACAAAAAAAACAAGTTTATTAATGTATATTATAATTTCTAAATGCATAAATGACTAATTAATACGTAATATATTACCAGAATTATAAAAAAATGTCGAAGATAAATTGACCATACCTCGCTGTTGTTACGTGAAGTAAAATACATTACTGGCAAATTAGAAATTTGTGCATTAAAGGTATATATTTTGATGCTATTTATTTGAAATCTTTAGTTCGGCAAAATTACACGTAGCATCAATATTAGTAGAAAATCGGCTAGGCAAAACTTTTATTGAGCTCTATCTAGGTATTTTTGAAAAACGAATATTTGTTCCAATGGGTAAATTATTTGATTAGTATGTAGCTACTATAAATGCTCAATAATCGTAGCTAAGTTTCTTGTTTTATTTTAAATGATAAATTTGAATGTACCGAAAGTGTGTGGTCGTACCTTCAATGACATAGCGATAGTTATTTGTTATGGAGACGTCAAGACTGCCAATTTGATATTCGATGACTTACAATCTCTTCCTATATATACTTTAATGAATTTTTACTGTATGCTTTCAATGGCTCATGTTGCTTAACTTCTCTACAACAGCTGCACACGGGAAACAATATACATTGTAGTAAGGTAATCTTTATGAGAATATACTATGGTAAAAGATTTTTTGCAGAAATACCAAGAATTAAAATTTATTGGTTTAGTGACGATACTTTAATGGCACCATTGAGACGTATGGAAAGGCAAAAATGTGTAAAATGGACTAATGACTCGAACAGCTATGGTCAATTTCTTTTCATAGACAGAAATTAATTGATTTGGAAAATGATGAAAGAAAATGTAAATTATAAAGGTGTCTTAAATGAAATTATATCACAAATTAACAAACGAACTGCTGAATTTCTAAATGCACAGATGACTAATTGATACTCAATATAGTTTCAGTTTTATTTTAATACTATGCTTCTGCAAACGGCTTGGGAGTTAAACTTTTTGAGTTGATTTTTTTAATAAAAAACCAAAAACTTAAAAATTCCATAATGATCGAAGATGAGAACATAAAATATTAATATTTGAACAATTAAGAAGGTAAAGCTCAATGCAATAGGCTGGTCATTGCAGATAGATGCGAAGCTTGAAAGATCCGATCTGACCTGATCGCAAACAAAAAAGCTAAATGGCTCGAGCTAACATAGAGTTTTATTCGAGCTTTTGATTTCGAGCCCGGGCCGAATAAATTTCAGCTTTTACAAAAGTTAATTATATGATATACGATATATATAATTGTTAATATAGTAAAAGCGTAAATCAAAGTAGCGTACAATCTTTAAAATGCAAAATGATTTAGAAAATTAATTAAAAAATAGCCCTCGGTATTTCTCTAATCAAGCGTATAAAAATAAAAATATAGGAATAAACAAAACTACATTAAATTACGACACTTTCAAATGTTAATATTAAAAGCTCACTTTTCTATGAGTCTATAATATTGGGGTTGGACTTCAACTTAATAAAAAAGTCATCAGGTGTTTACAGAATAATTTTGATACACAAAATATGACAGCAATTCTAATATATAGCAAATGTGAGAGTTGTTAAATATGAGCTTAAAAACGTTAGGAATGTTTATGTAATTTAGAGATTGCGACTGCATTTTAGCACATGGTATTTGTGTCATGTCTTAAATGTTAAATTCATTCTGTAAAGACTCCTTACCTCTTTATATATATATATATATACACACACATACACACACATATGATTAATAATTAATTTAAATAATAATTAATATACATATGATTAATAATAATTGATTTCTTTATTTGAAAATACGCGCCCTTTTAAAGTTCCTAGATAATTGGTGCACAGATGACTCCACAGTTCACAGTATATAGTTTCTCTACCAATACACGTGTCATGGATCTGAAGTGTTTATACAGAACGATTCTGACACATTCAAAGTGACATCAATTATGACTCGAGACAAGTCTAATGTACGCTGTGGAGCCATCTATGAATCAATTATCCAGAAACTTTGAAAAGGCACGCATTTTCAAATTAAGAAACTAAAATTACTATTAATCAAAAATATAAAAAGCTTTCTACATAAGGATCAAACATAGGACGTTGGACAATGGACATTGGACGAGTGTCGAGATTATTAAGGTGAAAAACTAATTGTTTGTTTTCTGGGTATATCTGTGATTATGTAAGATTCGAGCAGCAATAAAAATATAAATTTACTATATTAAAATTATTTGTACAATAATAGATAGACTGTCTTTTTTTTACTATGATACACTTCCGATTGCCGATGTCCGATTTCCGATGTGTCCTTACGTAAAAAGTCCCTAATACAGTTATTATTAAATTATTTAATTATGTATATGTGAATATATTTTAGACTACTAACTAATTTTTTAAAACAATTAATAATAGTGATATTGTATTTTTGATTAATAGTAATTTATTTCTTTATTTTAAAATAAGTATCATTTTAAAGTCCCTAGATAATTGGTGCATAGATGGCTCCACAATGCACACCAGTTTTGTCTCGGGTGAAATTTAATGTCACTTTGAGGCCCTCGTCACATATGCGCATACGCGCGCGTACAAGGACGTACAAACGCGTACAAATCGCTAAAAATTTTGATAGTGCCAACAACAGAAAGTTACTACTATTCCTCGTATGCCCCAAACGAACACACTTACTCCCGGAACAAACGTATCATAACGCTATATTATTGGTTATGATACGTTTGTTCCGGGAGTAAGTGTGTTCGTTTGGGGCATGCAGTAGTAACTTTCTGTTGTTGGTACTATCAAAATTTTTAGCGATTTTTACGCGTTTGTACGTCCTCGTACGCACGCGTATGCGCATATGTGGCGAGGGCCTGAATGTGTCAGAATCGTTCTATAAACATTTCATTGTGTTAAAATTATTCTGTAAACGCTCTAAGAATCTCATCAAAAACATGGTTACGTTTAATGTCGATGATGTGAAAAAAATTATTATTAATTCTATTGGTCCTTCTTATACAATTATAAATTATTCCGTAGAGCTTTTTTCTACAAAAAAAGTTGGCATGTTTGGATCTTATCGCTTATTAAAAGTGAGTGTTAAAAATATGCACAACGTTGAAGATTATGAGGTAAAACATTTGACCTTTTTCGTTAAGTCACTACCAGAATCAGATGTGATACAAGATATTGTGAGCGGTATAACTTTTGAAGAAGAACTGAATTTTTATAAAAATATTAAGCCATTAATGGCTTTAAACTCCGAGAGTGATCGATGGTCACCTAAGTGTTATTTAGCAGAAAACAATGTTTTAGTTTTTGAAGATTTACGTGCCCAAGGTTTTTCAATGAATTCTGAAAAAATAATGGACGAGAGATTATTAAAATCGGCTCTCGTAGCATTAGCCCGATTTCATGCATCAACACTTGTGGCAGAATCAAAACTAGGCAAGCCACTCAACGAAGCTTTCCCTGAATTTTTAAAAGAAAAAATTTTTGATAAAAGTACAATATTTGGTCGATCAACCTTATTAGGTTTCAAAACTTTAGTTTCAATCGCAGACAAATTCAATCTTGATGCAAGCTTCGTGTTACCTCATATGTACGACTACATTCACAAAAATATAAGATCTCAAGAAGGAGAACTAAATGTATTGTGTCATAGTGATCTGTGGAATAATAATATATTATTTAATGAAAACGTTGTTCCTGAGTGTATTATCGTGGATTATCAAATGTTAAGATATACTACACCAGTTGTAGATTTAAGTGCACTTCTGTATTTTAATACAACATCGGAATTCAGAAAAAAGTTTGAATTTGAAATGATCCGTTATTACTATTCCATATTTCAAGAAACTTTAGGTCGAAGGAATATAAAAATAAAAGTTCCATCCTACGAAATAATCTTAAATACTTATACAAAATACAGACTTATTGGAATGATGTTGGCAGCAATATGTGCTCCTCTTAATTATATTGAAGTTGAACACGTAAGAAAATTGATTTATGATCCAGAAGCTGTAAAAAGGTACATGCTGTATGAGAGAATGGAATTTATTGGCCCTTTTCTCGATACTAATATTATTTACGCGAAAAAAATTAAAGACTTACTATGTGAAATTTTGAATGAAGGGAGACAAGTATTGAATCTTTAAAACATAAACATGTTTACTTTAAAATTCATACATGTGATGTCTACTAAAGCACCTATTTCTTATTAAGATATATATAATTATGTACCTAACATATTTTTTTTATAGAATAATGAGTATTATTTTTATCTAGATTAATGTAAAAAAATGTTGAATTTATCTATATTGATACCAATAATAATAATAATAATAATAATAATAATAATAATAATAATAATAATAACAATAATAATCTTTGCAAATTTTTACAAATAACAAGCATATAAATATTCTATGCACAAATGCCTTAGCCGTCGCAAATAACAGTTTTATTTCTGACTCTAGTAATAAAGATATTGCAAGAATTTTATAAACAAATATCGTTGTAACATTTACTTGAACACTATCTTCTCATTTGCTAAGGAAGATATTGAAAAAGTTGTTCATCGTGCTATCAGTCTTGAAACTATTATTTTTAATTACAAAATCGAACCTTTTACATAAATAAATAATGGTGTACTCAGATTTTATATTCTATTATGTGTTAACATTGAAAAGTCATCCAGTAAAAACGTCGATGCCAATGTAAGTACCAACATATTTTTTGTGGAAACATTTTCAGAGTCTAGTGTAGTAAAATAAATATTGATGGACACAGAGATGTTCGAAGAAGAAATTAATCTTGACACCGTTCTTCAGGCCTGGTGATTGCAGATTATGATAGCAAGAAATAATTCGCTACATGATATTAAGCTAAACATGATCTACTTGTAAACGAGGATCTATGAGTTCAAAAATTTAATACATCGAATTACCTCATGAAAAAATTCCTCTTAAATTGGCACTAGCAATGTTAACTCAATTTTATGCATCGCTTTATGTCACTTTGGGCTTAAGTTAAAATTGGTAAATTGTTACAATATGCATATATAAAGTATTATTGAAAAAATATATATTACTTATAGTAAATTTGACCGCGGATCGAAAATTGGCTACAAAACTATACTTCTGATATAAAAAATATTTGGTCTGGATTCTAGTTTGATGTTGCCATATTTGTTAACTTACATGCAGAATAGTGTGAAGTCAAAAGAAGGACGTAGGATAGGATACGGAATAAGATACAGTGATCTCTGGAAAAATAACATCATGTTCAACCATAGCAATGAGCGTGTCATGCTAGATTATCAAATGTTGCGATACGCTTCACCAGCTGTGGATGTTGCTACGTTGGTTCACTTCAATACGACGTCAGAATTTCAGAAGACGAGAAATTGAAATTTTCAAACGCTATTATTCACTGTTTCAAAAGATATTATGAAATACAAATGGGAAATTCTAAAACCCTTTCATGAGTACATGTTATTACTATTATTAGATTATGACTTAAAAGAATTATTATATAACGAGGATATTTGGATCATGGGATACTATATGGAATTATATACGCTGCATTATATCTGCCTGGTATTTATTCAACTCAATCATTTTTTTAAATTACTCATTATTCCAAATGCACTTTCGTTTAAGTGTCGGTATTCAAAAATATTGTAATAATTGTAGACATGAAATTGATAATCACACATTTATATTAAAAATATGTTAAGTTTGAATAGATGTATTTATGATTATATTCAATAAACCAAACTATGAATGAAGCAATTATAGGCATCAGAATTAAACTATTTTCTGATTTGCCAAAATGACGTAAGTATAAAAAATTCAACAAATGACACTTTCCAGGTATACCACGGTGGAGGTCCACCTTGAGTAATACTTTATGACTTGATAACAGTGTGTGTGCGCGTGTGTGTAAGAACTAATTGCGTATATACATAGTTCATTTACAATAGTAAAGATACGTTGAATTGCAGATGTTTTTGTCATTTAAAATATGACAACAAATTATGTTAGCTTGTACCATCTCGTACAAATAATTTAAATGATAGAACTCATTCCTCTGGTCGCTCTTACAACGTTGCCACATTGCAACTTAAAACTAGGTTTTAGACTAGTCACATGACTGCTTATAATTACTACATATACACTTAACTGATATCACCCGTACTGTTACCTTATATGTATACTTATACTTATTAAAAATATGGCAGTTACATGCATCATGTCTTTGCTAAGTACCGTCGATGTGGACCAGATCATTATTAATGCTATTAGCTCAAATATTACACTTATAAATTATTCGTCAGAGCCTTTTTCTGCAAATAAACAAGGTGATTTAGGATCTCATAATTTGCTAAAAGTCAATGTTAAAAATGAGCACGATAACAACGGTGATTATGAGGTAAAAATATTGACCTTCTTCGTTAAGTTACTGTCGCCATGAGTTGCGATATGGGAGGTATAACTTATGAAGAACTAAATTTTTATAAAAATATTAAGCCACTAATGATTTAAAACTCCGAGAGTGAAAGATGATCGTCTAAGTGTTATTTGTAGAGAACAACGTTTTAGTTGTTGAAGATTTACGTGCTCAAGGTTTTTCAATGAATTATGAAAAGATAATAGCCGAGAGATTGTTAAAATCGGCTCTTGTAGCATTAGCCCAATTTCATGCATCAACACTTGTAGCAGAGTCGAAACTAGGCAAGCTACTCAACGAAGCTTTCCCCGAAGTTTTAATAGAAAAAATTTAATAGAAATACAAAATTTGATCGAGCTTTGTGTTACCTCATATATACGACTACATTCATAAATGTAAGACGTCAATAAGGAGAACTAAATGTATTGTTTTATAGTAACCTGTGGAATAATAATATATTGTTTAATAAAAACATTTTTCCTGAGTGTGCTGCGTATATTTAAAATGGTCTATTATTACTATTCGATATTTAAAAAAACTTTAGTTCGAAGAAATATAAAAATAAAAGTTCCATCGAGCGAAATAATTTTAAATATACTTATACAAAATACAGATTTATTGGAATGGTGACGGCAGCAATCTATTTTCCTGCTCTTTATGTCCGGAACACTTGAAAAAACTGGTCAACGATTCAAAGGCTCTAGAAAAATATATGCTTTATGATGGAAATCATTGAAGCTTGTCTTGATAGAAGTCCTATTTACGTGAAAAAAATTAAATATTTACCGAGTGAGGTTTTGAATGAAGCGCAATTAGTATTAAATATAAAAAATTTTTACGTGATGTTCATATTTTGAAAGACGAATATACGATATTTTCTCTTTGATTGCTGTTTTACAGAAATTTTTGTTAAATTGCTTATTGAAATTAATTTTAGCACCTCCTTTATATCGCAATAGATACAAGTCTGAGTACTTATCAAGTGCCCAGATTAAGATGTTTAATTTAGTATGATTTTTCATTTCTGTCAACGATTATGATTAACAATAATAGGCGGAGGATCTGCGTTTCCTGTTATTGACCATATCATAAAATTAACAACCATATTCACTAATGAAATTAATTTTCAAAGAATCCTGTCTCTTTTTTATTCCTCAATCAACAATAATTGGTAGACGACCACCTTAATCGATTCAGGAGTTTGTCAACTAATTAACAATGTTGAAATCAGCTATTAAGTAGAAATGAACGTTAATTTTATAACGTTTTTTTTAGAGTCATACAAAAAATAAAATCATCAATCTTCATTGATATCAGTAAATAATTCTATCTAAATCTAGACTGATAACAAGTGATAATTATACTATTGGCTTTTGTGCACAGTTGAAATTGAAAAGCATCGTCGAGAAGAGGGTTTCCTTTGTGGCAAAAAGACGTTAGAGTAAGTTTCCTAACAAGTATTGTGAAAATATTACTATGTCTACAATCACTAAAGAAGATGTTGAAACGGTTATTTATCGCGCTGTCAGTCCCGACGCAAAAGTTTTGAATTACAAATTAGAACCTTTCACGCAAATGAAAAATGGTATTCTCGGTTCCCATACCCTATTAAGCGTCAGAGTCTGCACTTCATCCAGCAGAAATGACGATGTCAACGTGAGTACACGTACATTTTTCTTGAAAACTCCACCAGACAGCGCAATTCAAGATTTAATAATGGATGAAGGGATATTCGAGGAAGAAGTTAACTTTCACAATGACATACAACCGCTGATGCTTGCAGATTATAACGGTGAAAAGTGGTGTCCTAAATGTTATTTAGCTAAAGGTAATGCGCTTGTTTACGAGGATCTACGAGTGCAAGGATTCACTACGCCAACTGAATTGCTAATAAATAAAACTTTTCTCAAATCAGCACTAGCAACGCTAGCTCGATTTCACGCAGCGTCACTTTTAGCTGAAGCTAAACTTGGTAGATCCTTAAAACAAGCATATCCAAAGTATTTTGCTGAAAAATTATATTGCGATCATAATAAACATGGACGTCTAACAAAGGACGGCTTCGAAGCCATAGTTCTGATGGCAGAAAAGTTTGGTCTTGATTCGAGCTTGGTGCTGCCACATTTGTACAATTGCGTGAGCAATAAAGTGAAGCCTAAGAAAGGACACGTCAATGTAGTATGTCACAGCGATCTATGGAAAAATAATATAATGTTCAACCGTAGCAATGAGTGTGTCATGGTAGATTATCAAATTTTGCGATATGCTTCACCAGCTGTGGATGTTGCAATGTTGGTTTACTTGAATACGATGCCAGAGTTTCGAAAGACTGGGGAAATTGAGATTTTCAAGCACTATTATTCAGTGTTTCAAGAGACATTACGGAAAAGCAAGCGGGATATTCAGATACCCTCTTATGATTACATGTTAAAAGAGTATTTGAATCATAGGATAGTAGGAATGACGTACGCTGCATTATATTTGCCTGGAATATACTTAAAACCAGATGATATTATGAAGCTAATGAATGACCCTAAGGCACTGACGTATTTCTTTTCCAATCGATTTAAATTCATAAATCTTGAAATAGATTCGAATCCTGTATACGCGATACGGCTAAAGGCAATCCTGACGGAACTTTTAGATGAAACACGACAAACATTGAATCCGTAGGACATGTCACTGTTCAATATTGTTGTAACGAATGTGGAGGTAACATTGATAATTATGTACTTGTGTTGGATTTAATGTTAAATATCTATGTATGTGATCGAAAGATGGTAATTGGATAAACCAAACTGTTAAGTAATTATCGTTGTCCTTATTAAATCTTATCAGATGGCATTAATTAATTTATTTCCATTTATTAATTTTCATGAAAATATCTACGAATCAGTGAGTAATTATTTTCTCCGAATATTTACCTAGCGTCGCAGTATCATGTGATGTTTACTTCGCACAAAGTCTCGCTTGGTTTTAATAGCACGAAGCAATTAGACAGCTCGAAAAAATGACGCGGACTCGAAATCCGGTTGCCGAGAAAGAAGATTTGTTGACAAGCAAGCCTTGCGTTGCGCCAGAGCCGCGCCAATGTCCGAAAAAGTCTTGAATCGCGGTGGAAAATGTGGAAAAGCCGATCGAGCCCGACCCAAGCCGACACTTTGTTTTTGCCAAGTGCACCGAGAGCGTGCGTAAAGCTATGTTTAGCAGGCGAGCACGGAGGATGGCACCTCGAGATTACTCAGCGCGCTCGCCGGCGCGTCAGCGCGTTTCCATTGTCGCGCGAGGCTCGGTCGCGCGTTCGATCCGCCTGATTGACAGTCGACGATCGATGGCACGAGCGATCGCGGCGACGACGACGCCGCGCGCAAAAATAACCGGCCGCTCGGCGGGCTTTCGTTTTCGCAAAACTGTAAAGCGGATATCGAGTTACGGCGCGGCGGCTCGCATTTGGCCGGCAATCGGCGGCGTTTACGTAAGCCGAGAGCCAACGGGCGCCGCGGCGAGCGCGCGCGGGGGCCCTGCGCGGAGCCAGGCGAAGGGCCGACGCGCTCGACAGTTATCGCCCCGCGTCGCCGCGGTTGGGCCTCGGTCTAAATAGATCGATCAGTAAATAGATCGGAGCCTCGACTGCGCTCACTCGGGTATTTGCAGCGAGGGCATGCTCGGCTCGGCGGAGACAAAGATACACGGCCCGAGCGAGCGCGAGTGCGCGAGCTCTCGCTTGGCAGGGCTTATCGTGACACAGATTTTCCCTTCTCGAGAGCTTGCGCCGCGGCGTCGGCTAGTGCGCTGCCGGCGCTGCTCACTGCCGAATCGCCGTCGCGTTTGACTCGCGGGAGCACTATAGTGACCGGTCAGTGCAAGCCGACTGTGCGCGACAGAGCAGCACCGAGCCACGCAGCCGCCTCATTTTTAATCCAACCACCCAGTTGCAGTGAGCGATAAATCCCTTTACTTTTTTCTGGTGCTGACCACCCTTTATGTTTTATATTTTTTTTTCTTTCTTTTTTTTTCTTTTTCATTCTAAAATCTTGTTTTCTCTGCTTCATCTTTTCTTTGACATGTTTTCGTACAGCGCCTCGATGCACTCGCTCGCTTTCGCCTATCTTTACACGCATTTCTCTCGCCACGCTATCTCACCCACCTCGCTCATACGCTATCGCATGCTCGTCTGCATATTCAGCGACCTCGTCAGGATACGCCTGTCGCTCACGTTTCGCTGCACTCGGACCCAAGCGAAATGCTTCATACTTGCTCGGCGATGACTCGACCGCCGAAGTAACGAATAACCAGCTGCACTCTGCCGCTTTGTGTGCACCCGATCTCTCTGTGTTGTTTACGTTTCGAGCAGGGGCTTGCGCTTTTCTTTCTCTGCTGTGCCGAGCTTACGTGACCACTCGGGCGTCTGTGATTCTCGTGAGCACTTTGCGCTCGAGTGCTCGGTCGGAATTTCATCCTGGCGTTCGCTCGTATCGTCGCGAAGCGAAGGTGAAAAGTAACGGCCGAGCGAGGATAAGAAAGAAAAATTGCATCCACCTCGGTCGAGCGGCGATCGGCTCGGGCGCGGCGTTCGACTTGCGATTTGGCACGAGAAAAAGCCGAGGAAAGTTCAAAGCACCGGCAGCATTGCGAGCAGGATTGCGTTTACAGCAGCTTGGCGACTTTTGCCTCTTCTATTATTACACCGAGAGCGCTCTAGTTTCTCGATATTCCGTTTTTTTTTCCCTTAGCGCGCTCTCGCGCCACCGAGCTCTTTTATAATCCGGTTGCGCGCGCGGGATTTTCGCGACTGGAGAACGTCCTCGTAGGCGGCCTCGCTCTCGACTTCCGGGTCTCGACTCCGCGCGCGGGCCAGCGAGTTATTATAGCGGTCTCGCCCCCTTGTCCGCGGGCGTGTCGCGCGCGAGTCGGCGCTCTCAGTTATGTAACGCTTTCGCGGGGCGCCATCGACGTGGCCGCCGTACGACGCACGGGCGGCGTTATCGTGGCCGCGAGAGCTTTATTTTGGGACGCGCGAGCCTCTCGCAGTTTGCGCGAAAATCGAGAGGAATTTTGATCGCGCGGCCGAGAGAGAAGGCTGGATTATTTATACACGTGCGAGCGCTTCGCCGCGAAATTTCGCCCAGCTGGGCACTCGCCGGTCGTGCACGAATTGTCTCGTGCAAACTGCCCGAGTGGCTTTCGTAAATTGTGAGCAAGGCGTGACGACAGAATGCCGCAGGCCAGAATCGAAGAGAGTGCAATCGTACATGCCGTTGGAAAGCAGCGGAGTTTGTTGAGAGGAGGAGCAATGTGGTTGCGCACGTGTTATAGATGTAGAGCGCCATGGCAACCCTTGACATTAAGTTTTCGAAATTCGACAACCGTCCATGGGGCTTTCGTCTGGCGGGAGGAAGTGACTTCCCCGAACCCCTTACAGTGATTAGGGTAAATACCGCTTTCATCACTTTTTGCATGCAACGACTTGGCTTCGTGAGCATAGACGCGGAGAAAATGTCGAGTCGGAACGGCCGACCCCGTCGCGAAGACGCGGCCAATGATCGAGGGCGCGAACAAAGTGTGCGGCCAGGTAAAAGGACAATTTTCAGGTATCGGAGGGAAGTCTTGCAGAATGCATGGGCTTGAAAGTGGGCGACGTGGTCGTGAAATTGAACGATCAGCCGATAAGCGACATGACCCACGGTCAGGCCCACGAGGCCCTCACGCTTGCCGGCAACAACTTCGTTTTAGCAGTTCGAAGGTAAGCTTTTTACAAACTCACGCGTTCCTACTCTCGCTCAACTCCGCGTTCGATGTCTTACAGCGGATCTATTTTACTTGTCCGTCGCTACACTTGAACGTTGTTGACATCCCTATTGCCAGAATTATGTTTATTTCTCACGCGCGTAGTGTTCAAATTGGGCGTGAATGAAAAGTCGAAAATAAACGGCATCGAGGATAAATATAACTCTACGCGAATTGAACCGGAAAAATGCAGATAAACAGCGATTCTACTTTTCACTTGACATTTCGTTTGGATGTCAAGTTTGACGAATCTGGCACTCCTTTTTTACGAAAGCTTACGTAATTCGATGTTTCCTTCCGATTGAAAGAAAAACTAGACATTATATGCTTCTGACCACAAAGTGTAACATGCAGTCACACGCTCGAGCTTTCGAGTTGGAAATAGTTCGAATAAATCAATGACGATGAATGATAGCTGGCGAAAAGAGGGCAAATCAATAGCGGAGCTCGTTAAACTCTCCTCGTTAGAACTGAAATGAAAGCTCGGGGAAACCGGAGTTAATTAACGCTTGTAAGTATACAATGTCACCTGGCAGAGTTATCGCGCGCGAGCAAGCGGGAAAAATGGTCGACGGACTTGGCCAGCGAAAAAATTCGCCAGTCTCACCGCACGAGAGCGCGCAACAGTTATCAGCGATTTCACGGAACAAAGGAAGAATATGCATATTTGCATATGAGAATTCGCACGTCGCCTTGAGAAAGCAACATGTGGCAATGTCGGCGTCGCTCGCGACAGAGAAGCTCTCTCTCTCTCTCTCTCTCTCTCTCTCTCACTCACTCAACCACCAACATAAATAGCTAACCCAGAATCAAAGCGTGCAAATGCTGGGATCCTCACTCGCGTATATATCTTGCGAAACGCCCCAGTCACGAGGATTCTACCGTCACGCTTCTTCTTCTTCTTTGCGGCCGCTAATTTCATACAAAAGCTTCGATAGCTTCGTAAACCGCGAGAGTTCGTTACTGCCGATTGCGAGACTTGATAATACCGGATTCAACTTTGTTACACATTTTCATAGCCGCATGAATCGAAGGATATTATTGAATCGGTCCACAAGTTTTTCAAATGAAAGCGGTAAAAGCTATCCGAAAAATTTGGCCGCGCAACAGTTCGTTACACTAGTTTCAACTTTGTGAACTGAAAAAATGTGCAAAGTACAGGCGAATAAACCAAAAATGAGCCTTGACTATAAATAGAAACCGTTGACCTGAGATAAAGGTATTAAATCTGTCAGGTTGTTATTAAAAAATGTACCAGGAGAGAAGTAGCGTTGGACGCAATCCCAATAACCATGCCCGCATCAATGGTTCAAATGGACGACTGGTGTAAGACGAAGAGCGACTGATCGGCGAGCGATCTTCATCCAGGATAAATATGATCGGAGTGGAGCAGCGCAAACGAGCGCCGAAATGTTTATTGTTCTAGCGGCGACGCGGTCCGTAATGGCGAGCAAGGTGAATCGCGTGGTAAGAGCACGTCTGGCTTCGGCGCGATGGATCTGCGAGAAACGGAGCGCGCGCAGCGCAGGTTACTTGGCAAGCTAATGATTTGACCCAGTTAGCGAAGATCCGCTCCCTGATCGCGCCTCGCCACAGCCGTCTGCTCCGTCCCTTCAGGCGATCCGTGTGCGGCCGTCGCCGAGCCGTGGTCGTCGCCGTCCGCGTTGGCAGCGATTTATTTTCGCGCGAGAGAATGTGAATGACGACGGGCCGCTCGTCGACTGACGGCCTAAATTTACAATTCGCGCCCAGCGGCGCGTGTCGCAAGTGCAGAAACAAAGAGAAAAAAAAAAGAGAAGAAGCGCCGCTCGCTCTCGCCGCGCGCGCATCTCGCGAGAGCGCGGGGGCCTCCGCAATATGGCACCGAGTCAGCGCGCGCACGTGCGTCTGGCTCGATATGCCGTTAGCAGCGGTTTATTCCGAGTTGTTTTTGGCTTTGCTTTTGGATGCGTCGACGATCGATGATCTCGACGGCTTATTAGCGCGATACGCTTTGCCCTTGCTCGGCCGACAGCTTGACCATGATCGATGGCTTGATATTGAAGTTGGCGCTAATCGCTTCTCTGGCAACGGCACGCTTATCTTGGACGATTGTTGCTTGGCGATAGATTCCGTGCTTCGACTCTCAATGACAAGAGATAAATGCGAACTGCGGCACACAGCTTTGCAAGCGAAAACTCACGCTGGATTCTCGTCTCTTAGAACAGAAGATCCAAGCAAGGCGATCGAAGGCATCGAGAAGAAGATCGAGCCGTATATGCTCCCCGTAAGTATCGAGTGATCGAGAGCGGACCTTTGCCGACGAGAGAAATATTTAGTAAAACGACCGGCTGCAGATCGAAGAGATACTACTCTGTCCAGTTGACGAAAAGAGAGAAGTGACGCCGGACGAGGTGTCGCGAGTCGAGGAACCGCCGGAAGCGAGCGAAGACGAGGGCCAGGTCGAGGAGTACCCGGAGAAACCGCGCGACATCAACAGCGACCCGCTGCCCAAGACTGACCTTACCGAGGAGGAAATCGCTCAGCTGATTCTCGACGAAGAGGAGGTGCTCAACGACAAAGGCGTTTTGGGGTTCGTATGCTCGCGGCCAAGCCCACAGCTGCGCGTCGACCGTCCAGACGTCCAGCGATTTATTTGACTTTCAGCGTGAACTTCAAGAAGATCAGGCCGCGCGCGCCTCTCCTCAAGCAATCCGAGGTCTTCCGCGAGCTGCAGAACGAGATCGCCGCCGAGCCGGAGGAAGTGCAGGAGCGCAAGCGCCAGTCGACTTTCCTGAAGAAGCCCGACCGGCCGGCGCCCAAGCCCAAGCTCGCGCAGGAGGAAAGCGAGGCCGAGGTCGAGCCCTACCGCGTGGTGATCAAGAAGCAGCCGAAGCGACCGATAACCGAGCGCCTGCTGCAGAAGGGACTGCTCGATCCGTCGCGCGCGACCACACCCGACACCGTGAGCAGCTTCGCCATCGCGGACACCATCTCCGAGGTAAACGGGCACACCTGCACGGCCACCTGGTCCTTCACCTCCCACTCGACCGAACCGAGCGCGAGCGAGCCCGACATGCTGCCCATCAGCGAAGGCGTCGAGGACGTGTCCCCGCCGGCGTCGCCCCTCTTCGACCACGAGCTCCCGCTGGCTGAGCCGAATCCCGAACCCGAACCCCGACCACCCAAGTCGCCTGCGTCCGTCAGGGAGGAGCCCGTTGTCGCGGAGAACGCTATTACTCCCGAGAAGCCGACGGAGGAGCCATTCGGCCCGACTGTCGCGCCGCGGCGCAGCGCCAAGAAACAGAGGCTCTGTCGCAGGGGCAGATACGCCAAGCGCTGCCTCGGCCGCGCCCTGGACTCGCTCAAGTCCAGCCCCGAGAGCAAGACCAAGCCAAGGCTACTGCGCAGGGCCCGCTACTTCGAGAGACTCGTCGGCGACATCAAGAGCTCCTTCGGCGGCGCAGCCCAGCGCAGGACCAGCTGCAGCGAAGAGCAGAGCTTGCTCAACGTGCTCATGTTCGCCTCCCTGGCGTGCAGCTTGCGTGACACCTACGACACCGAGATTCTCCATCGCGGCTCCAGCCGCCGAAACTCGCGCAGAATGTCCAGCTGCAGGCGCGACTCGAGCACCCTGCCGCTCTACGAGCCCGGCTCGGGCTCCTTCTTCTCTTTCTCGCGCAAGAGTAGCCTGCAAGGCGAGAGTCTCAAGAGCTTTCAGATCAGGTACGCCGAGGGTAGGCGCAGGCTGTCGGTCATGTCGATGATGGTCGCCGACAAAGTCAGCAACGCCATGAGGACCGACCTGGCTCGCGGACTCGCTTACGCGATGGTCCCGTGCGCCTCCGCCCTCGCGTTCTTCATGTTCAATTACGCCAAGCGCTACAACAACGTCGAGCATCACGAGTGAACGGCGATTGCTCTCTCTCTCTCTCTCTCTCTCTCTCTCTCTCTTTCACCCCCCGACCCCCGCTCTTCGTCCAGTTTTTCCAGGCTTCGATCGTACAAGTTTTCAGACGATGTTCTCTTCTTATTGTGATAGTTCGGTTTTTTCCCTCCTTTCTTTCTTTTTCGAGAATGAGAGAGACCTTCTTTCAGCACTGCTTCTTTACTTGTCTTTTCAAAAAGTTTGTCCTTCAGAGTATATTTGTGAATGGCATATAGTACCGCAGTTCGTTTACAATACGCGTAAGCACTTTCTTACTCACAGTTACATTTCAACGAAATTCATACGAAGGCATAGTCGCAGTTTTACGTTTTTGCAAAAAAATATATAATACAACCGAATCATTATTTATTATTCATTACTCGCTGTCGGTACTTATTTATTTATAGGTAATCATTCGACTTGATTGCGTAACAATCACTTTCATGAGAAGTGGAAATCTCTACATGTATATATTTTTAATGTGAAATAAAAAGGAAAATCCAGTTAAGAAATCTTAAAGTTATTTAAAACCGAAAATTGCTTTGTAAAATTGTTGCAGTTGCTTCGTCAGCTCTTGCAATAATATTAATAAAAAAAACATTAAACGCATTATTTCATGAAAACCATTAATCGCAACGCAAACGTGTAAAAGCATTCTTGAACGAAACGGCAGTGAAGCGCCGATTGAAACAGGTCTCTTTCATTACATTTTTCTTCCATAGACAAGCGAAATAGTCGCTTTAATTTCTTCGTAAGTATATGCACTGTCATGGGTTGTGAAGTAGCTGTGCCGTTATAGTCATTAGCGAATAATAAAAATTCATTGTCTGTCGTCGAATCTTTTTCCACACGAACGAATCGCTTTCGAACGTTTGCACAACAATAAATTGTCGCAGTGCAAATTTGTATTTCATGTTTATAAAACACTTCACTTCACATTTGAAAATTCGTATACCATCGTCTAATTTCATACTCAATGTAAATCTGTTGGTCGAACAAACAAGTGTACTAAAAAAAAATTGATCACGATTGACAAAAGTAGACATTCGTTGTGATGGTTATTTATAAATCAAATGTAATAAAACAGTTAGTGTTTGAATAATCGTTCGATTGTACAATCATTATGTATAACATGCACATTCCTTTGTAGTTAGAGACACAGTGCGCAGACGTTCACTGACCAGTGATAGTTATTTGGTAGCCCATTGTAGACTTCACGTCCAGCATGATCAGTGGCGATCGATTTTGCGAAAGCTTAAGCGCGTTGCAATCAACTTTCAAGGCTTCTACTCACGCCTCGCTTACTAAACTCGATCGCCACACCTAATCAAATGTTCGCAGCTGCCCAAGCTTTCTAACCACTTTAACGCAAGCTTCGCTTTGTTTTCTCTCTCTCTCTCTTGCAATATAGAAAACAACGCCCGCTGCAACACCAGAGCCGACAATCCAAAGTTCCGACGGAGGGTCGCGTCCCCAGTCAGTGGCATCGGTCATCGAAGTCGTCGACCAATCCAATAATCCGGAGGAGGCTAGGCGAGAGTCTCGCGAAGATCAAGCGGTAAGAAAGCAAACGGACAATCTTTGATTTGCGAGCGAGTTGTTGAAACATACATACGAAAGTGGCGATGGCAATGTGTGTTGCCCCTGCACAGGCGCAACCAGAGCCGCGCGTCGAGGAGCCGGCGAACAACGACGAGAAGGAGGAGGACAAGCCGGTGCAAGTGGTCATAAGGCGACCTTCGAAGGCCGAAGTGGACGTGGAAGTGGAGGTAACGATGGACCGCGACAAGATCAAAGAGCTCGTCACCACGGAGATCAGCCTGGAGCGTCAACTGGCCAGTGTGCAGAGCCAACTGATGGCTCTGAAGCAGCTGCCGAGCGAGATCGAGAAGCACTTGAGAATCGTGTCCGAGCAGCTGCACAAGATCATGGAGCTGAGCGGCGTCGATCAGCCGCAGCTCCTCGACAAGCCCCAGGGTGAGCGCAAAGTCAGGATCAACTGCCCCGCGCAGCGCAGGCTGTTCAGGCAGTCCTCGCGAAGCTCCACCGCCACCAGAAACCCCTGAGCTTGCTCGCCCTTCCACTTCTCGCTGAACAGCTTGCGTTTAAGACGTCATCTCTTGCATGTCGCAGACCGCATTTACACGTTTTCTGTTGCATTTCTGTTCTTTTCCGCAAGCTGTTTCGCGAGAGCGTACGGAAGTAGACTCGGCAACAGTCGTTCTTTCTCTTCGATCACTTTTATTGCTTCGGTATTCTCTAATAGATCGTTCATTGTAACTTATTGCTAGTCCATGAGTATTACCTGCAAAAGAGAATGTACACATTTTTATTGTTAACCAAACGTTTTTAATTGCAAGATCATCAGAAAACAGTCACTCATTTATCTATTTCTACATTATTTGATTTCACTCGTTCTTATCTTATCAAGTGACATCATTTTTCATTAGAAAATGTCGATAACGCAGACACGAAATTGAACCTATTTAACCGTCATATGATTAATAAGGCATTTGTGACTTTTCTCGTATCGTACTAAAGTAATATACATCAGGCAATACGCAAAGAAAAAAAAAACTTTCAAATTAATGTTATATTATTAATTGTTATGTTTGTAAATTAATATCTTGTCATTAATAAACCCAAATTTGCAATGAAAATGTGTATTTTATTCTATTGGCCTTGACCTTCAAGTATCTGTATTACTGCAACCTTTATCGCCCAATAAGCCGTTCAGTTGTCCACTTCCATTAGGCGAACATAGCTACGACTCGATGAAAAGTAAGAAGCGTTGTCACTGCCTGCGAGTAAGTTCGAGGCAAAGAAGCCAAAGGAAAAAACAGAAGAAGAATTGCAGCGCAAAAGTTAGCGTTCGTGCGGAAAACTAACGATTGATTGTAACGTTCCAGCGGACGAGACGTCGCAAGCGGAAGAGTCGAGCCGGCAAGAGGAAGCGCAAGCGTGCAGTCGGCGAGATGAGCGAGAGCAGAGGAGCGAGGCGGAGCAAAGAAAAACTGCGGAAGAGGAAGAGGACAAAGCGATGTCCGAGGACGACGTAGAGGAGACGTCCTCCAGTTACCCGCCTCACCTGGCCGACACCGAGTACTCGTCGAGCTACTATGCCAATTTGGCCGAGGACAACACGGAGGACGACGCCACGTGGAGATCCGACAAGGTCGAGATATCCGTGAAGAGCAACGAGGACGACGGCCAGCACCGGGTGAAAAAGTACATCGTCACCTACGAGTCCAAAGTGGTCGAGGAGACGAGGAGAGCGCAGAGGCCCGCATCCAGGGATCACAGTCCCGTGGACGTCGAGTCGATAAGTACGCGCGTCGCGTCGCCACTCGCGTTCACCACTTTTAAAGCAGTCGCTCGTCATTTCAGAGAGCTTCGAGGCAGATCCCAATTTGAGCTTACAGCAACAGTTGGTCGAGGAGTTCAAGGTATGCACAAACGAATCTGGGCGCAACGAGAGACCGACAAAAGCCTCGAGGGCCGATCGTAAGTTCCAACTTGAGCCTGTTCGTCGGCTGCGCGCAGCCGCGAGTCCGTGGTGCGCGAGGTGCTCGACGAGAATTGCTGCTTATTAGTCGGCCCTCGGAGCGCGCGAGATCGCGAGATGGTCGGGAGAGATCGGAGCGTTAATATTTGGTCGGGCTGCTTGATGTGGTGTGTTGTATAGCACAGGCAAGGGAGAAAGCGCGAGTCGCGCGACCATCTGTGGCAGCCGCAGGCTAAGCAGCTCGAGCTCACCTACGGACGGCGCTGGAGGTGCCCCAACGATTTCTTCAACGACGAGATGATCGCCGACGTGCTCTCCTCACAGGCCGAGGTCATCCGTGGCAGGGCTCTCGGGTATGCGCAACACACCTACAGCACTGCTCTCCTCCCATTATGATCCCGCGCCAGACCTCCTTTCGCCTGTCGCTCGGGCGCTCACAGCTAATCTCCTTGAGCGTCCGTTTCGTGCACACGACGACCGTTACACGCCGCGCGCTTTCTAGACCGCCGAGCATTTCATTTTCTCCCAAGCGCACTCCCGCTGGCCTTTCCTTCTGACTCGGGCTCCGGAGCCGGGGCAAGTGCTTTTCAAACGCCCGATTCACCTTGCAGGGTCAACTTCAAGAAATTCGAGAAGGCGAACGCCTTGCCCAACTACGACCACCTCGTGAATTCCAGCGTCTACAAGATGATACATAAGATGGACGCCGAGCCAAAGAAAGGAATTCCAGCCCGGCCGCCGAAGGTGATGGCAGCCGAGGACATAATCGAGAGGGTGGTCAGTGCATCTCTGCAAATCCTCCGCGCGGAAAGCACCTTCCAAGTCCAATTAGCCATAACGCTTTCCCCTCTGCTTTTCAGAACACACCGGTGTGCGGCATGTCCAGCAGCGAGTGCCTCGGATCATAACCGTTTTTACGCAGATTGGCTACCATTCGACGACCGCGACGACGACGACGACGACGACGACGACGACGACGACGACCACGACCACGACCACGACGAACAACGAAGCCAACGGAAGATCAATTATTCAAGTTTTCCAGGGGCCTCGCTAAGGTCTCCATGCCACTCTTGGAATTTCACTTTTTTCTTTGCCAAGGATCATGGCTTTATTTTCGCTGCGCAATGCCAAATCAAAGCGACGCGATCTGAGACGTCCTTCGTCGCGATCCACTGAACAAGCTCTTCGCTTCATTCTTTCGAGCAGTCATTTATTTTATATAAAAATATACACTTCGAAAGAAATTGACAGAGGAATATATGGACAATTTTTAAAAATAAAAACGATCAAAATATACACGACAATTGCCATTTGTTTTATTCTCAATTGATTGCCAAGTTAGCCGTAAGAGCAAACTTTCCGAAAGCGCAGCTGTAGCGAAGCGAATGTACGGTCTTGACAGGCAGCAATCTATCGGTATAAGCCGCAGCAGCAACGAATACTCGTAGACTTCTAGACAGCAAGTGGACAGAGATAAAGTACGAAAGCGCGGTCGGAGGTCTGAGTCGGAAGGCTACCGCTCTGTATTCGTACAACGTACAATAATAGTTTTATCTCGAGCAGGTAGCTCGCCCTTATCTTTGAGTCGCCTTCCAGATTGCGCCGAACAAGCATTTTCACGTGGAAGGTTGTCAAGTCGAGAGCCATTTTTCTTCTGGATCCGTTACTTTCTCGCGAAGAATAACATCAGCGTAGCAAAGTTAAAACTGCAAGCAAAGAGAGGCGAGCCGTTTGCCAATTGAAAATTTCGAGTTGCGAGCCAGAATGCTCGCCGTTTGGCTAAAGCGGCTATTCGGAGCTCGAAAACCAGCGACTAAGCGGTCACCTCGAATCAGTCGGACTTGTCGTTATAGGAACGCTTCTTCGCGCGGCTCGCAGGTGTCGTGCGCAGCCACGAAAAATAAACAAGGCTCGAGAGCAGTTGTAAACAAGATATCGCGTATGATCGTAAACGAGCAATTTCTAAGTAAAACAAATTGCGGAGGCGCGGCGTTAACGAGGCGCGCGCGTGGAAAAACTCGGGAGATGGGCAGCTGGCGATAATGTAGGCGGGCATTTAAAATTAAGGGAGCTGCTGCTCGCCTTGTCCACCGCGCGCATACCCACACGGACTTCTTTAGCGCGGCGCACTCTCGCGTGCTTATCTCCACGCAGCCACGAGCTGCTCCGAGTAAGAAAGAGAGAGAGAGAGAGAGAGAGAGAGAGAGAGTCGTTAAACGCCGGCTTGCTTTATTTCGACGTCCAGGTGTTGGGTAAAGAAGAAATTGTACCTGCGGCTATTCTCGGCACAATGCACGCTCTCAAGAAGAAAGCTTAACCGCTCGTTACTAGACCATCCTTGACGATCTTTATACCTTCCTTATAAATTCGTCCTTGGCTTCTTACATTGCACACTCGCTCCCTTGCTCCTCTGTACTTCAATTTTTTTATATACACTTAAAATGTCATTGCACTATATTTCCAATATGTGACATTTTTTAACGATTCACTGGCTAAAACTTATCTTCATAAACACATGAAAAGCGTTATCGATCGATTTACACTTGAATCAGGTTCGATCGATAGACAGGTTCATGGGATATTTCAAAGCTTACAAACAATGACACTATCAATGAACGTTGACACGTCTTCATTTCCACGTCATATTGTAGGCATACTATCAGAACTCATAAGTTTGCCTGTGTTTTTTGTTATTCAATTCGAAAATTAATTTATAAGTTATTCATATTTTAAGATATTGTTACTTTTTCCGAGCTCATATTTATCATAACGAGAAACTTCCACTATAAATGATATCTAAAACACGTGAAAAAATGTCATATTCTCGCTTAAATATAATTTTTAATCATTCTTTGACGTATGCTGAATGTTGAAAATTTTCGAAAGATTAAGCGTTAAAAAATAATGATTTCGCCTTGTAATCGACATATTAATTGGATTATTTATTTGGTGAATAGAATCTTAACTTCTTTATTGGGCATAAATTTAATAGCAATACAAATTGAAACACGACACCTGCATTTAAGTTGCTAACTATTAAGATAAAAAGCAATACTTTACGAAAGTTAACGCTTGGTTGATCGTCAATGTTTCAAGAATCAGTAAAATACATAGAATGCAAATTTGGTGATGATTTAAAAAAGTTGTTTGTATCTTTTCCTTGTATGAAAAATTTCTTTCAGCTACGAAGACAAACATTCCGCAACTAAAATTTCGGAAACGCTCAAATTTTTCGGCAATTGGCTACATTTATTTTCTTAATATTTATTGTTTAATAGCGTAATTTACCAAGTAAACTTCTTTAAGAACCTTTGGATAAAGTTACTTGGTGTATGGAGTACTTTCACTTGAAATTACCAATTGATGTACATTGCTGTATTCTAGTTTTTCGACTAGTATATTTAACTTCGGTTCATGCAAGTATAATGAAGTATTTCTTAAAACGTTCGTGAACACAGAATATTTCAACGGATTATTCATTGTAGCTCGTAAAACTTTTTGTTCTGCCATGTACGTTGTAACAAAAAATTGGTTTAACCTGTTCGAGATCATCGCCCGTCTAAGATTATTGTTAATCAAACGAGAAGCAATGTTTTATTTTATTGAAAAAATTACTCTTTAGATGCGATAAATCAGTAAGTTCAACTAGGGAAGTAGTAAAATGACATTTTTTAATATAATTATATAATAATTTAAAATTTGATTCTAAGCGTTTTCGAATAAGTAAGGGATAAGCTCGAGTGAATGATCAAAATACTGCGATATTTTTTTCGACGTCTACGTAACTAAGGAACAGTTAAACATGCGAGTATAGCATATAATCCCCATAGTAATTGAAGGGCTGTGTGAACTGGAAAATTAATTAAATATTGTCCAACGGAATTAAGATAAATGTTCGACCTGCTAGGTAGATTGTGTTTAAACAATGAAAATCAGAACAATGAAGACGTACTATAATTTCATATATCTATGCTATTGATGAATACTCGTATAATACTTTTAAATCATAAATTCTGCCCTAGATTTTGCTTATGAACAATCGATTAAACATATCTTATCGTTACTTTATTTTTGTCTCTCTTTTACCAAGAATTGATTGAAACAAACAAAGGAGCGACATAAATAATGATCGAAAACCAAATTATTCGTCAAATACTAATCGCTTTGTCGAAATATAACTAATAGTTCCTTGATAAAATTGATATTAGGAGCAAAGCGATTGACCCAAAAGCTCAACGATGACCAATAAGAAAATAATCGACCTCGTCTTTGAGAAGCAATTTCCGTCTTGAGGTAAAGGTTAAATTCCAGTAATTTAGCTATAGGTGGATATCAACAATGAACTCTTGGCGTTCGCGAAACGCGCGGACAGCGCATGGTGCTTCTAAATTTTGAACGCCAGTAGTATACAGCGGCGAGCGGCAACTGCGGCACGGGAACCGAGAAGTAGAGCGCAGTTGTCGCACGGCAAGATCTGTCGCAGACGCACAACTGAAGAAGCACGCCCCGTATGAAAAGGCGGCAAAGGTGAAACGCACGCGTCGCAGGGTGGTCAGTGCGACATTACCAGGCAGCTCAGGCGGGTTTAAGCAGAAGAGAAGGCCAGTCCAGCCGTGACGCTCCCAGTCGGAGGCACCAGTTTACGGTAGAGGAGATGCCGCCGCACACGGGTTGCCACACCGGCCGGCAGCGAGCAGTGAGTCACGTTTTGGTGTGACGTCGCTCTACGGACGCAGCGTGGCTTTGCTATTATTTCGAGAGTGGCGGCGGCGGCGGCGGCGGCGCGAGAGACCGATGATTCACCAACTAGTTTGCGCCCCCGGCGCAGGAATGCCAAAGCGCCAACTGTAGCCAGGCGCTCCTGCGGCTCGAGCTCGTGCTTGCCTTTCGGGTGGTCCGCGCACTTTGCCTGAATTTCGCGGCCGATGACGCGATCGCCGTAATTGAATATCGGTCTTTCCATTCTCGAGCGTTTCGCAACGCGCGCGGCCGCTCGCGGACAGCACAATACACCCAATAAAATCCCATGCAAAAAGCGGCTCGCGCGAGTAAATCAGGCGCGCGACAAGCCGCACGAATTTACGCGCATTCTTCGCGACCACTTAATTAGCCGAAAATAGCCGGTAATCGCCAACCGCCGATGCACGCTGCCTCGTTAAACGCCTTCCAGCCGAGAATAATGGCCAATTGGGCTCTCTCTCGCTCTCTTTTGCGAAATATTCAGCACCGGAAACGACGAGCCGGGCCGGCACGTTCCCGCCACGCCGACCGAGGGCAAAAAGTAGCTTCCTACAGAGCCCAGTCCGACAGGTGGGTAGCCGTGAGAATCGGATGCACGCACTGTCCTTTGCCGTTCGTCAAATACCAATCGGCTCCGAGTCGACCGAGCGTCGTACGTGAATTTCCCCGGCTTTCCGTTTCAAGGTACATCGTTCTCGTGCCGTGCCGCCAGCGACGCGCGGCAACTTTACGAGCCGCAGTTTTTCACGCTCGATTACAGCCGTGCCGCGGCCGATTGTAACGCCGGGCTTTTTCCTCTTTCTTTTCGTTAACCGCGCGGACTCGCGCGCCAAACGTGACGGGCGCGCGAGCACGCGAAATTTCCGCTTTAATTGCGGGCCGTAAATTATTGCACGTACACGCGGGCGACAATCCGCGAGCTTAGGAATGCCGGGCAGGTTTTGGCGATTTTTCACCCAGCTCGAAGGCGTATTTTTACGAAGTGTCACGTCGATGCGCGCGCAAACCTTGTGCCACTTCCGAAAAATAGTCTTAATTTCCGAAACGCGCTGTGCGCACGTCCTCCCGCGACTGCGCGCGCTCGAAGATATTTGATAGCCTGCCAAAAATGCTCTAACGCCGCGAGCTATAACGGCGGTTATTCAATTTAGCCGTCGCGCTCCGATGGTGTATACTCGAATAATTCGCATTTTTTATTTTCTACTCGCTGCTCCGCTCGTTGCGCGAGGATACCACTTTCCTCTTTTTTCCTCCGCGTTGGCTTCGCCCGCGATCGTTTAAAAGCCAGCGCAGTCGATTCTATTTGCAGTGTGAAAACTGTGCTTTGAATATATGTTTTGACTGCGCGAGCATCGATATAAAAACCACGGTAAAACGCTGGCTATTATTAGCAGAGTTCTATTTCGGCGTGTTTTCGAGTTGACACGGAAATAATTGACAAAGAGTCAGATCCTCGGCAGACGGGGCGGAGAATCGGACAAACATGAACGAAATCGTGGGCTGAGCGAGCCAAGTTGCTTTTGATACAGGCGCGAGTAATCGGATGAGCGCTGACTTAACGGAAGCTCGTTAGCGTCTCGCGCGATTGGTAATCCAATAAAGGCAATCCCCGACGTAACGCGGCTAAAAAATGACGCGCTCCGGCTCGGCGGCGAGTAATTAGCCCTCGCTCGCGGAGAACAAAGTGCCGGCGCGGACGGTAGGCGCGCGCGTAACGCACGTACGCGCGGAACGAAAGTATAGTCGCGCGCGCGGCGGCCTCGCGGAGAGGAGCGCGGAGAAAGTGCAGTCGGATTGGCGCGCGCGTGCCCGCCGTGCAGCTGCCGGCGGCGGTGGCGGCGACGCAGCAGCGGAAGAAGCCAAGACGACGAAGAAGAAGCACAGCGGCACAGCGAGAAGTCGGAAAAGTAGGAGAGCCGCCGAATGTCTCTCTCCTCTCCGGCTCTCGCGGCTCTCGTGGCTCTCGCGGGACGGGAGGGGAGATGGGGGCGCGACGCGCAGGCGCGAGCCGTTCAAACGCGAGAGCGCGCTCATGGAGCGGCCAGACGGCCCGTAGATACCGACCAGCCGCGACAGACGACTGACCGCCCGAGCAGCCGCAGCCGCTTGCGAAGCGCTTCCTCGTTCTCGTTTTCGCACGTGCGGCCGTTCTCGCGCTTTCCCTGCGACTTGCCTTCCATTCGCACGCGAGTGCCCCCGAGTTGTCCAGGCAGGAGACGCCGGCAGTGAGCGGACGACCGATATCACGACCACGACGACGAGGACGACGCGACGTCAGCAAGGATGGCGCAGCTGATCAGCATCAAGCTGTCCCGCTTCGACGGTTCGCCCTGGGGCTTCCGGCTGCAGGGTGGCAAGGACTTCGGCACGCCTCTCGTCGTTCAGAAGGTCAGTCGAGCGTCGGCGCTCACCTCGCGCTCTGTTCGCGCGGCAGCGACTGATAACGCGCGCCAGCCTCGAGCAGCTGGAAGTCGGCCCGTCGCCGTTGCTCTTTCCGAAGGTTGCGCGTGTCTACCGCGATAAGCGAAAAAATGCGTCTCGCGCGATTTATAGCCGAGCGCCAACAGGAGCAGTGCGCACGCGTCGCCACAGCCGAGCCGCTAATCAGCGTGATTATTAACAAAATAAACATCGCTGCGAGGTACTCGGCTACAGCCGCCGCTGCGATTTCTGGGCACACGTTCAAATTCCAAAAATTGCAAAAGACACTTGCGCGCGCTGGCACTCGAAAATAGCTCGCGGGCGTGCGTGGGACGACGGCAAGTACGAGATTCGCGCGAGCGTCCAATTGGCGATGATCGATCGAACAGCGATCGGCGACGGAAGGCGAGCGCTCGCAAGCTCTCCCGGTCAGAGCGATTACGTAAGGATCGCGCTCGCAGTCCGGGGCTCGAGCGGCGCGTCAGCTGCCAAAGCCAGCCGAAGCCAAATCATTTCACGCGCATCGGTGGAATCCGCTTGCCAAGAGCCTTTCAACTCTCGCCTCCTCGAGAGCGAGCGGCTGTTGGTCTCCGACGACGACCTGCTGCCGCCGCCGAATGCACAGGTGCGAGCGTTCTCCGTGTTTTGGCGAGGAGGCGCCTTGTAACTCGAGACGGACCATTTACAGACGAGTCTCGCTCTCTCTCTCTCTCTCTCTCTCTCTTTCTCTCTCTTTCTTAGCCTCTTTCCCTCTCCGACTCTTTCGATCTGCTTCGTCCAGAAGCTTCGGTTGTCGATTCGCGATCGATCGCCTTTTTCTAAGGTCACTCCGCGATTAGAAACGCAGATCTTCGCGCGGATAAATTGGGCGTATCGTCGGCTCGATAACGTAATCGAGGCACAGCCGTACGTTCCAGAATTATGAATGCGCTCCCAAGTGCGATCGCTCTGCCCCAGGCAAGGAGACACTTGGACGCGGTCCAATGTTTTGACTCGGCGACAATTTACGCGCAGACGCTCAATAAGCGCGCAGTGCGTGCGCCCGAGCGGGGCCGGGCAATTTTTGAAATAGCGCGCACGTACACCTGGTCGGCGCTCGCGAGGGCTATCTTGAAAAACCGGCCGGTGGCGCGGAGTGCAAGGTCGGCAGCCTCGCTCTTGTTTTTCCTTGGCTTCGTTTTGTCGCGCTCGCGATTTTCCGAAACCGGCCCGTCGCCTGCTCGGCGCGGCTCGATCGCGCCGAAGCGCGCCGCGCGCAGACGCAAAGCCCCGAGCGGCGGCCCCGTCGCGTGTGGGAAAAGCGCCGGGCGACTTCCCAAAAGGCCTGCCTTCCGCGCCGATTGTTCGTTCGCGTGCGCGCGCGAGCAATCTGGGTGAACCGCTGCGCCGCACGCTCGGTTCTATTAATTGCTCCGCGCGCCCGCGCCAAAACAATGAGACGGTAAATCAGCGCGAGCCACGCGAAAAGGACTCGCGCGGGCCTGTGCCTTATCGTCGATCGCGCGCGACGCTCCCGCTCGGCGGGCCCCCCTCCCCCAGCTTCGCGCGATTCTCGTCAGCGCGAGACGATGACGAAATCGCAAGACTTCGCGACGGCCGAAATTTCTCCCGCGCGACGCCGCATTTTTGCGCGAGCCAGCAGCTGCACGCAGCTCGCCGACCCACTTTCGCGGCGCGCGCTCGCGCCTCTGCCTTCGCTGCGCACCTCGCGCCTCCGCGCGCGACTATCGCGTGCGGTCGGCGCTGGCGGGCGGCTTATCGCTCGGTACCTGACCGGCAGCCGCGGCGCTGCGCTTTCTCGTCGCGCGGAAGCGCGAGGCGCGTCGTCGCCCGCGTCCGCGAGAGCGCAAAACCGGAACGCGGCCTCGAGCCAAGTTTCGTGGAAGAGCGACGCAGCGCGGCCGCGGCGGGGCGCCGAGGCGCCGTATTTCCTCGACGGGGCGACGCGACGAGGACGACGAGGCGGCCAGCGTTCGGCCGGGATCCAGTGCGGATCGACTGCCGGCGAGCGCCAATGTCAATGCTAATCGGCGCAATCGACGAAAGCCGACGACGATTCGCGGCAAGGCAGGCAGCGAGGCGCTCGCTCGAACGGACGAAGATCCGTCTGTGGTCTCTTTCTGTTTTTCATCGGCGAGCGCGCGCACGGCGGCGGATGGCGCGAGAGGAAAGAGGGCTGGTAATCCGAGGCAAATTATTTGGGCGTTCTATTTCGAGAAGGTGCCTTTGCGAAACTCGCGCTGCTAGCGCTACTAGTAGAAGTGCGCCTATACTCATAGGCGTCGCGACGCCCGAGCACACGCACGCTCGATTCTCCTCTCTCTCTCTCTCTCTCTCTCTCTCTCTCTCTCTCTCTCCCCTCTCTCTCGCTCTCTTTCTCTCCATCGGATCCGAAATAAAAATCATCCGTGTCCCTCTATATTCTCGGCTTGGGTAGCTTTTTCTTTCTCGTCGGCTTGATCGTTTGACGACTGGGATTTCTTCTCCTGCAATTTGGGTCGGCCGAAAGCTTGGAATAGACCTGCGCGCGCCACGAGGGTTTTCCCCCCGTTTGCGGACCTTTAATCATCGCTAATTGGTTCGCCGATTTTTCTCTGCGGAGAGCTGTGCTGTTGATCAATCAATTAGCGGGCTTGTTTTCACGCGCGGCATCGTCATCAGGGTTTAATCGGCGTTTCACGCAAATTTCCGTGGAGCTTCCGTTAGAGATGAATGCAAGAGTACGTTCCGTCCTGCAATTCGCCGCTCTAGTCCGTGCGCAATGACAGGCCAGTGCGCGAGTAAAAATTGACATATTCGTAGCTTCACGAGTGATATGGAATCAACGGTCTCGCGCCTGTCCGACCTCTTCGGCGAAAAGACGCTCTTTCTAGCTCTGCTTTATCTCAAGCGCTCGGGGAACCACCTCGACGACAGGTACGCAATCTCTTCTCTAACGACTAAAACAAATAATCCGTCGCTGCGCAAAGCACATCGTACGAGACCGAGTCCCGACTGTCAGTGGTTATAATTACAATGTGGCACGTGTAGCCGACAATTAATTTTTACGTGACAAACCAGCGCGCACGCGCGCGAGTTAATAACGCCGGGCAATCAAGTTGCTCGAGAGATGAAAACGGCACACTTTTCGCGCGCGAAAGGCGCCGAAAGGCTTGGGACCGCTCGAGGAAATGCGCATAACACTTTCGCCGTGTCAGCGAGCGGCGTTCGCGCCGCGGCGCCAGTCTCCAACGGTGGTTTTCCACGCGAGCGACGCGTCGAAGGAAAAAAAAACAAACAAAAATGGAAAAACACGAATCGACTCGGCACTATGCCGACGGAAAGAACGAGGTTCAGGGTGATAAGCGAACTCGAGCAGCTCTGAAAGTTGCGAGTGGTCAATTAGTTGCAACGCGCGGCAACGATGAACACGTAGCCGTCCACTTATAGCGCCCAGGTAGGAGGCGCGCGAGCATGCAGCTGTCGTGAAATTTTCGTCGGTAGCCGTGACGTTTTGGAGAAATTAATTAGCCGACGAGCGAGCGCGTGTTTCGCGTAATGAACTCCCCCCTTCCCGCGTGCACGTACGATCGACTTTGTTTGCACTACTAGGGCGAGATCTTCCACCTAATGGTCGCTCGTCTCGAGAGACCCCAGTTTATTAATACGAAGCGCGAGATGTAGGCAAAGATCGCGCGCGACACAATTACTTCGCTCGAGTCCGTATACCTTTCGCTATTCTATTGCGCTTCAAATGTTTACGCGGCGAGTGCTGCGTACGCGAGAGAGATTCGTTGCTTCCTTTTAATGAACCCGATTGCGCGATAATTTAACAATCGCGCGCACCAGCAATTATATCTGCGACGGCACTTGGCGTGCGAGGCGATCATGATAAGTGCAACTTAATAATTCCACTGAAGCGATTTGACATTTGTAAAAAAACTTCCTTTGCTCGTTTAGTAAAGCGTCAACATTCCAAGCGGAACAACTAACAGTATAACAAGTGGAAGGCGGATAACTTTTTTCTATCGACAGGGTTGTTAAGTAGTCGAGCGATACTCGCGTTTCGATAAAGTAAACGCGCTCGTATCTTGCCGCTAAACGCATTCTCCAATAAGCGAGCAGCACGTGGAATTCAGATGTTCCCGCTCGTTCCAAATCGCCGTACGTGGCTTGGCAAAAGCGTGCAGATATCATTTGCAAGCTCTCGCTCTCTCTCTCTCTCTCTCTCTCTCTCTCTCTCTCTCTCACTTGCACGCGCGCGTTATACGAGCCATGTAAATTTTGCGATTTTACGACGGCGCGTTTAGTCGGCGAGTTACGAGGGGCAGGCCGCGCGGCTCTATTAAAGCGCGCTTTCGCGGCATTGTTCTTTTACGCGCGAGAAGACGATTTCTCGGCCCTCGTAATCGATTACGCACGCGCGACATTTGTTTACCGGGCGCGCGTGGGCGACGTCTTGGCTCGGATTCCTAAGCTTGACTCGCTGTCAAAGCGCGGCTTCGCGTGTGCAAAAGTATTCTTTTTCGGCCGAGCTTGCTGCCAAAATAACCCGCCTAGGCCGGATTCTTTCGGGATCCGTCACTAATCTGCCACGGCCAAAGAGTGTCCCGGCCGCTCGCCGCTTTTTGCCACTTATGCAAAGGCGGATCCGTGGATCGTCCGATCGTATCGCGATCAATGGCGAGCTTTGCTTTTCCTCGGGCGCGTCGTAAATTGATTTGGACCAAAGCGGGCGCGGCTATGAGTATCGCGAGGCCGCCTCTTTTTCGGCCGATAAAACGCTAATGAACCGAGCCAGTCGTAATTCGCGAACGGCGCGCCGAGCGTTTAAGCGGTCATTAAAAGAAATGCGAAAAATGAGATGAACCTGCCGGTGCCTTCCTGAAAATAAAAGGCCGAATTCTATCGTCAATTTAAATCAAGATTCGCAGTGATAGAGTATTCGCGCGCAAAGGCCTAAAACGGTGCGTGGAAGACGAAGAAAA